GGCACCTCTCTCAGCCTCAGCACATACTTAAAAATACACTACACGCACGCACGCACACGACGGCGTCACGTCGTTCCTTTCACCTCTCCTGCCCGCGGGTCGATTGTTGAGTCCTTATTGAATGAATTTAATCGATAGATAGTATTGCGAAGATAGGGGCTTATCGATCAAGGTCGTTCGATAACGAATCGAAGATCGACCCGCTTCATAGCGCATGTATTAGACTCTTAAATTCGATCACTCGGTTCGACTACTAGAATTCGGCCAAAATCTTTCAGCGGCTTATTCGTTTTTATTTTCTTATCCTTCTCGCTATTACCCATGTGCATCTATCGGAGGCCGTGAATGAAATGCCTTTTATCTGATAACAAAATTTAATATCAGGGTGGAAGAATATATCTGCGCTCACACTACCAATGCTGCAGAGAAATCAAAGCGAAAAAATCCCAGAAATTATAATTAAATTCACAAATGAGCTCTGACGAGTATCAGTGCAAAACGGNGGGGGGGGGGGGGGTGTCGGATCGTGTTCAGCTGAGGCAGACGCTCTAGAATACTACCGTGCTAAGGAAAAACGCAGTATGAACCCTCCGGCGTTGCCAAATCTCCTTTGATAAAACGCGAATTTCCTGGTAAATTTATGTACATTTTCTTCCCAATTTTTCAGATAATAAAGTTCGTAATTTTACCTATAGATTCTGAAAATATAAAGGGAAAATATTCATAACTTTCCTAAAAAAAATACACATTTTATCGAGGGAAATTTGGCAACTCTCGAATGTTCATGCGGCGTTCTTCCTTAGCACGGCAGAATACCACGCCTGCCTAAGCTGAACACCCCCCTCTTCCACCTCAGTTTTGCACTACTACTCAATAAAGCTCATTCCGTGACTCTCGATCATTAGAATTTTGAATTTTGTGGCTTTGATTTCCTGGCATCATAGGGGACTCAGCGCTATTCTATCATCCTGTCACTGACAGTACCTATTCGGGCAAAATTTGTAGTATCTTTGCGTTGGTGCTCTTTACGTAAGAAATTACCTCTAAAAGGTTCTCTAGAAACTAAAAAAATGACTCAGTTTTAAACATGCTTGCCTAGTTGAGCAAGAATACTATAGGTATTAGCGAAAGTTGTGGGAATAGTTGACAAAACGAGCTTTTCGGCCAATACCAATGAACTCGCCAAGGGCGGGGGACTTTCACATACAAAAAAAAAATATTTTCTCCTAATCTGTTACGTGGAGATGCCCCAAGCTACTGAGGAATGATATGCTAACTTGCAAGAAGAGAATCTATAAACACAATACACTGGTCACAATTCGACTCGTCAGTTTCCAGACGAAGGAATGTAACTTCATTCCGCGATTGCAAAACTGACTGAAACAAGTCAATTGTTACAAAAATAATAAGACTGTACAAATACTGTCGCAACTTTTATTGGTTTTGCGTTAAATTTTAAGAAAAATCAGCGTCGAGATATTGAGTCAAAAATGTTTGAGTTTCTTAGTAAAAGTTCAATCTGAGAGTGGAAATTCCGCAACCTTGCGAAATGCAGTTACGTTCTTTCGTCAGGGAAACGACGAATTGTGTTACTCGGATTTTAAGGGGTAGGTACGTAGGCCTGTACTGCCATGCTAAGGAAAAACGCCGTATGAACTTTCTGGCGTAGCCAAATTTCCTTCGATAAAAAACGAATTTCCTGGTTAACTTGTGAATGTTTTTCGTCCAATTTTTCAGGTAATTTCATTTGCAATTTCACCTAATGTTTACTGGAAAAAAAAACACATTGGATCTAGAGTTCAGACTCTTGAAAACATTGACAAGAAAAAATACTCTTCATTCAATCAGATTTAAGCTTAAATCAAAAGGAAAATCCGCTCAAATTAAGAGGCTTGGTTCTTGATTCAAGCAAAAATCCGATTGAATCAAGAGTATTTTTTCTCGTCGATGTTTTTCTGAGTCTGGACTCTAGATCCAATGTATTTTTTTCCCAGTGTTCCTGAAAATTTTAAGGAGAAATATTTATAAAATTCCTCAAAAATTAACATTTTATCGATGGAAATTTGGCAACTCTCGAGTGTTCATACGGCGTTTTCCCTTACGGCAGCGTAGGTCGTGAGGGGCGGTAGCAATTCTGGTTGCGAAATCGAAACAATTTCCTCCCTACTTATAAAAAAAGTATACATTTTAAAATTCAATTCTGGCTGCGAAATCGAAACAATTTCCTCCCTACTTATTAAAAAAATATACCTTAATAATGTCAATCAAGTAACATTCAAGTTTGTTTTAAAAAAGAGGAAAAGAAATAGATTATAATGAGTAAACAAGGAAAATTCATTGAATGCATGTGTTTATTCGTTATCCGATTCATGAACTTACAGGGTCAAATGTTACAAAAAAGGGTTATTTAACAACGGCGAATTTCACCGATCCTTTGATCCTCCTAAAATTACTATACGTTGTTTCCTAGCACGTGACACGCCTTCTTTCAAAGGTCCCATCCCGGGAAAAGTTAGCCCTTCACATGGCACAGTTCGATTCACAATTGAGATACCTAAGTGGCTCAAATTTGCACGAAAAGTTTTCTAAACAATCTTTTTCAACAAAGTTTCGGTTTCTAACTGCTCTGCAAATTTAAAGTTTTAATTTTTCAATTTATAATTTTGATCAGTTATCATCTGAACCGCGGCCATCCGAAGTCCGAACTTTTTCCGGATCTGTAAACACCCTGAATGGGAAAGTAAGAACTCAGACAGTCAATTGTATACAGTTGGTTCACTATCAAGCATCATTACCGTTATCAGTGTTATCATTACATCTATACATATCTATCCTCATCATTACCGAAGAGGAACAATGTACATATGGTCACAAAATAAGATCTTAAAGGTAGTTTTGAACATAAATTCATACCTAAGTAAGTACACTATGAATAATCGAAAAGGTACTACCTCAATTGAGCTACTTACATTATAGGAACAATAGTTTTAGCAGAGGTTTTGCTCTAGAGGAACATCCATAAATTAATAATTAACTGGAGAGGGGTAGGGGGAAAGTTAGAGTAAAGAAAACAGGCAGCGACGTCGAAAAGTTTTCTGGGGTCTCTTTTAACTAGGAATTAAAACAAAGTGTCACAGACAACAAGCAACTCTTTCTGGCCAGTTGATTGAACTAGAGGATGATATCTTACAATTACACTGACTTTGTCGAGAGGAGAGAAGAGCTGTGCGATATAAGAATTTTAGATTTGATTCAAATGGAAAGAGAGGAAAATAGTAGGTACATTGCTGTGTGGCTTCGGTAACCAAACAACAGTATATAAAGAATCTCTTATTTACTGAATTTTTCAGAGGACTTAGAATTCGGATAAAAATAAACTTATACAGCTTTCTGGGTTCGGAAAGACTTGAGAGATTTTTAAGCTGAGAATTAAACAGAAACCTGACCTGACTCGGGTATACATGTAAAAACTTTAGAGGATGGGTTAATCGACCTGCATCAGATGGTGTTAGATTCCCTCTCATATTTTATTATCAGAAGACAAAGCAACATTTTGACGTAATTTTGTGGATATTCTGTAAAATGTAAGTATGAGAGTTTTTTTCAAAAATTTCCGAAATCTTATGTCGTTCTGATTTCTGTCAAAAAATAACGTAGTGCGACAGGGAATTGGGCAACATGAAATTCGATGATGACGAATGATTAAGCCTCAATTCGTTCAAATACACGAGGGAAAAAAAGTCGTTTGGATATAGAGTCCTGACTCTTCAAAACATTGAAAAGAAAAAATATTCTTGATTCAATCGGATTTTTGCTTGAATCAAAAGGAAATCTGCTTAAATCAAGAAGTTTGGCTCTTCGATTCAAGGAAAAATCCGATTGAATCATGAGTATTTTTCTTGTCAATATAATTAAGAGTCTGGACTCAAGATCCAAGCAACTTTTTTTTCCAGTGTAGCACTAAAATATATCGCCAACAAAGGTGTTTACTTTTTAATTGGCCACATTCACTTACACTGACGTATGCTTCCGCGCAGAACGTCAAGTGAAAGGGTCTGCGCTCCAAATGCGCGGTGGTGTGCAAAGCGGATCCGGTGGCGAAGCGCATCGATACCATCGATATTTTCTCATTCAAAGCTGTGGTAAAGAATCGATTATTAAGGTGTTCGATGCGAGCACCCTGTTCATCGATCCTTTTCCATAGGTTTAGATGGCAAATCCATCGATATATCGCAAAGCACGCCGCGACACTGAGCGGATCGTTCCTGTTGACAGCCGTTGCTTTTCTGCAGGCACCTGAAGCAAATGCGGCAAACAATGCGGTTGTATCGTGCAGACTCAGCGCGTCTAAAGCTCGTCTGGAAAACCGGGAATAGTCGGGAATGAAAGCAGATCAGGGAAATGAAAGAAAAGTCAGGGAATCTGGAATTTTTTATCTGAATATTTCCAACTAAATGGGTTTTGACTTTCTAAACACGCCAGGGAAAAACTGATTCGCGATGCACCAATGAGGACTCGAAATACGAAATTTGAGTTCAGTGCTTTATTTACGCACAGCGTCTCTTTGAGACAGGGTGCGCGCGCGCGTGGGACAGACAGATCGTGAGTTCAAGACGATGTTACTTAGGATAAATGGATGAGTCTTCCTCGCGGTGATGTTAGTGTAATTCGATTTCAAAAAGCAATCGAAAAAAAATTTGCAAAAGGTTTTTCGCAGTGAAACCAGAGTCGAGAATTGTTCTTCTTCATTTACAGACGCGTGCAAATTCTCAATGCAGGACGACTTGAAGAGTCAGGAAAATCGCCCTTGAATTTGTTTAAAATTATTACAATTAAAGTTAAATAGATCGCACAGTTCTTGAGAATTTGCAGGGCCTCAAGTTGGCTAAAACAGCCAAGAAAACAGGTGAAAATTCACTTAAAATTATGAAATTACGTACATTAAGAAGATACATAAAAACAAAAATGGATTCAAGTTGATCTATGGATGTTCCTTTTAGTTTTGGATTAGTTACGGATTTAGTTACTTAACTAAAATCAATATGCGAATTGTTCTTCGATGATTGGAGATCAAGAAAAGTCTGTTTCATAATTTTGAGAAAAGACTAATTCTGATGAAAATGGGGGTCATGATAACCCGAGCTCCAAAGGAAAATGTGCCAAAGCTATGATCGGTTTAGGACCTAAAGTCCCTTTGCCGCAACTTTCAATATAAACCCTAGTATTGCACGGGGAACCTCTAGTTATACAGGATAAAATCCTGAAGTCTGGACCACTTCTGGTAACTTTTGAACAGTTGCATTCCGAGATTCAAAATTTTTGGGGTATACTTTTCTGTCACCATTCGCTGCGTTTTAACTCGTTCAATAATTCGACTGTCTTGAAATTTTTACAAAATCTCACTAATTTTTCTTACCCTGTGAATGATTTATCACGAAGGATAGCGGTCATTCGATAAAAAAAGTTTGAGGACTCTGGTCTCCCTTAATGATCCCCCAAAAATTGTAAATACGGTAAAAATCAGCTTTTTATGATCAAAGAATATAATATGAAAACATTTAAATCTCTTAGTGCAGGCACCCATTCAGGTTAACAGGCGGGTTAATGGGACATTAAAAAAAAAAAAAAAAAAAAAAAAAAAAAAAATTGAATTACAATTCCTTCGATAAGCAGAGGGCGGAGGAATAGATCGATCAACAGGTGTCACTTGCCTAATTAATAATCTGTTCACTATCGACTGTACCGCACGTAAAAAAGAATTCGGTTTCATCAAGACCCCGCAAGAAAGTTTGCATGATCAAGGAAGAAAAATTCGCTTAGTGAAGAACACATCAAGACAGCACTGAGATGTAGGGTGCACTATCAAATGCTAAGGTCAAGTGACGAATGTAGGGCCAACACTGCACCAGTCCACAGGTGGATGAACTGAGACAACACGCTAAGTCATATTTGTAAACTTTACTTTTTAAATCGCAGAGAAAAGCAAGCAACAATTAATTTCCGTCGCAAACTTACAGTAAATAATTATTCCGCGAAAAATGAGTATAATCACATGCAATGAATTCATACAAAATGCTCGTAAAATCCAAGTAAATCTTGGATCCCTACCTCACAAAAAAGTACAAAATGCGAGTAAAAGTCAGATAAAATATAATTTAAATATTTTGTAAGTTTTAACTAGACCTAAGATCTTAATTTTTTCTTGTTTATACCTGAGCAATAAAAACATTTACTTAAAAATTACATTTTTTTTTATAAATGAAAAAAATTCAATTTTAGTGATATGTTGGTCTCTTGTTTCTCCACCTTTGAACAGGCCTTCCTATTTTTACACCGACATTTCTTTTCCATAACTTTTTTAATGTAAAGAAGCAGTTATACGACCACTTTCTCTTTCTTCGTTAAAGATAAGAATATTCAATCAGCACTGCGATACAGTAAAGATGGATAAAAAAGCTATACAACTGTTCAAGTTTCAGCACCTTGTACACAAGGACTGCTTGCGTTTATATAGGTTCCTTGTGAAATTAGCAAAGATCACTATCAAAGAATTACATGAGGTAGGAGATCTAAACTCCGATGTAGACGTCGATTGAATAATTTAATTCATGAAAAATTATTAGTTTATACTTTAAAATACACAGGCATACGAAGATTCTTAAATGGAGTGAGGCAAGGATCTTAGAAGGTAATTCGCACTGTATTTTTAACGCTGAGTGATAAATGCTCTCCAATTTCTATTATCACGTGAGGATTATTCGGAAAATCGATAGTTTCCCGGGGACGAGGGACTTAAGGGAGAGAACCCCAATTTCAACAAATTTTGCTTTTACTCGGAAAAAACGGATGCTGTTTTTAGGCGACAAGATTCAATAACCACCTCACCGGAGACTTTAACACGGGAGAAGAAAAAACAACTAAAACTAGAAGAACAGCTTGTCAAATGGCCTTGATCGATAAATAAAATTGAGAGACAAGTATTTGTCAATCGACATAGTTTGACATCAGGTTCAATGATCGGCCCGCTGGAGACTTTAACGCGAGGGATGATAAGACTTTCCTCCATACCCATACCCAAGTAGCATTTTTCAAAGAAAAAATCTTGATGTTTTGAAATTAAGTTGCGATTTTTTTAATGATTTTTTGGCGATAAAATCGCTGGGATCATCAACATCTCAGCGATTATCCTCGATATTTCAGCAATTTTATCTCTATAAAATCGCGTTGGATAAAATCGAAATTTTATCAGAATTTAACACGATTTTTCGGTTGATAACAATGCGATGAATCGCCGTCGATAAAATCGCGATTTTATTGCCAATTCATGCAATTAAATCGCAATTTTTTATCCGATAATATTGCAATAGCTCGACGTCGATAAAATCGCGATACATTCTCCGATTAAAGCGCAATTTATCGCGATCACTGCTGTTTGGGTAGGAGAGGTAAGTACCTAAGTTGAAAATTTCGGCCACTTACTCCGTGCAAATTTTATCTATACGTTGTGCGTCTGAAAGAAAGAGCGATTTTTTTCTAAAAACATCTGATACTGGTACATTTGGTGCTTTCGGTTCCCGAGACAGAAAATGACATTCCGCCATATCTATCACTAAGTACTTTTTTGGAAAATCGAATTTTTCAAGGAATTATTTTGTTCTTCGACGCTTAAAAAAGGCACTTAGGTCTAGAGGAGTCTCGATCTAAGATCCTTGCCTCAATTTGGCTCTACGCCCCTTGAACATAGTCGTCCTAATTTTTTTGTAACCTTTGCAGGATTATGTATTTATTTATTGGCATTCATTTCAATGAGAGTGCAAAGTTAACTTTGTTTGGACAGATTTTTCCATTTGTTTAAAAAACTGAAACCTTATGCAATGGCTGTTTCGAATTTAATGCAATAGCCGGGTTGCTGATCGTCGTAATCTAACTAACCAACCAGCCATTGTTAGGTTTAGACCGAGAGCGCACATTTTTCAATTTTTTCTTTTTATAACCTACTTAATAATGGGGATTAAGCCTAAATTAACCATTGCTTCAGATTTGGCTAGATAATCGAACCAAGTGCAAAAATCTGTAAGAAAAGTTTATTACTCACTCCCATTCTACAAAGTTACTATCCTGCATTAATGTGTATTTTAGGAAGGCTTTGAATTTTTCTCATTTCCTAAAGACATAAAATTCCAATTGGGTATTTTTACATAAAATTGACCGACCCAATAGCAAAAAAAATCCTTTTCAGCTGAGCTTAACATTATGTTAAAATCTACGATTAATTACTTTATGTATGCATGCCTTAAAAGTGTGATAAAAAATCAATAGCATTCTGTGATGCTGTTGCTCAGGGCGAGATAAATTTTTTTCGGTTTATGAAAAGTGGGTTAGAGCAGTTTTGACCCTACATTCTTCGAGTATAACGTTGTGAAAATTTGAAAAATCCAAGGCAATTACAATCTAAAAATACATTTGAACCCTTCATGATGCCTTTAATATCATAGATTAACTATTAAAGATAAGATAAACTAACTGCTATGTTAGCTGGAATCACAGACTTTTTTCGCTCAAAATTCTGCCTCATCAAAAACAAATGTAAAAAACTTCAACGGACAACCCCTTACAGACAGGATCGTCTTATTGCAACAAAAGATGAAGGTTTTTCTTGGCCATCTAGATACCTTTTTCAGAATAGCTGGACTAGGAAAATGCATTCTTTTGGATTCGTTTTCAAGCAAAAGACTAGGGAGGGAATGATTGCACGTGGGATATAACAATGTTTGAGAGCAAAACGCAACGACATTAAATAACAGGCGATAAAGGGACAGAATATGAACAAAAAAAATATCACAGACACTGTGGGGGCCTCAGAACAGCGGGGTGTGAAATAAAGAAAAATCATACTTAAAAAGAAAGTTACGGTATACGTAAATTACACGGTATACTGGCTACGTGAGAAAATATTTTCCTCTTGGAAAAAACAAAAATTAATTCAAGAGAAAGATTTGATCCAAGCTTTTTATATTGCCTCCGAACGACAATGAATGAATATTTAAAACTTAGACGTGCTACGGGATACTCTCCAGGCAGATTTCAACTTTACAATGACATTATTTTGCCAATTAAGTATCTAAGCAACTGCCGATTTCAGAAGCCTTTAGCTTTCTTCATGTGTAAAAAAATGTTAAAATTTATAAAACGCTAAATATAAACAAAACAAAATAACAAATAATTTTCTATGCCGAAATTAAGTAGATTAACGAAAACAAATACTGAAACTTTTACTATACGCATTAAGGAAATTACAAGAGCATCCATAAAAAATTGAAACTTTAGAAAAAAATAACTTTGTTTCACTCATTATTTTATCGAAGGTATAAATGAATCTTGGGATTTGAAAAACTACATACGTCCTTTCTTTTTTAGAAATTAAGTTTTTAATCAGTATAGATTCTTGAAAGGTCTATCTGAATAGCATTTCAGAATTTCTGCTCTTAATCACATTAAAAAGTGGTATCAAGAAGGTTAGTAAAGAAACAGAGGGTTTACGTATGTTTAACAACCGCTCACATTCATTTTTGAATTTTATTTTTTTTAAGCCTTTATTTGATGTGATCAGAAAAACCTTTAAAAAGCTTGATGGGCAATGTAATCAAGGACAAGAAAAATTGTTTTCCTACCACAACATAACACGCTCTCACTTTTAGATACAGTTTGTTGTCCCTCCTTAAAAGTGAAGTGGACTGGACATTCGTAGCTTTTCAAAGCCAGTGCAGGTGTTTCCTGAAGTAAATAAATATTCTGAGGTTCATAAACCCAAGAGTTTTGCATCCTTCGAAATTCATTTCTTTTATCAATTTCACGAAAGTGATATTTGAATGTTTTTATGACCTTATTTGTGACAAAGGTGTGATGATAAAGGATAAAAAATGGCACACAAAAAAGCAGGATTCAGGTGTGCAGGACCTGAGTCTGTCAAACTAGGATAGGTGTTTTCTTGGGCCTTATGCCAGAACTGTATAAGAGTCACTGGAGTCAGAATGGATACACAAGTCCTTATTTCCACACAGTCATAACTTAAGTTCTCGTTAATTATAAACCAAAAAATAAGTTTAAAGGTAGCACTACAGGGGAAATGTTGGATAATAATTCTGCACTTTTCTTGTGAGGGTAGTCAAATTTTTAATTTAAATTTTTTCGCTAAATTTCTTTTCAGTCCTCTAAAACAGGAACCAGGAAGTTCCAGTTCCACATTGAACAATATAAAAAAAAGTTTGTCACCTGCATTTGCACGGATTTGACAGTTTCAGTTTTGTAATTAGGTTCAAGAGGGCCTTTAAAGCATGAGGGTATTGAATGCCTTTTGACATATTGGGGAAGTCGTGAACCTCCAAATTTTGTTTCTGCACAAACTTAAGCCTTGCATCATTAAAGATTGCCATTCACTGCTATGAAGTGATGGCTTGATCCATTTTTTAGGAAATTAATCGGAAGAATGGAAACTTAGATAGAATCAATACTGGATCTAAATACTTAGTGCTGGCAGTTTGGAAATCATAAAGAATTTAAGTCAGTATTCTCAAGTAACTTACACAAAATTTAGTTTTCCCTCATCAACCTTGGTGATTATTTTGGATCCCACCATAGATAATTGGTTCATTGGGTTTCTTTAAAAGTACTGGTGATTTTAGGGGCTTCTCTTTTATAATATTCTTCAAACCTTCCCCTGCATATGAGATGAGAGGAGAAATTTCACAAATACAGTCAGAGTTACCATCGAATATTCCACCTGCTTCCTCCAAAAATTTTTTGTGCAACCTGTACAGGGCTTTGATGGCAGTTTTAGGACAATCTTTTCCAGCCGAGTCAGCATTTTTCAGAGCACTGAACTCTTCATCCCTACTAACTTCCCAAACAACTAAATGATCACTGAACTGAAAGGCATCAAAAATAAATTTTTCCATTTTAATTCCATTGGGTTTATCTGGAATACATCTTTGGCCATTGGAAGAAACGAAAGGTATCTTTTTCTTAGCAATATGTAACTTAAGATCACTTTCAAATTTAGTTGCAACGTTCCTCAAAAAGTCTGTGGTGAAGAAATGGTTGCAAATGCTCCCTGCCCTGAAAGTTAATTTACCATCATCATCTTGTTTCATAGCTGTTTCCAAAGTTATTTCACTATATTCTACAACTTGGAACTTGCCATTAACACTACAAATGACTCCAAGAGCTTCAGTAGGAGATGATTTTTCAACGACTTTAGCACCACAATCGGCTTTTTTGTGGATACAGTAACCAATAAAGATTGGATCAGCAACCTTTACCAATATATTGTCAACACTGTGAGCATGCAGATATTTGATCCCTCTGGTTTCCATTACCCTCAGGAGTCCGTTGTCTTGTAATGCACGGTATATTCCTCCATTCCCATCAGGCGCTTTAGAAATCTTGGAGCGATTGTCTAAGATGATTTTTCCATCAAGAGTGAAACAAGGCAACATACCTTGTTCAAATAATATAACATCATTCTTGTTCAATCCAAAAAAATTATGTTTCTTGAAAAATTCCAAGGTGGGTTCTTTCGTGTGCTCACTTGTCATAATAAACCAAGTGATGGTCCCATATTTGCCCGTTCGCTCCTCAGCTAATTCACATAATTTTCTTATGCGTTCAGCTTGAATTTGATACAGTGACTTATGAGATGGTAATCCAACATCGTACATACCTTTAGGATATGTAACACCCAGGCGCGTTCCTTGGCCTCCAGCAAGTAAGAGCACCCCAACTTGACCGTTTGAGATAGACTCAAGACCAATATTTTCATAGAGCTCCAAGTCCTCCGAAGAGGTTCTAGAGACGGCTCCATAGAGATGGGACGGAATCGGCTGCATCAGATCGTCCAATTTCTTTGTCTCTTCAAGAGTTGCAATGGAACTCTGGAAGTAAGAGGTAGCCTCTGGCACATTTGTGCTCTTAATATCCTTCAGTAATTCTTCCTTCTCGATGTCACTTAAGTTGTCCCAGAACTGAAGAATATGTGACTGGTTGTGGGCAGCTAGAAGAGATCTAACCTCGACAACGTCAATCATGACTGAAAAATCCCTTTCGCACAACACTGACAACCGAAACAGACTAATCCGTAAGGACGGAGACGCTCACTGACAACTGGCGAACTGGCCGGGAGTGAAACTAAACTGGACCAAAAACTATACATGAGCGTGAAAGTGATATAAAAACGAATCCACGATCCACGTCCACTTTTCTCCCACCATGGAAAAAATAATAATAAATAACCCATGGAGTAAGAGAGAGAGGGCGATGGCGATCAGAGGATTTGTACCCTTAGACGTCACTGGGTACACAAGATGCCAAGTAGATGCCAAGGGGCCAGTAGACCAATGGGAATCGAATATTGAAAAATCTGGTACCCACCACCAGGTACCTCTGTTTCAGTGTTCCTGTGTTTGTAACCGTCAAAACTGTCAAAAGAAACTTCAAAGTCCAAAACAACTAAACTTTGATAATTATTTTAACGTGAATTCAGTCCCAAATCATTTAATTTTGCCCCAGTCCGCGCATTGTGTGTGCTCCTACGTATCATAAAAGCTGTTAAAGTGTTCTGTCTTCAGAAAGTACGAAGTTATCGCTTATTTTAGCCAAAATCTTGTGCATCACTTGCCTACATGCTTCTATTCACCCTCACACTCACCGTTTGATACTTGTGTACATATTTATTACCCTCGTTGATCATTCATTATCATGGTTCGTATTTTATACACATTGATTTATTTTATATCTGTACCGTTTACCATCATATCGCAAATAAAATAAATCAGTCCCTTGATGCAGTCTATTTGAAACAGGAAGACATGCCATCTCTCCAGGGTTGCTTCGTCTAGATAAGTTTTTTCTCTTTTACTTTGTTTGACCCGCTATAGCATCATGTTGGATCAGTGCATCCAAGAGGTGCTGTTAAATTTCCAGTTCTTGTACTAAGTATGTGACAGTATAAGTAGATGCTGTTAAAATGAAACTTTTAACTTCCACGGTCCTGAGGAAGCTGAGTGAACTTTCAGAAACTTTAAAAATAAATTGGAAACCATATGATTTTCAGGGTACAACAGGCGAGGAACTCAAACAAAGTAGTTGACTTAAATCAACCCACTGTACTGATAGTGGACATATAGCTTAAAGTTGCCAATGGCGCTTCCCCATGAAAAAACTTCTGGCTTCAAAGAGTCTCATTGATGTAATTGATGACTGTTGCCTATTAAAGATTGTCGGCCCGACAATCTCTGAAGGTAACCGATTGGTTTGAAATATATCCTAGATCAAATCTTGAAGTTATCTTGATAGTGCCAGTTTGAAAGCCAGGATACACAGTTTGTGCCTGGAAAGACGCTTGAATGACTTAAGCAGCAATGAGTAATGAACCATTTTAATACCAAGTTAGCTTGGGCATAATTTGATGCGACCAAAGTCAAGTATTTCTGATGTCACTGCTCATCAGTAGTACCATTTGAGTGCATTTATTAGCCTGTTGAGAGGTGCTGAATTGAAGTAATCAGAGATTGGCATTTGTCTCAACATTTGATGACCGAGCTCTAGGAAATAGCAAATGGATTACAGTGACAATAACCTATCATTTAAAAAAATCCTTTCATGTTGGGGAAAGTTGCATGGACTCAAGAAATTTTATCAGGAAAGGGTGGATTGCCTGATATTATTATTACATTTTTTAAAAGATCTACTAAAAGTCTAAATGGTTTCAATTTTCAGCGTTAGCTGAACTGAGGCAACATGTACTCTCCTGTCGCCCGAAAATATTTCCACTTGGAAATGTCATCTTCTCTTGATGAGAAGATGAAATCTTCCACTCCATTTAGTGAAGCTGCAGCAGATAGAAGACTATCAGTGGACAACAATGATTCATCCAGAAGGCGAACATTGAAACGACACCAGTCTCTTCCAAACGTAACTAATGCAAATGTAAGATCAGTTTTTGTCTGTAATTCTTCTCCTCCTCTTTGATACAACAAAATTTAATGTCAGACAACCCCATTAGATCTTGGAGCTTCAGACTTCAGGAGCTGCATTTAATGAGTTTGCAGATTTTACATTGATATGAATGTGATCCAGCTCCTGGACGTCTGTGAATAAATTCTAAATAGTATTTCCATTTATTTGTCACTGGCACTGGGACCTGAAAAGCCTTGTTTCTGTTTAGAAATGTTTTGTTTGATTCGGGTTGAAGTCAAATGCTAGATAATTCCAGGACTGAAGTAAAATGCTAGATAATTCCAGGACTTAAGTACCTTATGGTCACCGTGCAGGTGCACAGGGGTGCAAAATGTTCCAAAATACTGATCAATTTCTGCAATATGGCATTTTTGCCCCATGGAAAAATGTCCAATTTCTTGGCTTAATGCTTGATTTCATGGCAAAACATATATATTACCTAAAATGCTTATACTAATATTCCAAATAAAAGATAGAAGCCTCCCCTCCCCCTTCAACAGCTGCAAGCAAGTTGACCCCCCTGCATGTTCACCGAGGGAAATAAGTTAGGGTGACATGTTCTTGAAAAGCTATGGATAACCTCGAAAATTCAGGGAATTTTGCCCAACCCTCAAAAGTTAGGGAATTCCTCCCTGGAACCTTGAAATTTTTCTAAAGGCTGAAATATTAAATTATTTTCAATTCTATGAGACTTCTTGCTGAGATTGTCTCATGAAAAGCACATTTTACAAGAAATAATGCCAAAAATCCCAATGAAAAGTCATAGAAAAGTCAACGAATTTTCGAATTGAAAAAAACTTGTCACCCTGTAAGTGTATTTTCTGAGAAGCAGTCTCATTTTCTTTAGTCTCTCAAACACCTCAATGGATCATGCTTTTACCCATCATTAATGCAGATTCCTTAAAGCATTTGTTTGATTTTGTGTCCACAGAAAGCTATCAATCATCCGTCAAGTCCAATTGACAGCTTGACCCGCATTGATTCTGATTTACAATTAATGAAAGTCATCCAAGAACGGGATAAAATGAACCTAGAGCTTATTAAACTTCAAAAGATGAATCAGAATCTTCAAAGAACTTTGAATACCGAAAGAGAAAATTTCGAAACATGCAAATTAAAGCTCAGTGAAAGTCTCCACGTAAGTTATTTCATTATAATTTTTGCCCTCTCTTTTATCTATCGTGTAAAATGATAATTTGCCCCTCAAGTGCCGCATTTTCAATTCTTCTGCATCAACACCTATCATGAGGTCTCTTTAAAGGGAATAGACTTCCCAACAAACTCTGGTTCCTTTTTGCAAAGTTGCTGTGTCTAAACTGAGCCAGAAATAGTGGTTCCCCATTGCTAAATTTAGTCAAGTTGTTTCCCACAAGTTTCAAATGTTGTTCAAAGGAAACACATACTTCAAACGATCAATGTCCATGTTTTGAAATAAATCTATGATATCAGGTATCATTATCACGCATTTGCCTCCTTACTAAACTTTGTTTGTATTTGCCGACATGTTACAGGATGAGAAGGTTAGAGAAAGTTTAAAAACGGCAGAATTGAAATATTCCATCAACAAGAAGCTTGCTAAGCAGTTCAAAAATCTCCTGGAAGAAAAAGAAAAGCAGTTGGAAAGTTTGAAAGTTGAGAATGAAATAACACATTCAGAATTAAAGAAGAAAGAGGAGCAAGTTAACACCATTTGCCATAAATGCTCTGAAAAAGGAATTGAGGAAGAAGATGCAACTGCAAGAGTTCAGATACTTGAGGCTCAACTGACAAGAGCAAGAGAAATATCAATTAGTGAACGCAAAGTTTCCAAAGAACTTCAGACAGAACTTTGGAAGAAAGAAAGGGAGCTCAAAGATACAAAAATAGATTTGCGAATTGCCCAGCGAAGCTTGAAGTCAGCGGAGGAATCAATTAAAAAACTGAATGTAAGTACTACAACCATTTCATCAGTAGTGATACTTGCTAGTTTGCAACAGCAAATTAGTCCATTTAAATGCATGTAAAACTATTGATATCAATGGATGCAAGCGCTAGCATCTAGAATTGATAGTTTATATTCGATTTACATGGAAAATATACAATATTAGTCCAGTAAATCCAGCGTGTAACCTTGGTTAAATCCCTACATAGTTTTTTTTGCAGAAACTGTCAAGATTCACAATCCGGAAAAAGACAGGGGAAAAAAATATTGAAAAACTTCACTGGGAACTTGGTTCAATTCCAGTTTCTCCAAATGGCAGAGCCAAGAACGATTTTCAACGAAGCCTCCCAAATAGTTTATCCATTGCAACTGTGAAAGTAACCATGTAATGAAAAAAAAATGTGGGAGACCAATTTGAAAGATCTCAAAATTTGGTTCTGAAGTGACATTTGCGTCATTTGCTTTTGTGTTTCTCGTTTTTTTTCTCCCGATCATACCAATTTTAGAATAATGTAGAGCAAAATATGGTATGTATAAAACAGGCTTTTTGTCTTTTTCACCCGTTTTAGCCCAAAACCACCACCGGTAACAGGTTAAATGCGACTTCACTGCTGAAAAAAAAAAATTAAATATTACCATTTAAAACTTTTCTTTTCTTACCCTTTTACCTTTTTTACATAAAAAAGACAGATTAGTCAAAGCCAAGACAACATTTCTGTGATTGCAAAGGTGTGGTTTTGTCAGCAATTGAGGCAACATACCTGACCCTCTTTATTTAATATATCAATCAATTTCAAGGTAAATCTAAATCAGCAGATACATACCAATTCAGAGTCGGAGTCATTATATTGTTATTAGGATTTTTCCTTGTTGTTAAGATCGGAATTTATGCAACGCCCGTTAACATCCAAATTTATTTTTTTATAACTGCACCTCATGGTGTCACGACCTTATGTTGTATTCAATTTGATTAACGTAAAGACAGATTCTGCATCAGGAGGCTACGCCTAAAATAGGACAGTCCTCTTTATTCTTCCTTCATTCATTTCCATTACAAGCATTAATAAAGTGTGTCCCATTCAAAGTTTGAATCTTGAAGTAACTCCTGAATGAATAATACTTGACAGCTGATAATATGAATTGCATTTTGCAAAAAGGAACCTAGAGCATTCCAATGTTGCTGGGATTGTGTAACTTAGGTTCTTCGCAATAAAATTACTGAAATTAAGCAAAATATTAAATTTACAAAGGTAACTTTCGTCTTTAATTTATAATTTATTGGGAGTAAAGATACAACTTGTTTAGATGGTCAGTTTATACTCGTATTTACAAAGTAAAAAAAGCTGTACAATCTTAGGGACATTCGAATGCTCTCAGTTCCTTTTTGCAAAATGCTATAATTATAGGAGACAGTTGCTTTGGTTGTATTCAGATTTCTGGAGGGGTACTTTTTTTTTTCGGGAAAGAATCTTTGACAGAGATCACGGAGGATTTCCTTTTTATTAACAGCACAGAGGAGTAATACTGCTCCTCAGCCAATTTCTTGATGCATCCTTGAATTTTATTAAAGGTACGAGATTGTCTTAGAAAATCCTTAAGCTTAAGATCTGATATTAACCCATTGAATGTAGCTGGGTTACTGGTTTTATCATTCAAGAGGTTAAAGAAAGAATTGATTGATGTTATTTGAACAGTTACCGCTTTAAATTTGTAAACTAGGTTTTTTAATGATTAATTCCCTCAGTTGGTTATTTTTTTACATTCATGTAATTCTCCTCAAGTTTAATGGTGGATTTTTTGTCCCTTCTAAATTTTGAATAAATTCAGAACCCTCAAAGCTCTAAGTCCCTTTTTCCAGCTTTTGTAGTTTGATCTGCTTGTTTTTATGTACTTATACCAGATTCAATAAATTCCCATGCTACTTTATTATCATTTTCCAATTGAACAGGAAGAAGGATTTGAATATGCATCAGCTGCATTGAAAGAAAAGGAAGCCGTTTTCAATGAGGAGAAAGAATCTTTACAGGTATGCGAAATCTCTGCAGCCTTACACGTGATGTACCTACCAAGTTTTTTTGTAGTTTTATTTGATTTTTTACCAAGTAATTTCTTTTTTTCATTTCTTTGCTTCATCATGCATTTAAAAATTGTTTAAAATTGGATTTAAAAAAACCTGTGCTATCTAAAATGGCTCATAAATTAAAATTAGATTAATATAGCTATCAATGCCATAAGAGGCATTTTCTCTGGAAAAGAATTTTATTTTCCATCATTCTTACTCAAAATTAATGTTGAATTAGTGAAAGCTGAGTCATCCAGTTAGTCGACCTTACTTTAAAAAAGATGGTTTTAAGAGTGATATTCCTGTAACTTTTAGCTCTGAATCCAAATTTTTATGTAATCCATTATTTCATGTGTCGTTGATGGTGCTTACCTCTAATGGAGATGTTGCATGAGTGAGGAATTTGCGATTTGACTATTGATTCCTATGTAATAGTTCGCAAGAAACACGACGGTGTTACTGGTTTTCTCTGAAATCAGCTTCCAAGCTTAAAAAAGGCTCTCAAGTTGAGGCCAAAATGGAGGGGATATCCTGCTCTATCCTGAGAGTCCATCTCTACATCAAGACAAACTCTCCATGCAAAGATAGGGAGCAAATACATTAGCAGGGTTGCTGTGTATTCATTTTTACAGTCCACAAATAAAGTGGCAGCCCTGTCAATGTATTTGCTCCCTATCTTTGCATGGAGAGTTTGTCTTAATGTAGAGGTGGACTCTCAGGATAGCGTGGGATATCCCCTCCATTTTGGCCTCAACTTGAGAGCTTTTTTTGAGCTTGGGAGTTGTTTTCAGAGAAAACCACTGGCACCATTGTGTTTCTTGCAAACTTTTAAATATGAATCAACAGTCAAATTGCAAATTCCTCACACATGCAACATCTCTATTGGAATAATGCCTACTTCTAATTGGAATAATAGAAATATGGCAAATCCCTGCAGCATGCTGTCGAGTCAAATGCAACTTCTCATATCATGAGCTTATTCAATTTTTTTTGCGTCAAATATGTAGGGAGAAGTGAAAAAATTGCGAGGTGAATTAGAGAAAGCACAAACTGAGTTGAATGAAGAAAAATCATCCTTTGCTGCCGTTAAAAATGATCTTTTGATAATGGAAACAAAACTGAACGAATCTCAACACAAAGTGAAGAGGCTGGAGCACAAATATGAAACTTTGGAATCAAACTTTAAGACCTCTGAAACACAAGTAAGTATCTGTTTTATAATATCACCACTAACTTGCTACCCATCTATGAATTATTGAATTCCTCTACAGTGAATATGGTGTTAACAGTGGAACAGCCAAGCACTTCAAAAAGCTGAAATAAAATAAGCAAAATGGAAGAAGAAGGTTTATGATGAAAAAATTAGAAGAAAGTAATTTGGAAAGTTTTGAATTCATATCATACTCTACAATGTAAATTCATAAGAGGCTCAACGCCTGAGGTGCAAAGCGCTTCAGGGGGTTGGACGGCAAAGCGTTTAGAGGAGCAGCCCCCTAGCTTATGATAAGTAATCAAAACCTACAACAATACAAACATTGCATAACATTAAACAAGACAAAGTAACCAATACCTAGCGCGAAACACTTCTGACAGGATCAGCAGAATTAATTGCTCGGATGGATCAAAGCGCAGAGCAAATCGCAATGGACCACTAGACAAGGTACGAATTTAAGCATTCTGATACATGTTTCTTAACCAGAATTTCACGTAGAACACGATTCGCGCAACGAAAATTACTGAAACCAACTCCTAACGAAGATATTAACGTTTTTATTTCACATTGGTTACGAGGAATTTGAACTGCCCGCTCACAAGAAACTCAAAGCTCTACATGAGTCAAATCGCACACTACAACGGTTTCAGCAAGCTTCTCAATCGAGCAATGTTCATTTCCCACCATGTATTTTTCAAACTATAAGCGATTTGCTATAGCTGAGCCAAAGTGTCAAGATTGAGGTTGCCAGATTTTTTTATCGTGGAGGCGTTCATGATAATGTTGAGCGCTCGATGTGAATCAAGTAGAGCATTGAGTTTTCATGAGCGGGTGGTTTCAATTCACGCACCAAGAATCATTAAATATCTTTGGAAGGAGTTGATTTTTGTAATTTTAGTTGTGCGCATCGTGTTTTACGTGAAATTTTGGTGAAGACACATGTATCAGAATGCTAAAATTCGTACCTTGTCTAGTGGTCCATTACCCTAACCTACTCTAAATTTTATACTAAACTCCATGCAGTAAATTTTATTGTCAGATTTAAATTGTAGTAATTTTTTTTTTAAACATACAACACAGTTTTAGTCGTTCTGGAGGCTAACTTATTTCATCCTGCATGAATTTCCTGTTACCATCTTATTTTTTAGAAGCTGATAGCATGACAGACACGAGTGCTTTTTCATTCAAGAATCAAAGTGTAGATGCTAAATTGTTAATCATCATAATTAAAAAGCTACTGCTCTGATATTTTACTTTGACAATTTTTTTTTTTTTTTTTCTACCATCAGATTAAAGAGCTAAAGGCTCAGTTGGAAAACAAAGAAATAAATAATGCTGCTCTGAAAGCAACTTGCATGGACATGGATAGTCAGCTTGATGCGTTTGAGAACTTAAATGAAGACCTAAGGAAAGAGAAAGCTAACTTGGAAGAAAGAGTACATCACTTAAAGGTACAGTTCCGGATTCATGAGCAACTTTTGCTTCATTATTATTTCTCTTATTTCCTTTCTTCTCTTGTGAGGCTATTTTAACGTGATTGAAAAGTGTAATTTAGAATTAAGGACTATTTATCAACTGGAATTGCTGGCTTAATGAGCCGTGCATTGCAACTCTGAAACACCTTGTTCAGAGTGTCACTCATCTTCAAAATCTGAGAAGTTTCAAGCTCCCCTGAACTGGCAGCATGATAAGAGGAGTAAAACTCAAGTATTGTTTCCAGGAATATCTTATGAAAAGAGCATGATGAAAATATAACGTACATCCTTTACTTTTCTCATCTACTTTGAAATGTAGCTAAGATCAGAAGCTAGCAAAGAAAAAAAATGTTTGTATACCCTTTATCTTTATTGTGTATATGCTATTTCAAACAGAAAATGTTCTGGTGAGAAATGAATACCGCCAGAGGAGGGGTATCGTCAAGAGTCTTTTTGGGTCCACCCTGAAATTTGTTTGTTTTGTTGTGAAAACCTGTTTTGGTCTTGATAGGACTATGCTGTAGTACAACATTCGAATCCAAAATTCCAAACTACTCCTCACAAATAGTAAATAGGTACACCTTCGGGGGTAAATTAAGTGAGCCTTGTTACATGTAATCGAAGGATTTTGAAAAACTGAGCATGCAACCATTATATGTAGAAGCCCAAATCAGATTCTGGCTGTCCTGAAAAATCTGTACATTTCTCTTCAAAGTTACAAAAATCTGTTTTATTTTCATGTTTTTCTTTCATTTGCAGGAAGAGTTAGATCAAGCCAAAGCAGACTTGAAAACCACTCGGATAGAATTAAATGAAGAACGGTCTTTAAAAATTGCAGCTGAAAGCAAATTGAGCATAGTAACCAAAGATTTCGAGGAAGCTAAGAAAGAGCAGGATGAGTGGAAAAGCAAAACTTTTTTGATCGAAAATCAACTTAGATCTTTAGAAATAGAGGTTAGTTGTTTCATTTTTTACGTATCAGTGAACTAACTAGGCCCCTTAAAAAGAAGATTTATCTTATCTTTTTATCAAAATTGTGTGGCATCAACTTAATTTACAGGGATAAAACTCTGTTTCCTCGCAAATTTGTTTTCAGGATTCATTAATGGTATCTATGTTATCAATCTCTAAATTATTCAGTGTGGAAAGCCCAATGCACTACTGTGGTAGATAATGTCATATACTGTGTTTCTCAATTGACAATGGGTGATATCCTTGTTAGTAATGGACTTAGAAATTGGGCATTTGAACTGATCCTCTTAATTTGTGCTAATCTATGAGCTCACCAAAATACGATATTGTGACTAGTGTATTATAACCCATTGCTGTATCATAAGATTATTACCAGAGAGAGGCAAAAAGACGGTTTTTAAAGATTCATCAAAAAAATTTATAGATGCATAGAGGTTTCATTCTTTGTCACTGTTTACTTTAAATAAGTAAAAAAATAAAAATGAAATAAAAAAAAAAAAAAAGGAGGATGAATACCATCAGCCTCAATGTATCCATCAAGTCCAATAGCTTCTGTCCCCCTGGGAATCCTAAGTGTTGGGCATGAAAGACACACATTTGTTGGATTGACTTACCTAGTCAAAATCTGATGTCAGAAATTCACCGTGTTTGCTCGCTCTTTGCAGCTGGATGAGAAGAAAGAGAAGTTTTTCATGCTGGAAGAAGATTTTGACAAGTACCAAAAACATGCAGAATTGCTTGCCAATGAAAATATTAGTCTCAAAGAAGAGCGGTCAAACCTACTCACACAGATTCATAGTGGACGAGAAAAGATTTTCGACTTGGAAGAGAAGGTTAATGTAAGTAAAAACCTCTCCCATCATTAAAATTCTGTATCTCAGAATATTTCAACTAATTTATTGATTAACTTCAGGGAATGATGTGTCTCCAGGCTGGTAAAGCCACGAATATCATGCGTTTGAATTTAGAAAAGTAAGAAGAATGATGTAACATCAGTGGTGTGAGCTTTACTTTGTCACATTCTGAAAATTCATTAGCACAGAAGTGTAAATGGCTTTTAAGATATTTCTACAGGTCTAATTCACGCTCATTCCTTAAACAGCTCCTTCCCCTGGGGAGGCCCTGTATGGTTTACTTTGTGAGTAAGGAAGCCGTGAACATAGCATCACAGAAAAAGATCACTTTTGTGAACCTTCAGTAAAATACAGTAGTATAATTCTGAAAATGTATCCTCACATTGAATTACAATGGTTTGCCTAAAAGTACGAATACAAGAAGAAAAATTTCACGCTCTTGAAAAACTTCAAGGTAGGTGCACATCTACCTCGAAATTCATGGACTTGCATCATATTTCCTTTCGTATTTTTTGTAGCGGCAAATCATTGTAATTCCTGGTGAGAATAAGTTTCCAGAGTTACATGACTAAATCTTACCCAAAATCTGCGAAAAATTCCGTAATCAGATTCTATGTTCAAGGCCTCCTTAAGCCTCCATCCATCAGAATGTAAACCATTTGGGGCCTCTTTGAGGGAAGAAACTGCTCAAGAAATGACTAAATATGATTCTTAGGCTCACTGATGAAAATCATCAAGAGGAGGGACGAAAATATTGAATAAAAGGAGATCCTAGCACACAGGTCACAATATTTGGAGAACACATGCAGTGTCTGGAAAGTAACTCATCTCCATAAATTTCGATCAAATTGAGTCACAGACTTGAAATCTTGGGAGTGTCCATAGGTCAAAGGGAACTTCTTTTGGAGCCTCCTAGAATTTTTGGAAGATTCCGCTCAATAGGGGCACAGACTTCATCTTTTTCTTTCTAATTTCAACCTCCCCTCCTCCTTTGTGATCCTACATTAGCAAGAGCATAAAAAAAAATGCAGAATTTTGGTTCAAACCTTAAAACTCTATCTATGACTTTTTAAAATATCAGTCAATCAAAGTAATCGTGCTACTTTCAACGTTATAAAGCTGCCATTTTGGATACGTGTCAGGGAGGAACCTCATGTTTTACCAAGAGGTTTTGTTTTTCATTCTCTTTCTGATTACCTAATTGGACAGTGGCAAAGTATTTTTGCAGGGTTGCTGTATTTTTTTTCTTCCATAAGATTTCGTGAAAATAACCAAATAGTTCGAAAAATCATTTCTGAGGGGAGAATCTTATTAATAGCTCATCAAAAGCTGACAGTCCAGTTGGCGTAGCACGACGATGCCTGAAACTGAGTTCAGACAATCAGCAAACGCCGTCTACCCTCGCCTGGCTACATTACCAGAGCCTTCCAAATTTCTTTTTTGTATCCTGTACCACTGTGTTGTTTTATCATGTAAATTATTTTTTCTCTTCTCCTTTTACTCCAGTCTTTGCACAAAAAAGTCTCTGAATTACAAAGTCATCTCACGAATGCTGAAACAGAGTATAGACAGAAAGAAATAAAGTATGAATCCACAGTTCAACAACAAAACAAGTTGATAAACTTCCTCCAAAATCACATCGATGGTTTAAAGAAAAAGAAGAGAACCTTCGCAGAAAAATTGCTGAGATCTCCCAACAAGGAAAATCTTGATCACAAAGTAAGTCCTTGTTCACAACTTTTACATTTCATGTTTGGTTTTTACAACATTTTTTTCTCTTTTTCCCCCTCTTTCTTTTTTAGTTCCAATTTCATTTAATTTCTGTCAAGTTCTCAAAAATTTGTTATGAAAACCTTTCTCAAAAATAGCATGTTTAGATCACGTCAGAATCATCTTCTCTTTTAACATTCTTTTTTAGCGTTTTTTTATGAACACTTTTTCATAATGGATTTACGTTCATGCAAACTGTTCTAAGTGTTATTGTCCTGCAATGAATTTCCAGCAAAAGCATCTGAAATTCCCTTGTCAACCTGATGTTAATTTCCATATGCAGTAAAGGCGGGTGCAAAAAAAAAAAAACTTAATTTGTCACAAATGAAAGTGCATCAGCTTCTCTCAAAGTTTGTTAAACGAAAACTTGTTTTTAGCGTAACAAAAATCATTTTTCTCATTTGAATATAATGATGCAACTGAATGAGGTTCATTATAAAAAATTATATTTTATGATCTTCTATCAGCCCTTAAAGCTTGTTTTATTTCATAGGTTCCCTCAACAATAATCACATCTGGCTTCCGACAACCGAACTCGATGACCACAAAAACACTCAGTCTTGGGAAAGAATCTTGTTACCGAGGAATTTTACCTGGGCTTGGAGAAAGTAAAAAAAGAATGACCAATCCTTTATCCGACAAAAATAATAAGACAACGGCGGAGGGAAAGAACTTGAGTGCAACTGATAAACAGAAAATGATGCCCAAAGGATCACTTTCTAAACCAGTAGTAAGTAAAAACAATCAGATTTCAAGTGATCATTTCTTAATGTATTTATTCATCTTTCTACTGAATGTATGAGGGGAAAAGTCATATATAATTAATAGGGCCGTGCGAATAGTGAATTTTTCAAACCTAGCAAATAGCGAATAAATTTGCCAATCATTGGCGAGTAACAAATAATTAAAGCAATTACTCTTAACTACAAATAGTAAAACGAATAATTTAAAATTACTTTTTTAAGTGTGAAAATTCGCAAATATTTCAAAAGTCGACAAAAAAATGTGATTCATTTGTTTAAGAATTTTCCATTTGCTCATACACCTGCACGGAAAACAAAGAAATGCTATGATAGTAGCCTGGGCTGTTAAGAATGTGTTTGAAGATCCCTGTATCCTGGCTTGACTGTTCCTGCAGTTATCTATGCATTCCCAGGATTTGAAGGTAACTGCGCGGGCAGTCAAGCTAGTATCTACGGATCACTAGACACATTTTCGATATTTTATTTTTTCCGCATTAATGAAAATTTCCCTCTTTCCGTCTTGGTTACTTAACTTTCAATGTGTAGTACTCCTGGAGCAACCAAGATATGCAGGCCAATCACAATCGCAAGCGATGTTTGTATACTCGGCAAAATCGGTAAAGATCGAAGGAGATCCCCCGTTTGAAATTTTGAAAATTCGTTATTCCAGACATTGTGAAAATTTAGAAATGTTGGTTTGAAAATGCACTATTTGCGACAGTGCGAATATTCGCAATTTGCGAAGAGTGTGCGAGTCAGACGAAGTGAATATTTGCACAGCCCTAAAATCAATCAAATTTTGCTGATAAATCCTGAAAATTCAATTAAAACTTGAGGATATGCGACTGTTCATTGGAAAATCAAAACTTCATCATTGATATCACAGCATAAAGGAGTTATCCTCAAAAGAATTTGGGACGAATAAAGCCACTAACAATCTTTCACCCTTTGAGGGTTTTTATGAAAACAAGGAATGTACTTATTTGATTGACTCTGTTTGCAGGTTCCAGCAAAAACGTATGAGTTGAAACAGAGCGGCTTGCCACAATGCTACAAAGGAGAGATTCTACGGTTTTTTGACAAGACAGAAAAACTGCAAATCAATTGTATTGAGCAAATAAAGGATTCGGTGAGTATCTTTTTTTTCTCTCCTGGTTAAAATAAAAAACTCTGCAAGAAAATCTATTAATATGTAAAAGTTTCATTTGAAGAAAAGTTAACAATAGGTCTGTTGCATACTAGAGGTACAGATAAATGAACAGTTCTTTAGGTGTGAAATTGTACAATTTACACGATGAGCACATCAAACAAGTCTGACATTTTTTTCCTAATGAGACATTTTGGAAGTTCACATCCTATGTTTTCAAATTTTCTGCGCCCAGTAACGTTTTATCTCATTGTCAGTGACCAGGTTTGCCTCGAAAGAGATTTTCAAGGAAAAAAATAAAAATTTTGAATACTTATTGTTCAAAAGGAGGGTAGGGAGGCAGTTTTTTATGTTAAGAAGGGGAAAGAAACGTCGGTAGTTATAGTGCGTCTCCCAGAGACACTTTTTTAGAGACCTTGCACCAGCAATGTAATCGAGTGAAGCAAAAGCTTAGTTTAGAGGTCAATGCTTCCCTTTGCCTGATGGGCCACGTGTTGACCCAAAAATCGAATAAAATTCGCCTAATGATGATTAATGAATTTCAGCGTGAGCTTTTTTCCAGGCGAGGTTTTGCGTGTTAGGTCAGGATTGCTAAACCAATTGCTCAATTCTTTTGTCATCTGTTATTATCTTACGAATCTGAGTATTTGCTTTTGCTGGTATCTTTTACATCACTAGGAATATAGTTGCATGGGGTCTCTAAAATGTGCTGTCACTGATCCTAACCAATGTCAGTGTGTCGTGAATTGGTTCGGCTGTTTTTATTCCTTCACTGGCTGATTGATTGATGTGGAAGATTGATGTTCGTGAGTTAGGCATTTAAGACAGTCATGTATTGGTAACAAGTTTCCATTTGTACTTTGCTTGTTTGAATTGAAGTACCACTCACTCCAAGTCATTCTTACTCTCGCTTATTCCATGTCACACCGCAGTTTATTTCTTATTTTGTTGTCAACAAGTAATGTCAACCATTTTAAATTATTTTTTCACAAGTAAAAATTTATTAATGAAGTGCAAACAAAGGTGCATATTAGATTTGAAGATAAATTGCCCTTAAAAAATAAAATTCTCTTTGGAATCAGAAAAGTGAATAACTGAAAATCATTTTGGAAAGGTGTGTAGAGCCTTCCATCCATTCACTAAGTAATTTTTTATTTTAAATTATTTATTTTTACTTTTCAGTTATACCTCCTGGGTTGCGATGAAGGTTTGTTCTCATTACGCACGCCTCCTACAGAAAGGAAGCAAATAGTCAAAATCTCTGGAGTTTCCTTTGTCACACAAATCGCTCTTTTGAGGAAGTTAGACATGGCGCTTCTAATTTCTGGTATTTCATAATTTTTGTCACTGCAATTAAGCTAAGGACATTTTTTTTCTTTTTTTGATATAGCTGGGAGAGTATAGTATTTTGGCCTTGAAGCGTATTGAATCAAATAAAAAAATAAAAAATTGAAAATCAAATAGTATGGAATATTTTTAGCTGAAATTGAACAGAGTCACCTCTCTCCATTCAAATGAAAGCAAAAATTCGTCAAGGACCATTGATTTTATGATTATAAAGGCATTTGACAGAAAAATTGAAATGTTCATTGGGGTGTATTTACCCCACCAATTTGAAAAAAAGCGCTATTTTACTTCAAAGGTGCCACACAAGTGGTGACTTATAGCAAGCCGCAAATCTAATTCCTATCTTCAAAATGGTAACTGTTAAAATTAAATAAGTCTCAATAAACTAGTATTTATAGAAAGGTTTTAGTCTAGTTTCATGCTCCTCTTGTAATAGCATTTTTTAATGGGAGAAAAAGGCATTTTTTTGAGTCCACACTTTAATATGAGAATAAAAATAAAAGTAGCGGCAGCAATACTCAACGTTTTTAAATTTTGCTCAAATGGCTCCTTTTACGTATCAGAACTGAATTTTATTTTGACTGAGTGAAAAGTCGAGAGTTAATCTTTGCAAGGGACAGCGTAGGCCACAGCGCCTATCGTAAAGCATAAAATATGAAGGCAAATACTTTAAGAATTTATGAAGAGTTGAGTCAGCTGTGAAAAAAAAAAAATTACTTTAATGTTTCATGACAACTTTTTAAAATGCATACAATATGTAAGGTTTGATCCAGTTTTTTTCTCTCTCTCCTTTAAAAGAGGGTTCTTGAATTTCTTAGTAGATACATACTCAAATAAGTTTTTGAAAAATCCCTGTAAATCATTTTTTTAAATCCCCATGAACTTCCCGACCATATGAGCTCAAGAATGTTGCATTGGAAGTAAATAAAATTGTCACCTTCCAGCCAATGTACCAAGAGCGTCATTGGTGCTCAGCCACTATGTTGTCAAACTTCTCAGAGTTGTTCAATTTTTCATGGAAAAACTAATGAACAAAATCATTTGAACATTTTGCTTAACATATCCTTTGTTTTCAAGACTAATCACTGAAATTTTTAGAAAAGTATGTGCAGAAGCTCTCATGAATTTTAAAACAATATTGGATTGTCTGGCAACATAGCGTCTAAGCGTAAATGGCGCTTGTGATACTTCGGCCAGAAGGCAGAAGGTGGTAAAATGATCTTTAAGCTCAGGTCACCCAAATTTTGATAGCTTATTTGTTTGACTGTAACAAGGTAGGTAACAAGTCTATTGCTTGAACAAAGTTACTCACTTAAAGTACTCATCAGTTTTGCAAGTGTTAGAACTGTTCACTTAACATCTTACTTGAAACTTGAGTTTAATGACTTCTCATCTGAAAAATTTTCAATTTGTATTCGTGTTTTATTTTAATTAAACAATTATGTTTCAGGTGAATCAAGCTCAATGACAATTTGTAATTTACGGCAATTACTGTGTAATGTGGAAGCAGCGGAGTGCTCCAAACCAACAATTGAAGTCAGCTCTCTTTACGATAATACAGTTTTTGCTCCTGATGTTGTCCATCCACCAAAGCTAGAAGCAGCTGGACTGACCAATTGTTACACCTTCTCCGTATCCCCATGTAATTCTTACCTGTGCGTGGCCAGTGCAGGTTACATAACGTAAGTACAAATTGGCAATCAAAATATCAAAGTGGTTTCATGGAGCCAAAATGGGAAAAATACAAATGCGGAGGCTGTATACAGTTGGCAGCTCAAGGCCATCTTATTCAAGATTATCAGTATACCCGAGTAGAAAAGTCACTGAAGTTTTCGATAAATGATGTTAATTAGTTTTCCATGTAGAAAATAAAGCATGATAGAAAGTCTACAATGTGGCAAACCAAGAAACGCGTCCCTGCAGTTTCATCATTGATATGTGAATATCCAAGTAGCTGAATAGCACAGGAAGCTCGCTACAGCTGGCACTAAATTGCTCTTGTCCATCAGTGTATTAGCTCCTGCTGATCATACTTTCCCCTTAGTGTATGAATTCATTATAATGTATGTTTTTCGTTTGTTTGTGTATTTCCTCAGTAAGTGTATGTTTATTCAACTGGATCGTAATTTTTCCAGATTTCTCAAATGGAAGACTCTGTCCTTTCAGTGCATCAAGCAGATTAAATCGGAGCAACCTGTCAGTTGGTTCACTATTTTTCCCGACCTTGTTATATTTTCAACCGACAAACTGTACCGCATGGAGCTCAGTTCTGGCCTCTTTGTTATTGAACGTAAGTAATCCAAGTATTTGGGTGTAGCTATTTCATTATGCAAGGGTTGTTACAAAAGTATGTCTCTTTTTACCGTAACTCTAAAACTCGTTTTTTATACCCTTCTCAACGATGTTTTACTAAGCAGGGGTTAAAATTTGAGAAATGAAGCTCAGGTCCGTGCCCACCTTCGTCGGGTACTTCATATATGTAATCTCTTTCACTTTTTTCATCTGGTTAACGCTCAAATGGAACAGTAGCATGGAATTTTTGCAGGGTTGTAGTAAAAAGGTTGTATGTGTTTCTGGCTTAAAATTGAATGAAAAAACCAAAATGTTCTTTGAAAAGTTCTAAAAATCATTTTTAAGGTGAGAAAAAGCAAGTAAAAAGCCGACAGTCGACTTGATACAACTAGGCGAATGTAAGCTCAGCCAAGCAGCATGCGTTTTCCCCTGCCTGGCGCCAAAAATATCGTTTTAAACGGGTACCATTTTTGGCATTTTCAAAACATGATTGTTTTGCCATTTAGGGTTTCAAAAAATCTGAAAAAATTCTTAGGAGCTTAGTTAACTCTACTTTCAAAAAATAAATTAAAGAAAAGTGAGTGCCGTACAGACCCATTTTCCTGTTACCATGGTTAAATAATGCTCTGTTACTTTATAACATACGCTAACATTTAAGATTCAGTTCTTATGCCAAGGCGCTACAATTTTTTGGGTCGTTATCAAATTGTTTTTGCTTGCGATATTTTAGTCTTCAGTTTTCTAAATGTATTTCATTATTTTATTCCTCAGCGTTCCTTGATCAAATGGATGTCTCCCTGTCATACTTAAATAAGAGATCTTCTTCTGGACCATACCCAATGGCTGTTTTCGAAATTAGTCCTAATGAAGAATATCTTGTATGTTTCAACATATGTGGAGTTTTTGTCAATACACATGGCAAACGATCTCGAGATGATGACATCAAATGGAGTCATCTTCCTCTAGCTTTTGGTTTGTTCACATCTTCATCCAAGATAATTTGATGAGAGATAATTCATCCCTCTAAATATTTTATGAGTATCAAATACATACCTAGCTTTTGATGGACTCTTCGTGCACAACCATTGTGTCACACCCAAGTAGCACAGTGCAATGAAAATATTGAAACCGTTTGCAACGTAATGCAATATATATAGTTTCTCATAATATGCCAATAAAATGAGCTCTATTTGTAGTAGCTCTCTATGTTGAGTCGCTGGGTCAAATTATAACGCCATAGCTTGTTTTGGTATACCTTATCAAAAGCATTGTCTGGCCTCTTCCTTGTTTCTTCAACTCGGATGACTTTCATGAGAATGTGTTAATTTGAATTTCCTCACTAACTCTCTCCGGTTACCGCAAGACATCAGATGGCAAGCAAATAAAATGCTTAATACACTTTCACTAGTACTCAGCAGAATTTTTAGTTTATGTTCATGTCTAAAATGATTTGAGAATTGTTTATTTTTTTTCTCCCCAGTTTACTCGGAACCATTGCTCACTGTAGTCCATTTTTCATCCGTGTCTGTGATGAAGATCTCTGCAACCCATAGTATGCGAATGAGCAACTCCTCCTCAGGAAGTGGCAGCTCTCCAGATATCGTCAATATTGGGTTCTCATCTTTAAGATTATTAGGTAACTTCACTATTCTACTATTTCTCTTTTATGTAAAACATAGTCACATATCAGTGCTCCTTTGACGTAAGGGGGTAGATCCATTTCCTTTTGAGTACTGAAAAGCATGGAGTTATGCGGACAACAGTGCTCATTAGGAAATGAAGATGTGCCCGACATTAGAGGAGCAACAATTTGTTTGAAGAAAGGAAATCTGTAATTATTGTTTTCGACGCTGAGTCGGGTAAATCTTATGAGCTTTGAATGTGAATTTTCTGTTTTAGGTACAAGCAAAAGACATTCTAGAATATTCCTGAGTAATATGGAAAACCGTGGATTGAGTATCATTGATTTCAACCCAGGGCATCTTTTCAAGGACGATTGTGACGTCTTGTCGTACGTTTCCTCAGACACCGGCTCTAGTTCTTGTCCTGCATCCAGTGATTTGTAAGTAGCCTCTCATTTCATGGCATGGAGCCTTTGAATTTTTTCCCGTTTAATACATCAGCATGCAAGACAAAGACGAGAGAGAAAATTGCTGAAACTAATCATTTGAAAGTATGCATAGTAGAAATGGACATTGGTACTTATGCCGAAGGGAGCCATGTGAAATTAAATCAAATCATAAGAAACCACGTGCCTTAGGTTTCCTTCCTACATAATTCCCTCGGCTTTTATTCATTAGCACTCAGTGCCTACATAGGTTTGTGCTGCTTTCTACGTATAGTTTCTAGAGCTATATACAGGGTTATTCAAAAGTTACGCACCACTGGCCATAACTTTAGTTCTAATTATGATATCGATTTGCGGTTTGTGGCGTCCTTCCTCATATCGAAGGGGAAACTTCTTGAGGTACTTTTCAGTTCTTCACCCCCCCAGGGGGAGGGGGGGCGGGGGGCAACTCAAAAATTTCAAATGGCAACCCCCATCATGTGATACATCGTTAGAAAGAGCATGAAAAAAGAAAATTTTTGGCGCAAACCGGAAGTCGATCTGACCCCCCTGTCAAAAGTTAGGGGGGTCCAAAGGTTATTTAGGGGGTCCATACCTTCATTTTTTACAGTACCTTCGGCGGCTCTTGGACATACCGTTTCTCTTTTCAAAGAGTCCTCGAATACTCCAAGTCTGATACCGAAGTCTTCATATTGCCCCCGGGCCACCACAGCCCCCCCGTAGGGGGGATGGGCCTGTTACAATGAAACATTGCATTAAAATGCGAAAAGTCACAGAATAGCTTCAAACTTAGCATCAAATCCGAGTGGAACTTCTTGCCAATGTTAACGCAAACGCAGCCTGCGACTTTAAAGTGAGTTTTCAAAACTCTTAGCCCCCTGCCCCCCCTCATTTTTGGTTGCAGAGCGGGTAAAAACCGGGAAATTCACTACAAATAATGCCCGAAACTAATGTCCAACTCGAGGAGGACCCTTGAAACGTTGCGATCAGTCGGAGCATTGAAATACAAGGACTGCCACCCCCTTAAAGTACGGAAACATCCAAAACACCCCCGCTGCCCCCCTCATTTTTCGTTACGGAGCGGGTAAAAACCGGGAAAATCGCCTGAAATGATGCCCCGGTTCTTACCAGCTCTGCAACGAAGAAAGAGGGGGGCAGCGGGGGTTTTATGGATGTTTCCGTCCTTAAAGTGGGCGGCAGTTCCTGTGTTGCAGTTCTCCGACTGAGCGCAACGTTTCAAGGGTTCTCGTCAAGTTCTACATTGGTTTCGGGCATCATTTCTGGCGATTTTCCCGGTTTTTACCCGCTCCGTAACGAAAAATGAGGGGGGCAGCGGGGGTGATTTGGATGTTTCCATACTTTAAGGGGGTGGCAGTCCTTGTATTTCAATGCTCCGACTGATCGCAACGTTTCAAGGGTCCTCCTCGAGTTGGACATTAGTTTCGGGCATTATTTGTAGTGAATTTCCCGGTTTTTACCCGCTCTGCAACCAAAAATGAGGGGGGGCAGGGGGCTAAGAGTTTTGAAAACTCACTTTAAAGTCGCAGGCTGCGTTTGCGTTAACATTGGCAAGAAGTTCCACTCGGATTTGATGCTAAGTTTGAAGCTATTCTGTGACTTTTCGCATTTTAATGCAATGTTTCATTGTAACAGGCCCATCCCCCCTACGGGGGGGGCTGTGGTGGCCCGGGGGCAATATGAAGACTTCGGTATCAGACTTGGAGTATTCGAGGACTCTTTGAAAAGAGAAACGGTATGTCCAAGAGCCGCCGAAGGTACTGTAAAAAATGAAGGTATGGACCCCCTAAATAACCTTTGGACCCCCCTAACTTTTGACAGGGGGGTCAGATCGACTTCCGGTTTGCGCCAAAAATTTTCTTTTTTCATGATCTTTCTAACGATGTATCACATGATGGGGGTTGCCATTTGAAATTTTTGAGTTGCCCCCCGCCCCCCCTCCCCCTGGGGGGGTGAAGAACTGAAAAGTACCTCAAGAAGTTTCCCCTTCGATATGAGGAAGGACGCCACAAACCGCAAATCGATATCATAATTAGAACTACAGTTATGGCCAGTGGTGCGTAACTTTTGAATAACCCTGTATAGTAGCTCTCAAGGTTGTCACCTGCTCTATTTACTGCCAATAAAACAGATACTGATACCGATCGAATGCTGGTTGTTTTAATGTAATGTATAAAAAACAGTGCAAGCAATCATCATTCTTGAAAAAAAGGAAAGTCTTGTAGTAAAGGAAAATTTATGGGGAATCCTTTTTTTTTTTAATTTTTTTTTTTTTTATGAATTTTATGGAAATCTAGTACTCTCTGCACTCTTTGCAAATAGTATTCTCTTTTCTGCAATGAACTTAAAAATTAATACTTAAAACTGACTGTCTTTTTAATTTTTCAGAGCTCTAAGAAGGGAAATTGAGGCCTTGGATTTAAGTGCAGACTTTAGTTTCTCTTCCTCACTAAATAGATCTTTAGAAACATCTTCCGACATTTCAGCATCTTTTCCAAATCTTGACAACCTCCCGCCAAAATCTAATCGTCAAGTTCGATTCCATAATGTCTCAACTGCTATGTAAGTCATAGCTATACTGGTAGGTCTCATCACATACTCCTCTTATTCCTACTTAAATAATTTTACCTCGGTGCCGCACTAAAATACGGTTTTGTACAAATTGAATTTTGTCTAATTTATTATTGGACACTCTTTTTTTTCTATATTTGTTAGTTGACAACTTAAGAGGAATTGAAGCACATACAAAATGTATACAACTAGACTCTGTTTTTAAATCCCTGACTGATTTTTTGCTCAAAAAGCTGTGTTTTGTGTAAATAGTTCTAACTAGACCTCCTTGTCTTAGGCATCAACAAAATACAGTTTTTCACCTCATCTTTTGAAAATAAGTTGTCCACTGTTATTGGGATTTATTTTTATCATTATCTATATCATTTAAACAAAGCAAAGTTCTGATATTGAGTTCATGATCACAGTAGATCCCTCATTTAAAAATACAGGAATCTTCTATTATTGATCAAAATGAGCTCTCATTTCATGTAAGTGGGTTCCTGGATCCCCTTGAAGACTGTAATCTCAGATGGTTGTTTATGACGCTATATAAGATTATTGTAAAGTCCGTTTCTTGCATAATGTTTTCAAATTTTTATGAAGAAAAATCTTCAAAAAAATTTGATAACTTTTAGTTTGGGGGAAGTGGACCGCAGGTGTCTGACGTTACTGTACATCTTAACAAAGAAGTCGTGGAAGTATTCTGAGCGACCAGCATGAGCATTTTAAAAAATACAGCTATGCTGAAAATCATTTTATTTTCATAGATACATATTTTTAAAATATTTTAGTTGTCACATTTTTTTTCACTAGCTTGAAACTAAGCAGAACCAATTTTCATGTGTATCTTTCTTTAAGAGATTCAGTTGCCTCATTTCATAGTCTCTTAAGTGATCTCATTCTCTTCAAAATTATGTTAGCATTTTCAAATGAAGAGAATAATCCAATCATGCATGTAAATTTTTCAATAGTTGTTCTTTATGTTTACATGTAAATTGACCTGTTTCTTTTTATCTTTTAAATCAATAATGTACTTTTTTACTCTGGTATTTCTTTTATTGCTAGGGAGTAAATTTACCTAGCAATTTCAATTCAAAGTTCGCCTGCCAAAATCTTCTTGTGTTCTTTTTTTTTAAAAAAAAATAAAATGATAGTAAAAAAATAAAGAAAATGTACCAATATCTTATACTTTCTCTTACCGTCTAAGAGGGTTTTATTTTCTCTCTCTGAAAGAATATCAAAATCCAACAAAAGAAAATCAAATTGGGATCAAGAAGCGAGCCCATGGATGGAATGAATTAGTGACGCTAATGAATGAGCTAATAGCGCTGCTACCAGAAATTATATTTAAGGCTTTGTTCGTGGAGTATTTCTAGGAATTTATGCAGCAGCTGCAATTCATGAAAGAGGTTTTTATTATTGAAGACTATCCTATGAGAAACTCTGGCAAAAACTAGCATACTCAAAATCGATTTTTCTATTTTTTTATTCAATAGAGGATAAGCATGAGGAAGGAAGAATAAGTGAAGAGGCGGCTGCATTAACAGCCCATACGCAAAAACCTTGTGTTGAGAAAAGAGCATTTGAAGTTCAAAATTGTCCTTAGCTCGTTGCGTTTTCAGAAAATGAATGAGTTTTCTTGCGTTCTCATAATTAAAACCCATATTGAAGAGGAGTTGCCTGAAGCTTCATGAATTACTTTTATTTGTATATAACAAGGTGTGTTGTTTTTGCAGCCACCTCCTCAATGGATCACTGAACAAGGCTTAAATTAAATTATTCAGATACTTATTCCCCACTTGATATTTCATGAAGAACAAGATTTGGGCAACATAATTTGCTGATACTAACTTTTAGCTGAGTTGTTAAATGTTCTTTGATGTGTAAATTTAAACTATCGGGGCAAACCAGTTGAGTCAAAGTAGCATGCTTATTTCAAGAAAGCCTTTTTCAATTGCATTGATACAGAAAGGGAGGGTTGATGCACTTTTAGAGCAAATCGACTGAACAGAACCATTTTTTTACCTAAAGTCGTGAAAGCTCCATGAAAGCTTAAACCTTGCACTCTTCCAGTCTAATTGAAAAGCAGCATGGCTATCCTCTGCTAAAATGAACTAAATGATCTTATTCTCTCTATATACAATAGCTCTTGTAGGATGCAAGTTGTTGTCAAGAAATGACTAAATTATATTAACCTTCAATTTAACATTTTCCATCTATTCGCCTCATATTTATATTGTTGTCGGAAGAACAGATTCATTCATGATCATTAGGATTGAATCAATGCTTGTCAATATGGAATGCTTAAAGCTTGCAAAGGCTAAATGAAGTGTTTGTATCATTCAACAAAAGCAGAGTTGGGGAATTATTTTTCGGATGGAAAGAAGAATTAGAAGAGTGCTCAAAAAAATATTACTTCACGGAAAAAAAATTGCTGTTTCAACAATTCAATTGCTAAAAACAGTGAGTGCAATGTTTCAACGCAGATTTTACAACAAAAAAATGCTACTTTAACCACATTGTAAACTAATTTAACCACGGGGGTGGTTAAAGTAGCATTTTTTTGTTGTAAAATCTGCGTTGAAACATTGCACTCAGTGTTTTTAGCAATTGAATTGTTGAATCAGCAATTTTTTTTTCCGTGTTCCATTAACATCTTTTTATAACGATTAGAATCTTATTAAAATACAAAATGAAATATTCAAATTATAATTAAAGTAAGTACTTACCTAAACGAGACAAATTATGCAAAATGAACAACTCATTCCACTGACATGATCGTTTGTGTGTTGTTTCAGTCACCTTCCATCCATGATGTATTGGGTTAAAGACTAGTAATAAATTCGCACTCACGACAAATTCTGTTCAATCTTGTTTTGGCCGCCCCAGCAGAGGCAAGCGTTATTACTCTGCATGAATCATTTTTTGAGCAATTTTACTGTGCTTGACATTTTGCTTGTACCGAAACAGTGAGAAACACTTAGGGGCAGAGCAAATCTTCCTGGGTTTGGCTGACTACTTCGAGCAATTTTTTTTTTTGGAAATGTGTCAGCTTTAAAATTTGATGAAGCTCATCCTACCTAAAACTGGGATAAGGAGGAAGACATCTCTTAACTGGAGGACCTGCTTTTTTACTTCGGCAAGATTTGATGGTCTCTTGGCTAGTACAACCAAAATTAAAAAAATTAAGAGGAGTAGACCTCATTCTATGTCACACAGTCCATCGTTATTTACTGGCCTTTTCATGATCGCTGATCCTATCACAACCCCTGCTTCGATATGGCCCACTGCATATTTTAGGTAGATACTAATTGATCTTTAAAGTCTTAAAGTCTTCATTATGAATGACTCATCTTAGAATCTCGCTCCTTACTTTTTTCAGTCTTGGAGTTACCTATCTGTCTAGACAAAATTACCAGGTAATTGTGGTTTTTTTCGTGTTGCCACAACCAACTGTTACCCAACTCGAGGTAAGGTTGGACTAAATTAATGCTGATTAATTTGACTCCTTAATTCGCTTGAAAGTCTTCCTAGGAGGTTTTTGATATCATGATGAAAACTGTCGCGTTGTCTCATCTTGAAATGAGAGGATAAAAGCTGAGAGGGCATTGTTTTCTACCTACGCTACATGAACCCTTCATGGCATGATGTTGAGTTGAATAACAATACACTACTTCATTTTAAGTTCAAAACAATGCACTGTTCCATTTTTCAAAAATTCGATTTCACGCTAATTTTATTGCACGATGGATGTATTTGAAAGGTAATTCCACCTCGTTGTGTTACTGTCATTCCCCAAGAATACCTATTCAGGACTGAGGTAAGATTATATAAAGTCGTGTCAATGCCTTCTTTTCTGAAAAAATTTATCAACATTTTCAAATTTTGAGGGGAAACAAATATGGGGCTCTCGGTATTTTTCTGGGAAAACTACGACATAGACTCCGTTGTCCCAACTCAGTAACCCATAATTAATTCACGCCATGAAGGATTAAACGTAAGAAAAACAAAATAACAAGTGGAAATTCAGTCAAGGTATGAAGATTCAATGCTTCTTTGCACGATAGTAAAATTTAAATGGACGTATTTCTATCAAACGGAACTGCGTGCATTGTGACGTGAGCCGTGTAATGCATATGTTCTTATGGGTCTCAGGGCTCATGTCTTAATTCACATAGTTCCGTTCGACGGAAATACGTCCAAATAGACATTTCGCGCACTGGATTCCTTTTTGTAAATGATTATTTGATAGTTGGCAATTAAATTCAATTATGCCAGCAAACCAAATCACACTCTGGCAGAACAAATTGAAGTTGAGAAAGGAAGACTCGCTGAAAATTAAAATTTTGAGTGGATATATCAAGATTGCTCGATTACGCTTGAGATACATGGATTTTGATGGAATTTGCTGAACTTAATTATCGCTTATTTCATTAATTTGGTTATGCATGTTTGCAGGAGACATATCATGAGACATCAATGGTTTTTAACGGAAAGAGAACAGAAGCTTTAAAATCAAGTAATGAGGTTGTAAAAACTGTATTGAATAGAATCTAAAATCCTCTTATGAAATTTTCAAAGAAGGTATACAACATTATGTAAGTATGATTTGGAAGGAGAGGAAAAAACGAAAAAAAACTTGAGAAGTCTGAGTTCTTGACTTCAAATTCCCTTAAATAAAGGCGAAGGAAACAGGAAAAAATTTAACAACTCCATCTACTACAAACTTTTCTGAAATCATGATCTACAAAAAATATTTAAATAACATGGATAAATTAACAACAGGTGGGTTTAAAAGTTAAAAACTTAGTGAGCACAAATCATCAGACACTTTAATTTGAACTACAGACCGATTTTGCTAAACTCCAACTTCTGCAGAGACAGTGTTGTAGCATGAGGAAATTATTAGCAATGAAGGACATTATTAGATCCACTGTAGATTCTCAATTGTTAAATTGGGAAAGTTTCATGGTGAGCTAAATTGCAAAAATTACATCAACACTTTCAACAACAGGAGTCTCATTTCAATCCTTATCCGGTAGACCCTTAATTTGTCACATCCAAATGTATGACTTTCTGACATGATGAATTGATCCCTCAATCCCTGTAAAAGGGATCTTGGTTAAATCAAACAACTTCTTATTTTCTGAAACATGCTGTTTTCAACAGCTATATAATACCCTTGAAATTGTTTCTTTGAAGCATATCTTGTTTTCATCTTGTTCAAAATTGCATTCTGAATTAAATTTATAAACAACAATCTTGAAATATGCCTCCTATTGCATTTTCATGGCAATTCAATGTTCGAATCTGTGTACTACATGAAAGAGAGATTACCAGCAGTTCCCAGTGCCTCAATAAAATGTCATTAACTATCTATTAATAATAATTTATCGTTTATTTTAGTATGATTGATTAAGCTGTTGACTAAGATTCAACACCTCCTTTTCTTTTTTTGTAAAATAACAAGTAAAATCATTGAGTCCCTCTACCACAGGCATCCCAAATCAAGCGATTAATACCAACACGAGATTAAAATTTCCATACAACATAATAATTTGATCAATGGTGGAAAGTTTCATTCCTGAATATATTTGATGTGTTATTTTCATTTTTACTCTTCAGGAAAAGTGGTATACCAATTCTTTCAGCAATGGGAAACTGAGTCCAGAGATTTTGTGTCCTTCAACAAAGACCCAGATTTTAGGGTCTAGAGTCACTAAGGGATGAAAGGAGCTTAGTTCATTTGGCTATGTCTAGCGCAAGTGAACAATTATTGTATCCCTGGCTGACAGAGTCTCGAGTCCACTCCTCCCAAATCCGGAAGCTGTAGCCCTCCTGGATTAGACAGGGTGCACCCTGAAAGCCTCATGAGCTTGTTACAAAGGTTTTCCTCAACTCTAAACTAACTAACAATTCATGAATCTATGTACTCGTCTTTTCAAACTTCATGCTACAACCTTCCAAACTTTCGGGACCTTCTATTATCACTTGCAGCCCTTCTCTCTCCGTGTCTTAATACGAAAATAGCTTCTTCTGTCACTACATACCTACTAACGAACCTTGAGAAGAAAAACCCACGAGTCACACCATCTTTCACCAACACATTAACCGAGCTCAAATGAACACTGGGTTGAGCTGAATGGATTTTTTTAAAAACCGAAAACTTCTGCAGCTTAAAAGTTGTCAAGAGGAGTCTATATAGTTAAATTCCAAGTCATATAACTCCTCCATCTTTACAGAAATCGTGGAATTTGCAGTTAAAGGGGGCTAAATTTTTCAACTTTCTGAATATTTATACAATAAAATTGCTCTCGGCATCAGCGCCAAAGGCAAAACATTCACTTTCTAAGATATATCTAGGTATTCCGAGTCATGGAATTGATCCTTGATAGAAAAATGTCCAACATAGATTTCTGCGATATTTTACACTGGAAATGTTAATTTAATGGTATATTTCACAATAGGGGAAAATGATCATTTTACTGAGATGCTGATTCAATCAACCGATTTTTTCGGCAAGATTACTCACAAAAGCAAGTCTCATTCTTAAAAGGGGTCTCTCCTTAGGTCATAAGGACGTATTGATGCTAAAAGGAACTATGCACATAAGGTTTGTGTGAGACATAGTTCCTTTTAGCATAAATACGTTCATAATTGAATTAGAGTTCGTCTCATCAAAACAGTGCATGACAAGTTCTTTGTAGAAGAGTATCAGTAACTATTTTTGGGCAAGTTTCAATTACTACCCTCGAGGATAAAGTGTGCTTTGGAGCAATAAGATTACAAAAGGTGCCAACGGACGACCATGAGGGGTAGTGGAGTGAAGCCTCGGATCCAGTAATTGTTCAACTCTCACGAGAGTTAATGTCACGAGCGGCGCTTTGTGCTCTCCATAAGGTATTTTGCCGTCAAACTTCTCCGCAGGAATTTTCTGTACATGCACTGATATGGGGAACACCATCATTACCATACAGAATTTTCCCCTTGATTATAAAATTAAATCTACAGGGCAGTTAGATGTGCTATCAACATAGGAGTTCATAATTCTTTGCTTCAAAGTTTGCAGAGCTACTGATGAGGCCATTGGCGTTGCAGCAGCTGAAATGCCTTTTGCATAGTTTAGAAGCAACCACAAATGTAAGCAGGAAGCAATTTATTACACTCAGAGAAAAAGGAGGATTGGTCAAATCGTTCGGAGAACCAAAAAAGTATGGTGTGCCTCAAGGATCTATCCTAGGGTCTGCTTCTCATCATAAAATTTCATGAATAATGTGAGAGACTACATAAGCAGCAGCAAACTTTTTAACACCGCACAAATATTGTTTTAGTCCTCCTAAATGATGCCGGAGCCGAATTGCTAATTAGACATAATAGTATTGAGGAATTGGAAATTCAAGAGTACATGATACTAAACTTATTTGCTGAAAAATGTAAAATTTATGGAACTGATGGAGTAGAATTAACATGGAAAAAACTGGATTTATAATGTTGTCTGACAGAGGCGGATCCAGCAATTTTGCAACCCCAGATTGCCTCTATTTAAACCTATGCTAAATAATCGATTCTTATCGGAGCACTTGGCCCCTCCAAGAATCTATACATTTCTATAGGTTTCGATGGAGAAAAGACAATGTTGTAAATTCGCTGGACCCGCAAATGTTGTCTGACAGGCTGAGAGATGAGGTCCATGAATTAAGATCTAATTATTACTCCTGTTAAGTGTAAGGGTATTTAGGTTTCCAGTCAGACTGTCAAGTAAAGTGCGAAAACCATATAGATGGCCTCATATAGATTAAGGAACTTAACAGCACCATCTTCATCTGGAGATACATGATTAAAGTTTGTAAATTAAATATTTTGAGCCTCATCTCTCATTCTGTCCAAAGGATAGGACAAAGAATCTGGGAGCAAAACCTATTCAGAATCCGACTCTAAATTTAGATTTGAGTTCTTCGAAAATATCAGAAGTTTCCGCAAATATAACATCTATGACTAACCACACTAATCAAGAAGTAAGCGATTCTTAAAGATATCATAGTTATGCATTGTTCTTCGAACTTGTAAATTAATGTTTTCAGATTATTATGGTGTCATTGCAAAATTGGGGATCTTCATAGAGTTTTTCGCGTTTAGCTAAAAAGCAATTAGAATTATGAATAATAATCTGGATAAAGATGCATCATGTAGAGATATTTATCGGGAGAACAAATCAATAGCAGTTCCAGCACTTAAAATTTTGAGTTTAATCATGAAATATTCTAACATAAAATATAAATCATTAAAAAATGAAGACGTACACCATTACAACACTAGGAATAAAAGGGAGGTGAGAACAAAAGACAAGAGACACAGCAGATAAAATTCCATGGTGGCTGAGGGTCAAAACATGTTCAACAAATTACCAACAGAAATTAAAGAAACAGCCAACTGCAAATTTCCGCGGCGGACACAAAATGTTAGAAGGTGTGTCAAACTTGTGAATGAAGCCTTTAAATCAGTTTGTGGTGAAAAGCGAAGGGACGGTTTCACTCAAGCAAAATTTGAAGCCCAGGACGTAATACCATCATCTGAGAGGCAACGTCAAGATAATTCAAAAAAGATCTTTGAAAACTTTGCAGTTACATGATGTTTCTTGTGTCAGTTTGACTAGAAAAAGCCACATTACGTAAAATGATCCCCACTTGGTGTGAAATGATTCTTATTACTCAAGTAGAGTAATCAAACATGCCTAGAGGGAAGAAATATTAGAGAGGCACATGTGGGACTCAATTAGCAGCCGCTTCCTTGAGGTGAGTTCTGGAAATTGACTCAATCTAAAGGTCATTTCAGTAAAATAGGTCTTGCAAGTCTCTCAAGAGGTCAGTACAGGTGTGAAATTTACCGAAAAATGAATGTTTCTGACGTGAAATATCACAAAAATTGATATTAAATATGCTAGATAAATCAATTTTTTTCATTTTTTAAAATCAATTCCATGACTCAAAATACCTGAATATCTTAGTAAATGAAAGTTTTGACCTACCTGGACATTTGGAGAAATTTTATAGTGAAAAACTAAAAAACTCAGCTCTCTGAACAGCAACTCCCATATTTTCAATGAAAATGAAGGAGTTATGACTTGGGATTATTTTTCGCTCTTTTGCTAACTATGGACAACTTAAGGGTTTTTGGATATAGAAAAAAATTACATACAGCCCCCCCTAATGCAAACGCTCTACATAGATCACAAGCCTGTGATATATACTGGGTGTTCCAGAACACTCGTTCACTATATTTCTCTCAGAAACGGCCGAGAATTGAACTTCAGGGCAAAAACTTTTAGGGGTAAATCAACCCCAAAGAATTCAATGAAAATATTATTAGCCCCCCAAAACCGCATTTCTCTGCATTTTTTTTTTCTCTCTCTCTCTCTTTGTGGATTTTGGGGCATTTTTTGGACATACTTTAATCAGACACTGTAGGCGTTAAAATTATCCGATTTTCAAAATCTGAAAGTCTTCTGAGAGAAGAGGTCAATACCTTTTTATTGATGTGTCACATGACCCTTGTTGATCCAAAATTATGGGGGCCACGACCCCCAGAAAATTTTGGGGCTTTGGAAAATTTCAAATGGCAAGGGCATGTTTCGACTTCAGATTTGGATTCAACGCGAAAAGTTACGTAGAATTGATAATGGTGCACGGCCTATTTGCTCCAAATTACTTTAGAACCCCATTTTCCCTTAAGAATCCGTGTATTTTTGGAGGGAAAAAAAGGGCAAAAAAAATTGGATCGAATAGGCCATGCGCCATATGAATTCCATGTAACTTTTCGCGTTGAATCCAAATCTGAAGTCAAAACATACCCTTGCTATTTGAAATTTTCCAAAGCCCCAAAATTTTTGGGGGTTGTGGCCCCCATAATTTTGGATCAACAGGGGTCATACGGCACATCAATAAAAAGGTATTGACCTCTTCTCTCAAAAGACTTTCAGATTTTGAAAATCGGATAATTTAACACAGTGATCTACAGTGTCTGATTAGAATATGTCCACAAAATGCCCCCTAACTCCAAGAAATGGGGGTCTTGGGAAAAAATGCAGAGAGCGAAAAGTTCTTATTTTTATCCATAGAATATAACGCTTAACTCAAAACATACCCTTTCTACTTGAAATATGCGAGAAACGGGGGGCACCCTTCTTAAAAGCCCCCAAAATGCGATTTAGGGGGGTTGAAAATATTTTTCATTGAATTCTTTAGGGTCGATTTTCCCCTCTAAATTTTTGTCCTGAAGAGCCGAAGCTCAATTTTCGGCCGTTTCCTAGAATAAGATACTGGACGGGTGCTTTGGAACACACAGTATTATGAGTCAGACAAGCCGATCAGAGGAGAGTTCATGCTGTGTCCATCACTGTTTTCCTTATGCTAGAGGGCTCTCTCAGATGATCTGTTTAGTAAGTAGGCTATGTTATGTTACGGAAGACACTTGTGTGTAAAAATAATGGTGTATCAGTTCAGAATGTACAGATTTCATGTGCACTGATTGGTGTGAGAGGTTGGTTCTTCAGCTTTGTCACCCCTAAGAAATTGAATGCTTATCGTTAAAATTGATAAAGTATTCAGTGATAGTTAACTTGCCCATAAACAACTTTTAAGGTGGACAATGGCATTACTGTCAAGTTTGATAGTTTTGTTGGTATAAATTTCTGTCTAATATTTGTGATGTAGCAGTGAAACCGTCTCTCATATTGACAGATCTTATGTGTACACACCATTAAAACCGTTATTCAATCATAAGGACACATAGTCTTTTGTCGATTTTCTCCAAAAGTCAATTCCGCACATACCCTGCCTGTTGGCATAATCGTATGAGAGTAATAGCCATGAAATACCTCAGTAACAGCATCTACGGTTAAGTCAGTAATGTTGCCGATTGGTGTCTGATTTATATGGCACGATAATGAGAGAATTACCAGTAGTTTAATTTTTCACCTAACCAATAATACTACCAAAATTGTCGAGTAATGATCGCTAATGAAATGAGCATGTATACTCAAAGTATACCTGACGAAAATTGCAGGGAATCAAAATTTGTACTTAGTTGGTAGGACAGCAAGCATCATAACCATCTGTATCACTCCTCTTCTCAAACCAACTTTTATTTATCAACCTCACTTTTCCATGAGGAGAAAAATGAATTTTTTAAGTTTTCCTACATGAAGTTATACTTCACAGATTTTTGCATAGCTTTGCCAAAAACTATATAATTGAATTAATGGGTTCTGGAGTTTAACAAATTCTTTTGCTTGCCCCCAGTGATCCAATGATTCAAAATTCTACTGTACGCCATAAATACAAAATTAATTTCAATAAAAAATTAATGAAACTCCAGAAATGCAAAAAGTGAGCGATTCAATCTTATTGTTTCCTCCTCAGACCCAAGTTTAACTGTGCACTATTTATGTTGCATGCGTAGGGTAAGAACCAATCTATCTCTACAAAATAAATGCAGTCTGCTAAAAATCCAAATCAAGAGACATAATCAGCCTTATCAATACTCCTCTATCAACACTAACAAAATGTGTTTATTATTTTAGTTATCATAATCTAGTCACAGGTTTTTTTTTTTATTTTTACTATGTCCATGCCTTCATTTCACAGATGATCCTACATACTTGGATTAACGTCTTTGATTGGAATCCGTGGAAGCACCTGAAGCAGACGCTGACTTGGAGAAGTCAATTTCTGTATAAGTTGTTTGGTTTGCTGACTGATCGGATGAACTTTTTGATCCATTTTCCGACTTTCCAATGCCTTCTTCAGAATCTGAACGCGGTAAGTCTAAAGTTGCATATTGAATTTCTTTCTCATGACTGGAAAAAAGTCACAAAATTACCAAATGAGATAAAGGAGTAAAGTTAGGGTACAGATACCCTTTGCAGAAAATATATAAACTTTTTTCAAAAAATATTCAGAGGGCAAAAATTTGGTTTTGACAAGGGGTCGTTATTCCTCTACTTAAAAAATGAAGAATTCATGCATTTTATCTTAAAATATACATTACTTTCAGAAAATATATGCTTTTTTCTAAAGGAATAGCACAAAGTAATTGCTTTGTATTAGTCTATTTTATTACTTTTTTACGACAAAAAGAGTAAAGTCTGCAGGAAAACACATGCTTTAATCATATCAGGTTCATTTTCGTAAACAGAAAATAACTTGTTTCAATTCCAGAATACAACAAATCATTTTATGGATTTGTAAACTTGAAAAATTAAGTCTGCATGTGAAAATACATTAAAACAATATGCACAACATGTGTATGTAGCAATTGAAACTCTATGGCTACATCAATTGGACAATAACCTGCAAAAAATTAGAAGGGATTTCGACCCCTTTGCTCGCTTCCCATCTATAATTTGGAAACCAATTCTGCACTCATACTTCAATTTTTCCCAGGGTTTTGTGTAATCATGGTGTTTCATTAGTGATCACCTTGTCTCAATAGAATTGACAGCCTAAAAATAGGCAGTTATTGGAAGGTTTTGATTCTGTATACTTTACATGATACAAATAAGAGAAGAATAACAAGCAAGTGGTGTCCTTACCTAACAGTGGGTGGTTTGATGGATCCAAAGAAAGGAGTAGATGAAACAATGGAGGCATCACTACAGCTCCCGCTAGATGACGTTTGTCTTGATAACTCAGACTTGTCTTCACCCTTCAAAGTCTCATTTGCGTTTGACGAGGCTAACGACTGAGAAGGAGCAGGAACTGATGAAGAGGTTTCTGATAATTTTGCTGCTAAGCTTACCGCACTCTTCGTTGTGGCAGTATTAAGAGAGGAAGAAATATTATCATATGTCATAGCAACACTAGGAACTTTAGTTAGATTCTGAGGAGTATTGGCATTATTTGCACTAATAGCACAATAGTTACAACTGCTATCACTTGCATTACTACTAACATTACTAGCTATACTATTACTACAATTACTAACACTAGTTGCATTTACACTGTTTTTTGTATTGCTACCACTTGAGGTACTACTTGTCAGTGAGCTGCTTAGTGATAAACAAGTTAGGCTTTTTTGTAATTTGTCTATCATTCTAATCTTTGAACTGGTTCCTAAATTTGCCGGCACAGATGATTTGCGGCTCATCGACGCTGGCATCTTCCTAGATTTCATCACAGTGTAATTGCTATTATCTTCAAGTTTAGAAGTTTTTGGGTTGTAATTAACATAGTCCGAAGTATTTTCCACCTCTTGAACACTTTCTAGAGACTTACTGGCATTGCTGTTTGCAGCAGCTATGCTAGCATTTGTTGGATATGATATTTTGACAGTGCCGCTGGTTGCATCCACAGGAATTTTTGGACACATTTCATAATTTTCTTGCGAGGGAGATGTTGGGCAACTTAATATTAAAGGAAACATAGTTGAATTTGAGTTTGTAGGAGTGTTGACTCCACTACTACTAGATGAGCTTTCTTTGCTGTCCCAGCGAGTCATTGATGCCCGGAATCCAACTGGGAGGAATGATGGGATTTTTGGCGAGGCACCAGTTGAAAGCTTCCTTGATATTACTGATACTGGACTAGTGACTGAATCATTAGCGGACGAGCCTTTGATAGAAATTGGTTGAGAGCTATATCTGCCTTTATTCAAGGTTTTACGTGTCTTTGTGTCTTTTTTCCTTTCCTGGCCTAGATTCATATTGATGTAATCTTGGTTTTCTATGCTAGAACTTAACTTCTCAGAACTGACTTTCGAAGAGGCATTCCAGTTCATCTCCACATATCCTTGTGAGGCTTGCTTTGCATCTCCAGTGTCAGTTAGGACAACACTTAATCCAGCATTCTTGTTGTTATTATCCTCTGCTGTTGGATTTTTCTTCATATCCATTTCCATGTAATCATTCACCTTACTTTCATCAGCTGGTGCATCTGGTTTCGTATCCCATTTGGTCACATGAGGAACTTTACCGATGGTGCTAAGCAAAGCAGGCTTAATGGTTGGAAAGTTTTGAGGCCTTGGATTAAGTTCTTTTTTGGATGCGCGCGGCTGCTCCGCTCCAGGCTTCATATCAACGTAGCTGCTGGTATTTGAGTCTCCTTGCGTTAGGTTCGAAGCATGTCGTGGAGGCGAAGCAGCCAGGAGCAGCTCACCACCAGCACCGGGACACATGTCTACATAGCCAACTGGGGCTTCACTGACTTTGTGAAGTGTTGGCGAGATATAGTAGCTGTGGCCAGGTGGGGAGAGTCGAGGCAAATGGTGGTCAAGTAATGAATGAGAGTGGTGAGCACTTTTCGGTGGTGATCTCCCAATGTAATTTTTGGTAAAGGAAGCACGCGGCGGCGATGGCGCCAAATCTGGCGAACCAGTTTTCATAGCACAACTAATTCCAAGTTTCGGGGAGCAACGAGGGGATATGTCCATTAAACTCCCTTCGGCTGTAGAGTAGGATGATGCAGATGACGACATAACTGATGGAACAATGAGATGTTCGTACGATTTCTTTTTCTTATTTTTTTTGTTATTTTGACTAAAATCGATTTCCATCAGATCATCGCTCTGTTCCATACTTGAAAGGGAAGAGGACACAAAAGCAGGAGGCTTCTTTGGGATATTAGGACGAATATTCGGCCTACTCCCTACAGAAAAAGCTCGAACGCGTGAATTGTCACTTTTTTCTACGTGTTCCATCCTGAAAAAACAAAAATCATGAATGAGATAACTCTCAGTTCTTGGCAAATAACACAGCTCTTCGATGAACAATCATTAACAAAGCTTTTGGAAACTAAGCTGAATTAAGAAGACGAACATTTGACATCAACATTTGTTACATCCTTTGACACCATCAAGAAAAATACATGAACTGCTCCCATTCTACATCATGTTTCTGATGCTATTTAATCAAATACAACTACTTGAATTTAAAGTTATTTCCAGTTTACAATTCTTGATATATTTCTAAATTTCATGGAGTCTGAAAGGGGGAGCTAACTTAAAAACTTCAAACAAAGAAGGCGGTGCATGTTAAAGGGATGGATGTAAACTTAACAGCTTGGATGACGGTTCATTACGATCTTCAATCAGTCAAAAGTGTCTGTACAAAGTTATAGAATCTTGATTTTCGGATGAGTTTTTCGTGGAGAATTTAGCGTTCGAATTTCTAAAGGGCGTTTTTCACGTGTTTCCGAGGCCCCGCAAAAAATAAGTGCTTAGGCACTGTGGCAGTCAATGAGTTAAATTTATAAGGAAAGTTTTACCGACAGAAACTTGTGAGTTTTTTGTGTGTAAACTCCAAGCGCTGCACCTTCTTGGCCTACATAGCATCAAAATTCAAGGTTTGAAAAACTTGGAGAAGTTTTTCTTGAAACTCAAAAACTTGACATTTGTCTTTTTTGCAATTAATGCCTTAAGAAAAAAAAATAGAACACTTAAGAGCATTACCTGGCATTTTTATTCTTAAATTTCTCAGGTCTTGAACCAATTGAATAAGCTCTAGTTGGTCTTTGTTCTTCATGATCATCTTCCATAGGGGAGAAATAAGACTTAACTTTGTCGAGATGATACTCTGAAAAACGAAGATCCGTTGAAGGCGTTCCTGATGTAATGGAAGTTGTGCTCCCTGCCAGTGAGTGAGAGCCGCCTGTAAAAATCACAAAACAACAAAAATAACTCACTAAACCTTTGAGATACTTTTGACTTGCAAATACTTTCACTAATAATCTTATTATGGTGATAGACCATGACAAATTGTCACCTTCAAAGTATCACAGGCACCATTCGCAGTCAGACGCTACTTTGCCGGACTTCTCAATATTGTTTTGATTTTTTCTGTTGAATTTTTGCAAATACTTTTATGAAAATTTCAGGGATTAATCTCTTTGAAAAAAGAAATATGAGGTAAAGTTCTCAAGGAATTCTGTTTATCTATTTCTCTGTAAAAATTTGAGAAATTTGGTGACAAAATGCTTCGGTACAAATGACATTTCTGATACTTTTGCCGGAGGGTGATTGTGCGGAGCATACTGTAAACTGACCAATCCACTGAAATTACTTAAATATTTTCTGAATTTGACCAGCAATTTAGGCTGAAGGCAGCAAATAAGGGGGGGGGGTGACCACAGTCACTGTTGAATTCAGCGCTAGAAGTTACAAGGAGTCTTCTATCAACCTTCAGTGTTGCATCAAAACATTCTTCATGCAAACCTGTATAGTAGATCTAAGAGTTAATAAACAATACCAATTAAATGGATGGTTGACTTTCATACCTCTTTTTTTGTTTGGGTTCGAATTCATATTGACATATCCATCATCACCAAAGGTTGGTGCCATTGGAACATAGCTATCAATAGTATCTTGACTTTCTCCTAAAAACAGAAAGGAACAAATGTAGAAAAAGAGATAGACTCTCACTGTTGTGTAGATAATCCTTTTCATTACGACCTAACCTTTGAGAGCTTTTAGGGTCCGGCTCCTTCCCATGGAGACCTTTAAAAACTTGGGAGAGCCAAAAAATAGTTCTTTTTAACCTTGGATTACCCTCAAAGTTTCAATTACATAACCAAATTATAGAAATAATTATCAGAGTGGTGCAAGATTTTTAAAACAATCTGTATCAGAGTTTGTAAATAAGATAATAAAAAAAATCCAACTCACCAGGACTCATCGGTGTGTAAGCACTCTGCTCTGCTGGGGACGTAGCATTAGCAATTAGAGAGTCACTAAACGAGCCCTAGAACACAAAAAGAAGCAAAATTAAAATTATACTTGAAACTTTCCAGCAACAGGAAAAATGTCCATTGTTACAGTTGAAATAGATGTTATTACATTACGGATAAGAATAAGGGGACATTTTTTATTTAAAAATACTGAATGGCATTATAACTTTGATAAAAATAGTTTGAAAGGATAGAAAGTAGAGAGCTCCTTCATTTTCTTCTCAATCCGTGTTGAGTAATAAAAACCACAATCGAGACCAAACCTGTGACCAGGCTTACTTTTCGGTTAATCTATCCATTTGTGTTGTCAGTTTCCTCGAACAGATAGATGTTTTTACAAATGAGCCAAGAATGTCGGTTCTTGGTGCAAAATGTAGTCTCCATTTGATTTACACTTGCTTTTTGAGTCACCCTTAATCAACCGAATCTTCACGTTATTCAGGAAACCTTATTCATCTTATTCAAAGGATTAAGTGGAGGAATGGTTGATGGATAAAACAAAATTTTAGCTGAGATTCAAAAGATCAATCTTGAAAACCGTCTTAAGTAGAAAAGTAAATCAATGTAAATTAGTATTCATTCTTGATCTAATTGATAATATTGCCCTTGGTTTCCAAGTTATTCACACTGAATTTATCAACCAACTCAGCTTTCATAGGTGAACTGAATTTTGCTGAGGTTAGACAACATACCTGAGATGGTGAATGAGATTTAAAACTACTGTTGGAGTGAGGATATTTGCGGTAACTGGCATTACTTAAGTTACTGGCAGGCTGAATCTGTAGACTGAACTGTCCAGTAGTTGATCTGTTCATCGGCATGTAATTATTTAATTTGGCATCTTCACCTGAACACAAAAAAGAGCAGTAAATTTTCCATCCGATCCATCCATTTATACACAAAAGCAAGTAACATTCCAAAAGTTTAAAAGGTGCTGGTAATTATGCAGCAATAATGCTGTTAACAAAGTTTAAACATGAATACAAGTTTCAAATTCCCTGGTTTTTTTTACGATTTTTCCAGAATAGAAAAACCAAGAATCACAATAAACTAACTGATAAACACTGTGTCATAGGAGCTTATACTTGGTTTTGATGCAAAGTGCTACAAATAAGTGCTTACTGAAATACTTTGAAATATGTATTTAGCTGCAATAAGCTGAATTAATTTTTTAGCTTGTGTCTAAAAGGTCATATACCATTGAGAAGAATTTGATGCTCAATTCTCTAATTTTGGTTTTCATATACTCAGTTTTTCTTGACTTTGCAAAGTTAATTCCAACTCCTTGATTCTTCCCCATTTCCCAAATACTGATAAACCCTGATTTTGCGTTGCTAATGAGCAACAGTACATAATACTGATCTAGGTGTTAAAGCTTAGAATTGACATCACAGTGATCGAAACTTGTCTGACTCCTGGGCCTGGTAAAGACGTAACTTGCGTTGAACATGAACAAAAGAATAGGCTACGGGGCGAGTTGTATTTCGTTTTTGGATATTAAATGGATATCAATGTGATGGATGGTATTTTGAAATGGATTTCAGATCCAGTTCAATCAATATTTCTTGGACCCCTCTCACACCTCTCTTCTGCCCTCAACTTTCAAGGTCCACCTCAGTTTTAAATAGTTTTGGGTCCCAAAATGTAGAAATCCACCACTGGACATAAAACAAGCATGTGTTGCTGGCTTCAAAAGAGGTGCAGTACAGTAATAATAGCTACAACTGAAAAATTTAAAAGACATACCATTCCACTGTCCATAATCGTCACTATTTTCCTCCATGATGGCTGGTTCATCGGGGGTAATTAAATGACAATAGCGGCCAGTTCCAACGCCTGAGACTAAACTACTTTCATTTGCAGTGCTGTCGTCACCACCCCATGGTTCTCCATCACCATCAATTGACAATGATGACCCAGCTGAATCTGTTGAGCAGCCGCCACTTTGAGGGCTAAAACAACATTGATGAAAAAAGCATGATTTTCTTGAAAACTTTCTTCAACAAATGACAAACCTTATCGGCATGTGAAGAGCTCTTCGGCAGAAATATGTTACGGCTAATGGACAACAGCCATAAGTTTGACTGTTTATTTTTTTACATGTGCTCTGCATAGTAATAAATCCAGTCTCTTTATATCCAGAGTTGGGAAATTTTGGATCCTGGGTGTCACAAATAGGCAGAGCGATTACGTAAGAAGTTATGCTTTTCAAAACCTTTGATCAAGACATTCCCAGATTCCTTTCCTACATTCATTCTCTAATTCTGCTCATTCTCTGCCATGCCTTTAGTTCTCTGATCCATTCCACTTAATGATCTTTGCAACTGAATAAAAGTGGCGTCTTTCTGCCCATTTGTGATATCTGTGACACTTAAAAACAGGAGCCAATCAAAAATGGATTTCACATTTCGCTACTCGGGGTATAAAGGAGCTCTAGTAATAAATGCACCAACCTGACAGGACTTGACGCCACAGGAGGCGAATAAGATAAGCCTCTTGTGTACACAGTGTGAGGCCTATTCATATGTGCTCGAGACCCTCCTTGTGACTGAGATGTCTCTGTGTTACTCCGTGCCCTGGATGGCATGCTGTCACATCGTTCGCGCATGTCTGTAACAAGAAAGGCTGCTTAAAATAAAACAGAAAAGAAAGAGGATCTGACCAAGCCTTGGAGAGACAAAACAGACAACATAATAATGAAACCTGTTAGTTCGAAGTTAGTTTCTCCAGGATTCCAGTTAAAACTTGTTTGGTTTGGTTGAAAAAACAAGGAGGAGGGACTTCCTGAGAATAAAAAAGTGGGTGGGGAAATAGCGTGAGTGGCTGTCTTGAGAGAATCATTTTAAAAGTTTTAAGTATTGGTTACATTAAGGGCATATTCCTTCCACAAAATATTATACCTCACCCAACGATTAGATTACTGTTTTAACACTTATGCATGTACAGAATGCTAAAGGCAGTTCTCCCGAACTTGTAAACACCCGTCTCCTTGCTAAGTTTGCAAATCAGGGATGGAATTGATCAAAATGGGCGATCAGTGTGGTCTAAAAGTCCGTTACACTTTAAGCACTACTACTTTCTCACACTCCAGACTTTGTCAAAATATAGTTCAGACCTTTCTGGTAACATATTAGATAAAATCCAATTTTACCGCCATTCTCCTACCCCCTGCAAACAATGCCAATTTGAAAATGTCTCGGTGAGCCATCTTAGATTCTACTATTGCTGTTCTCAAGAAAAAGAAAAAAAAATCTGATGAAAAATCCAAAAATTGATGGCTACTCCACCAGGATAAAAACCCTTTTTGACACCAGTTCGGATCCTAATTTTCTTTTTGATGTTTTTTTTTTAGGAAAAGCAGCAACAAGCAAGGCTGAAAATTTGTCAATAGTACAAAATTGAAAAAATTACATTATGATTACAATAAATTATACATATACAACCATCAAAATGGCAGAAACACTCTTCCAGGGAATAACTTTTGACTTATACAATAATATTCCACTCATACTTAAACTGTTCCAGAAATATCAATTTTTAAAGTTTCATAAAACGGGAAACTTATCCCCTTCCCAATTTATCCCAAGAAATTGAAGTGTTGCCCGGACAAAGAGACCCAGGAGATACTTATTGCAACATCTAAACAAAGTTTACTTCTTTCTAATCTTGTGACATAGGCCTTCTCACTACACTCACTCATTCGTCACTTTGATATGCATTCAGTATAAAAGACCTCTCCTGCGCACTAACAATTTTTTAAGTTGCTCATTCATTAGAGAAATGGAGACCATTCTTTCTCCTCTACTGTGGACAATCTTAAGCTTGTGTGAGGTTGTGAAGGCAGAATTCTGTACGAATATTCATGCAAGAAATAACTACAAATTAGCAGTATTATCACCAGCATTGGGGTTTTCAGGTTAGCCGTTAGTGTATAAAGACTAGCCTGTTAGCAAAATTTTCAAATTTTTGATTGGTCAGTTCTTTGACTGGTCAATGTTTATGCCCAGTCCATAAAATAGGCAACGGAGGGGGCCGTTCCGCGAAGGGGGGAAAAATCAGGAAGTCTGCAGGCTGGACAATTATACCGACAGGATGTAATATTCATAAAGCACCACATAAAGCTAATCCTGTTGTTTTGTACAAGAAGGCATGCACAACAATTTTTCTCCAGTATCTATTGGGGCAATGATTCCCGACAAAATCTTGACACTTCAGCCAAATACAACTTAGTTTTTTTCCAGCACCTTACGAAAAGCAGGTTACTTGAAAGAAAAGGCTGAGTAATCAAAGCTGAAAAGACGTTTTTGGCGGAGGCTTCAATTTTCTAAAAAACTGGTTGGTGCTGGAAAAGCTAATGTAGTTTCCTGCTTTGGCAGCAACAATTAGGTGGAAATAGGTCCGTTGGGGCTAGGTCATCACACAGATCATCCTTTCTAACAGGAAACAATCAGATTAGCTTTACATGGTGACACAATGGTACATCTTCAGATGAGGGTATTTGACCTGCAAGACCTCCTTATGAGACACAAGAGGGAATATTCTCAGGCATGTGATCTTTTGCACTTTTGGCTGCTGAATCTAAAAAGACCTTTGTTTTCTCTACCATGCACCAATTTTTGAGAGGGCTGAATTTCCTCTAGGAAAACTCAATTTTTGGGGAAAAATCAAATTTATTCAGCACAGCAGAGCTGATCCAGAAAAACATGAGTTGTTTTGGAGATCATCGCTAAAAATCTACTTAGAGTGAAATTCTATCTTTTGGACAAACATACCAACGTTGATCAGTATGACAGATAAATACAGTGACAAAATCTAAGACTTTTAATACACGGTGTATGTTATGAAACAAATAAACAAAACCGAAATGTAAAGGCTCAAAAGGTTTAAAAAAAGTAAGTATTATTTTTATTATATATTCTTCATCATATTTCAACAATTTTTTTTTTTGCTTGAAGGAAAATGAATATTGCCTAGAATTTCAGAAAGTATATTCAAGTTAGTGCTTAGAGTTTGACACACTGTTGATTTTATTGAAATCATCAATGCGTCAGATGACATAATGACTACATGACCTCACCCAAAATTAGGCGTTTTTGACTTGAGCCTGATCTTCGAAATGTTTGAAGGGTCAATCATTTCCAGTAAAATTCTCTAAAATCGGACAGTTGCGTGAGAGAGGGAGACAAGTATACATTAAAACTAAAAATGACATTTTGAGTCTCCAAATCACCAAGGTCCCTGCACCAACCACAGGCTACGACTTGGGGCATTCTGTAAACTCTATTATGTCTTTCCTAAGAAAATCTGAAAAAAACTTGAAATGAGGGCATCCAACGATTTTTTTGAAATTGACATGGTGAACAGCATTAGGAGTTTAACTTCAAGAAATCATAACTCGCCTCCACATGATTTCCCTCTAATGAAACAAGGCTTGTTTTCTAGTTCTCACAGTCTACTTTTACTAACAATTGGATTTAATATTTTAGGTAAGATTCATTGAGCACTAAGAAGCAGCCTAAAGTTGTAAATGATGAAAATTCAAGATGCGACATATGGTAGCAGTGCCTAGTGGGTTACAATTTCAAATAGACTGATGCTATTGACATAAAATGAAAACTCATGATCTTCAAATTTGTCTACCAAGATCATTTCTCTGCTACAAACTGTTGAGGGAGTTACTTTGTTTTTTTTCAAGTTTCAAGTTTCAACTCCCTCTTCCCTTGGCATAAATTTCATGCGTCTTCATATTTTGCCTTTATCAAATATTCTTTGGGAATAACAGAATAAGGTATAAAAAGGCAAAAACTCGCCTATGGTTAAAGCGGCACCATATTGTTTCCCTCCCATGAAACTTAGACTTAGTGTAAACTGTGCACAGTCTACATTTAGGAAAATCAGGTTTTGTTCTCCTTCATGCAACCCATCACTTGCTACAGCCCAAAAACCAAAAAAAGGAAAATTTGAGTCATGAAAACATGGCGTTGATCAGTTCAAAAAGATAATCTCTTACTGATCAACCATTTAAAAGATACTTCATTTTGAAATTATGACGTTGACCCACACTCCACCCTTCTGCTTTGTCCGATTCCAGTGATGTTGGGCGTTTTGAACTTCGGTTGTAATTCTCTATCAATCCTAAAAAGATTTTGAAGATCAGGCTCAGGTAAAAAATGAATGATTTTGGGTAAGGTCCTCAGTTCGATTCCTAAACCTACACTTGCCTTTTGTCGGTGCTTTTAAAAGTGTGATTACAAAGAGTACTATGAGCAGAAATTCACGATTGTATGAAAAAAGCAAAAAAATGGTGTACATACTACTGTTATTATTCAAGGTGGATGCAGATGTGCGTTTCAAATTCGGACCGTTACCCGTGCTAGCTCTACGTGCGTTGAGAGAAGGAAGTGGGGAGAGAGGGTCTGATAGTGTTCGCTGATGATGGACTACAACATTTTCGCCACCAACACAATGCGCTAACCAACCAATAAAAAGCCACACTCAATTACTCAAGCAATGAAAATGATCAGATAATTAACAAAAACATAGCAAACACTTGGATGCAATGTCTTAGGAGAATGACTTTATCTTCATCCAAAAGATTTAGAGATTGAGCAGCTGTGCACTAAGGGAGTGCAGCTGTGCAAAAAGTTTAAAAACTAATTTTTGTGCCAATTCACAGCCATTTTTTTTTGCATTTATTTAGGGAGCAAAAATGTAATTTTCATTGTATATCAGTAGTGAACGATGACTCTTTGCATCATTATATAAATAGAAGAACTAAAAGAAAGAAGGAAAATCAAACAAAAATTTGTGAAGCTGAGAGGGTTGTCAACAAAAACAGTTTGAAGGAAAAATCTGAATTTAGAGTGCAGTACAGCTCTTTACTTTTCTACACTTTTTAATTTTCATAGCTTGCTATAATTGATACTTCAGTCAATGGGAGATGATGCCCTGAAGTATTTTTTTTTCAGATGAAGATAAGTCTTTCCCACTGAGCGAGCTCTAAAAGCTTTCAATAAAGTTAACATCAAAACATTCATATATGATCAGATTTCAGAGCATGCAAAGTTTAAAACAGAAGTAAAAACGGAATACGTCTATTGGACATGAGAGATATGGATAAATTTATAGAATTTTTCACCATACACATATACACACAAAAATCACAATGAGCGAGTCAAAAAAATTTGAAACCCACTTCATAACACACCACCTCATTTCCATAGCCCATATCAAACTTTTTCAAAATTCCTGTGTCGGCGGGCACTTTTTCTTTCAATATCAACAACCAGATTTGCCCAGAAAGAAATGTAGTAAAACCTAACTTAAATATTATAACAATCTTGCAAACGGTTATTAATCTTTTTATAGTGTGATTTCTGTCATTTTAAAAATTTGTTTATGCTTTCTTTCCCAAAATGGGATGGCTTTAAAATGACTGTGAACACGATTGAGCAAGATTGATAACAGATTGGTATATTGTTTGTTTACCTTAAATTTTCTTAGAATTCTCTTCAGACAAACCTAGTTGAAAGCTGTACAGAAATAAATTGAAAATGACCGATGTGGACTACAAAAATAAGTGTTACACAGCGCACGGCAAATTTCAAACTTTTGCAAACATGATTTTTGAGGTGGTTTCACTTTTCACCAATTTATCCATTATCTATATCTCTTGTGTGCAACAGACCCATTGGTAAATTTTTTATTACACTCTAATATAGAGAGGAGACATATGAACCTGGAGAATCAAGCAAAAATCATTTGAAAAATGGACAAGCTATCAAAATACGAGGGTCATCTCCTTAAAAGTGTCTTTCCATTCCTTTAGCTCCATAATCACTTCAAAAAAATAAAGTTGTTGAAAAGCATCTGGTTGATCACCAACAACGAGCTCTATGTACGAGGCTTGCTAAAAGCTCAAACATTCTTTTGATGGATCTTATCCAACAGAAGTATAGTGGGTTAGGGTGTCCCTTATTACTGAAATTTGAGAAATGTTAGGCTGCTGTAGGCTCAAAACCTGCTGCAAGGGGTAATTATGAAGGCTCTTTCTTCAAAAAATATGCCAGATCCCTGAAAAATGCATCAAAATGCAGCTCCTTGAACGAAAACATGATTCAACTGTTAAGATAAAGCATTTGGATGTACAAAAATGAGACCAGCTCAGCAACAGAAATGCAATTACAGAGGTGGTGACTAAGTGGAAAAGTAAGATACATTCCAACTTTACTCTTGTTTTTAAGATTTTTCAATATCTGGGAAAAATGTCATAGGTATGGGTACTCAGTGTTTGTGATTTTTTGAGAAAGAGCGAAGGAAATTCACAAAAAGTTTCAATGGTTATTGTTGGTTAGTTTTCCCTTGAAAAAATAAAAGATGAGCTAAAACTTAAAACATCGCGATCTGAGATACACATTTTTCAACATTAGCCAGTGATGTCCTGGAGATATATACAGGACTAAGATCATTAAAATTAGTCCACTGTTGTGCACTTTATTTTTTGAGCACCTTATAGACATAGGTAAAACAATGCATTAAACAGCAACAGACGGCTGGCAGTAAAAATTAAAGAAGCCTCTTGAATACTGATCGTAGTACAGCACCGAAAAAATTATTTCCACAAAAAAGTCACTTTCACTAATACATTCCTTGGTGACAATAATTTTCGTCTTTTGCAGTACACTCAAGCACCACAGGAGCTAAACTTCAAATGACTGGGATAACATATATTTTTCCAGTCATTCATTTTACTTCGTAAGGATGATAATTAATGCCACAAATTTCCAATCTATTGATGGCAGTGCAAGGAAAACATGAGATGTGCATGGGTCTAATTGTACAGGATTAATTAATTAAGGGATGAACAACTCCAGCCCAGCCTATCGCCAAATCGGAGTGTGCAATCTGCTGTCAGTAGAGGATTTGATTTAGTCGCAGACATAAAAAACAATCTAGACTATTCATGGAGCTTGAACGATGAGATGATGGGTAGGAAACCCAAGATGCATGCCGCATTAGAAAATTTGTTGTATCAGGAACAACTACGCAGTGGAGAGGTGCGAGGTTTACGTACGAGCTATAAGCAGCACTCGGTCCTACACAAGTCTATTCTACTATAAACTATAATTCAGCTTGCTGTTTCAAGAAATAGTCCACTAAATTAAGCTAAGTCAGCATGATCATCGAAAATATCAATAATTCAGCTTTTAAATAATAAATTGGCAAAGCTATGTGGCCTCAACACAGTGCTAACTCAAGCTCGTCCCAAGGGCGGTTTACCTTACCATACATCTGTTGCTTGCAAGAGACACAGCCAAGTGAGTAAAAGCTCTACAGACAAAATGTTAAGAAAATTACGATAGGCACATTGAAAAAGTCATAAATCCACTCTTTAAAACGCACAGTTTGTAGTTTGTAGCTTGTTCTTTTCAGATGTCCTGCATCCGTGAACAGTTTTTCTAGGTGGCCAGTGACCAGGTTTCCGAGAGAGAGACCCAAAAAACCTCACAAATCACAAATAATCTAGCAGTCTAGCTAGCTTGTCCACGTAAATGATTTCAATTGTTTCCAAGCATTTATTCTCTCTCATTTCTTTATATTGCCGAAACAAAAGCTTCAAGTCAATTGAAATTATATGCAAGGAAAGTGTGTGACAGTACCCGAGATTTTTCGTTTGGATTAGGTTTTCTTGTGTCTTTTCACAGGCAAATTTGATTGGCAACCACTAAGAAAAACTGCCCGTTGACACAGAAAATATGAAGAAGCGTGTTACAAACGAAGCAAATGGTACACTAAGGAGCAGCTCTCGGACTTTCTTAATGAATTATAATGTTTTTTGTACAATCCTTTCTTTAGGTAATACATTCACTTGGCTGTGTATCTTTCATAAAAAGACCCATTTGCTAATGCTAAGTTTGCCTTACCAGCAATGGGTCTTGTTTTTTCCACCCGCTAGAAAACCTCGAAAAAGAGTTCTTACAACAGCTTTTGCTCTCATTAGCATCTTTCACAACACATAAAAAAAGTTAATTCTAATACATTTATAAAATAAAGACATTCATTGTAAGCAACATCAATTAATGGAACAGCGGAATGATATAGCGGCCTTTCACACTGAAACTCCATCCCAGGCCCCAGCACCAAAAAAAGGTCTCGTTTCATCAGGGGAAAAAAATAAAAATAAGTAACGCTTTAACTTCAATATTTTTGTATCAAAGCAGCGATGAGGCCCCAAAAATTTGCCCGTTAAATCACCAAATATGATCACAAGAGCCAATAAAAAGTGAACAACCAACCAAAAGAATCATGAAAAAAGTTAACTACCATGTTGCTTCAGGAAGCCCATGGGTTCACTGACAGACACTGGGCTAGTAGCAAAGCTACCTCCATCATTTGCTGTTTGTGCCTTGTAATGACTCCTATTGTCTGTAAGAATCATTTTACACGAAAGAAGAATGAAATTGTAGAAATAAACAAAAAAGGGATGAAAGATGACTATGTGCTTGGAATGGATTCTTTAGTGAACTAAAACTCTAAAAAGCGATAAAGTGGTGACAACTTGTAAAACTTTATAGAACTAGGGAATTTCACACATCAATGAAGAAACTACCAAAACGTGTCCCTTGATTTCTGTCAGTTTTAAAAAAGCTGCATTAATGAGCTACGAGAGATGTCTTTTATCTACCATCAAAATATTTCAGTCAAAAATTACGACTAGTAAACGTTTTAGGCTGATCTTGTAGATTTGAAAATTGAATTTTTGGAGTCGATTTGTGCTCTGTAAACGCTAATTTGATGAGGCTTTTGTTCAAAATCATTTGCATCTCAATAATTTTGTTCAAAAACGTTTTAACCTCCTTTGTCCAACGGATTTTCCACTTCCCTCAAGTGTTTCCCTTATTTTCAATTTTCACTTGCTTAACGTATCATTGGCTTATTTAATATTTGCCTGTATCACTTATTTCACAGGGTCCAAATAGCAGTCTTCAGAAGGCCTGATGCACCCACTGGGGATTTGGGCCATGTAGCGGCCAGAAGGGACAGCCCTTAAGTATCAAAAAAGTGTTGGATCCTACTTCGCTACACATGTATCTTGGTTTTCATCTAATAATTCCTTAGAGTTGAAATTATATTAAAAAATGCTAGTATGCTAAGTATTCATGAGCATCTTATCTTTGCTATCTTCAAGAATTATTACCTTTCTCCTATCAAAGATAAAGAAGGTGTGCAGTTTTTTTACTCCTTCATAAACTGGTTTTTCTGATATACGTAGTTTGGTAGTTTCATCATCAATATATTCTTCTTCGTGCTAATATAAATAGTGATGCAGGTACCAGGAGTAACAGGGGAAGGTCATGATGGAGACCAAAGGGTTAAAGATCGGGGATGATTTTTTGGAAAATTGAGGTATCAAGAATTCATTTCAACCCTTTCTTCACACAATTCCAACCTTAAGGATTCACATAATTTTTTGGAGGGCCTGGTTCTGACATTTAGAGGGCTTCAATGTAAACCTTTTCGGGCCATCAACACAGGCTCAAGGACACAAGAGCGAGATGCCCCCCATTTAGCAATTCCTGACTCATTTTCTATTAAGTTTTTAATTATAAAAATGTCTGATGACTCAAATGCAGAGCTAGAGAGATTTTAACTTCAAATTAAAACTTCATCTTGACGAAAGACTTCCATAATAACAGGCAACTTAAAAATATTTAATGAAAAAGTCTGAATATCAGATGAGCACTCATTTATGCGAGGCTAATCTAGAAAGCTTTAAACGATCCCAAAATTTTTCAAATAAATCAAGGGAGAGGGGATTCAATTTTAACGAGGCCGCTACTTGCAGCAGCTTGCTCACCTCCTATTGGTTGGCAGACTGCCCTGAAGTTTATAAAATTTTATCTCAATGGCAAAGGGTGCTGAGTGCAAAACTTTTACTGTTATCTTAATCTATATGTTTTCCGTGTTAATTCAGGGTATTAATTTGTTCGACATTTAAGATTCAATCAGTTTTACAAAAAGTCTGATTTTCCATGACGATCTCTACCTGGAAAGTGCTTGCCTATTGACGCAATGTCTGGTCTGTATTTCGTCATACTTCACGATCGATAGTATGGCTGATGATTGACAGTTGAGAAGTTTTGCTTTCAGTCAGGAAATTGTGCTAAGATTACCCATCCTTGAACTAGTAAAATTCGAGCTTTTTTCCCCTTCATTCTTGCTCATTTTTTGCACTAGTTTTACCATCTCTTGATACTGGCTAGGACTACTCATGTCATTTTTTGGATTATGACTTTTTATTATTTGTGTAGTGCACAACTAAACTAATTTAATGCGGCATTTAACAAGAGCTGGCATGCGCCATTTCTCAGTGGCCCGGCCGCTGATTCCCGCCACTCAGCGTCTCGCGGCAAAATCTGAAGAGAGAGCTTTCACCATACTGTTCTTTAATAGATTGCAGAAAAGTTGCGCCTATCCATAATTTGTCACCTCTGTTGATAGGAGCCTAGATTGGAAATTGCTAACAGAGCATTTGACTCCGCATTGTATCATCTTAGCTTTTAGAATTCAAACATATCGTTCTCTAAGAGAGAGCTAAGAAGGAACATTGCGTCTTAGGCTTGGAGCCTGTAAGAGATACTCCTTTTACAGGCTACTTCAAGCAAATACTAAGGCAACATAAACCTAGAAAGGTATGTTCGGCCTACAATGTTATGCCTATGAAAGAGCGAATCTGAGGTGCAGCCAATTTCCTCTTGGGAAACTTGCAAGTTATAGTGGATGTTTACAGGCAAACCACATTGGTTCAACTGTAACCAATTTCTTAAATGAAGTTGTTGCATTGAGTTCAAGCCCAGATTGCCCTGATATGACTTCTGGCATTATATCAAGTTATAATTGTCTTAGTCTATGGAGGGGACCATTTCGGGCTTGAGTTTGAGTCAGGCTACCTTGCTGCAAGACCTGACTCCTTTTTGCGTGTATCTTGTTTAGTTATTTCTGGTGAAATATTGCAATGGTGATAAAGGGACTATATTATTGTGGGCTATGGTAATTCAAGGAGGGATTTAAATCCAACTAAAATTCCATTCAACAATAAAATTGTGGTTCATGAAAAATGAAAATGAGCTTAGGAAACAAAGATCAAACCCATAAGTGAACGGATTGATGGACTTTTTTAGTCGATATGGCACAATCAGCCGCACCTACTCTACGTGCTTCAATTGGTTAAATCTCGGTTTTGAAAAATTACCCATCCTTGATGCATTCACAGCATTTGCGTATAATACAGACAGCAAATTTTTCAATTAAATTTATTGGCATTTAAAATGCTGGGAATCTTCAATTTCCTGGCCAGAAATGAATTTTACGGCAGAACAGGGCAATTCCGTTTGCAACAGCTAAATCCATTATTTTAAGATTCTATCCTTGTGACACTGAGCAGAGTTTCAAAATTCCACTCATCGACCCATTTCCTTGCTTTAATTTTTCTGCCTCCTGCACTCAGTCTAATGATTTAATTTGGCTGATTAAGAGATTAGAGCATTTATTTTTTTTGACTAGTCCTAAGACTCATTCAATTATGTTGAGAATTGAGATGATAGCAAACACAATGAACTCCTTAAAGAAGCAACTAGAAACACCGGTTAAAGGCTTTCATTTTGTTTACTTGCCATCGTTAAAGAAAAAGATAAGCAAAATCGGCCAAAACCACAAAAAATAAGGTTAATTACAAATGAGGTTAAAGTTGTGTACAATCAACCAAATTATCATTCCAGTGAGAAAAACTCGGTTGCTGATACCGAAAATGAGTGTTGATAAGGAGCACCCTTCAACAAGAGATGTCAAACAAGTTGTTGGCAACTCTCATGGCCGGAGGGCTCAATAATACAGATTTGTTTCCGAACACCCAAAGTCGGTAAACTAGAGGATTTAATGAAATGGGTTAAAAGTTCATGGCCTAGACAAATTTTAGGTGGGTGTAGGGTATTTCTTGTCAAAAGCAGATACTGAACATTGCTGAAGTGAGTTACGCTTGTGTACATTAGCAGCAAAACCAATTTTCCAAAGTGGTGAAGTAAAATTCAAAGTAGTTTTGCATAGGAAAAATCAGTTTTGACGAAAGAGAACTGGCAAAATCAATTTTGACTGCTCGCATAACTGATCTTGGCAGGCAGAGCCAATTGCAACTGCTTAGCATAGGCAAAACCAAATCTTGCCATGCTAAGACTTGAGAGACGTTCATCAATTTTCGACACTGTGCAAGGTAATGCAGACCTACGTGACAAGAGGGTTGCTTTACAGGGAGGAGGGCCGAAAACTCCAAATTTTAGAGTGAGATAATTTGCAGATTGAAATAGTGCACGCAGTACGCCAAATCACTATCAACCGATTTACATTCAATAATATGAAATATACACGCAAAAGCATTGAATGCAGCAAGGACAGACAATTGTTTGAAATTACGGATGGTAATAATTGTTGAAAACAAGCTGCCTATGGCGCCTGATTAAAAAAGTCCATACTGAATGGGAAAAATCCTGTTTAACCTTTCCCAAATGCGATCAGTTACTGATAGAAATTGGAGCATTAAACTGGAGCATTCGATGCAGGGTTACGGAAAAGAAATCAATCGTGGCATCTTACCTCCATTAGAACTGCGCGATACTTCAATGGGCTTGGAGGCTTCGTTGATCGAAAACGATCTTGTCCTTGCCTTAGGATGTATATCCGGTTTCCTTGAGCTACTATTGGCACAAACACTGAAACAAAGATACAAAAATTTGAGACGTTCAGAGTTGAATCCTTTTTAAAAACCAATTTTTTTGCCTTTCTGCTCACCAATATTTACTGCATCAATCATTTACATTTTAACTCTCGGTCATTTTTAAACAGACAAATTCAATTTTGACGAGAGTGTCAGCTTGCGAAGGATTTTCAACAAAGAATTATACTTGATTTTATTCTGAGGAATAATTAGACAATTCCTTAAGCAGATGATAACCCCCTCCAAACGTTTGACACTGGACAGACCACCCATATCCAATTCATGCCATTTTGAATTCAGACGACTGCTGCCAAGCCAAGAATGCTTCATTCAAGGGTTAGTTGTCCTAATCACAGAATCGTTTTTAGATGTTTGATTCTTATAGATCAGTCAGAATAATAAGATCTTTCCAAACAGCAATTTTCTACGTTCAATATTAACTGAGATAGCGCACTTTGAAAAATTTGTTTAATGACGCTATCCACCATGGTATTGCCACCCTTGGTTTCTTCCACTTTGCTTTCATCCAAGTTTCACGTTGAGGGACCAGTGAAAATATAGGTCTCATTGATTGATGAAAGCAGGGTGGAAGAAACCAAGGATGTCACTATTGCGGTGGATGACGTCATAAGCCGAATTTTTCAAAGAACGATATCTTTATTAATATTGAACAAGGAAAGTTGCTGTTTGGTCACATCTTATTATTTATAGCTGATCTACAAGAATTAAATATCAAATAAAATTTTCCCTATAAAATTGCTGTTAAACAGAGATAATAAAATTGTTGAAACAAGTTTCGTTTTTTCAGAGGCAGTTGACATTTCTGCATCTTTGTAGGAGATATCAAAAAAAGGATTCTTCTGATGAAAGAGTTAGAACTCCGGTACATAAGATGCAAATTAAACTTACTTGAGGATTGCATGGTGCATGTTCTTGGCAATCACTTCATCTTCAGCCTCCATCCACAAATTGCCTGGTCCTGTTACAGACATTTGACCAACTTCAACGTACAGGAAGGAGGAGAAGTCTCCACACCTTCTAATGCTGGATAACTGAAACAATGCAGCAAAATTTTAGCTGAAACCAGTATTCTAAAATTCAAGGCATACTACATGCAGTGTCTGAAAAAACTTCAGATGCACTGGTCCAAAAGTGGTGTTTTGTTAGTTCAAGCTCATAGATTAGCAAAAAAAAAAAACAAGAAGTTCTGTTCAAAAGTTTGTTAGTTGATTTTTATAATGGGCATTCTGGTACATCCTTACTGTACCAACTCTTTGATGAAGATCTTCTAATGTTCACTTACTTACTTATGGCTGAGTTTAAAGCAATGTGACGTTGTGGTAAAACAGTTTTTCTAGAAAACTTGAATTAGAGATGATGTGGTTATGATTCTTCAGCTATAGGCTAAGGTTTTAAAGTTTACAAGATTCTATAATATTGAACTTTATACCACAAGTTATGATAGAACTTACTGGAAAATCTAAATTTTCAGAGGAAGGCTCATCATCTCCAGTAATCTTGATGAGGGAGAGTGTTCTGTCAGTCAAGCATAGCAAATGAGGACCTAGAATATTCCTACTGTTGCCTAGTTCCCGTTTCTGCATATTCACATGCCAGACATGAGCTGCAAAAAAAAAAAAAATGGGCAAATTATTGGTCTAAATGCACAAATTTTACCAAAAATAGAGCTGTCGCCATTTTTACTTTTTAACAAAGAAAAAGACAAAGAAATTCATTTAAAATTTGACCGTTTAAAGAACAAGCTGGGATTCGACTTTTTTCTGTCCTGAGGGACCTAGAATTTTGCCATGATGAAATTTTTCTATCAAAAATCTCAATAAATAATGTTTCTACAGAGCAAGTTTGAGCGATTTTCCTTAAAATTTTTCCCACAACAGCGAACTTGAAACTTGAGGAAAGATAAAATTAAAAAAATAAAAAATAAATTCTGAGGGCATTTTAAAAAATTATTCTATGACAAAAGGACAGAGTACTTTTAAGCTTCTCCCCGCAAGCCTGACAAGGGAACGTCACATAGTATCCCTCCTACATTTTGATCTGCGTTCGGCCAAAGATTCTTCAAACAAAACATTGGACCCCTAATTGGGCGTATTTCTACTAAACAGAACAAAGCGACAATTTGATTTCTTTGGGAGGATTTTAGAATTTCGGATAGCGCGTTCTGTCAAACGGAACTAAGCGCTTCACCCACCAATCCAAACCCCTTTTCCCTGCTTCCCTCTATGCTGCTTAGTTCTGTTTAGCAGGAATACGTCCAATTGGGTCCCAGAGGTTCAAAAAAATGTCAAAACATTGACATAGAAGGTCGCTTACTGAGGTGGCAAAAAAATACTTCTATTGTTTCAATGTTGCGATCATGTAATGGTATTGCGCCAAAGGTCTTCAGTTCCATTGCCCTTGTGGGACTCCATGGTTGATAAGTACCAAAAGTAGAGTCTGGAGGTCTACTCTTCTTTCAATCAAAAGTAAGAAACTGTAAATATACGAGTGGCTGTTGCATTCCTACAGATGATTGATGTGTCAAACTTGATTGATTAACATTGCAAGACAGGGCAGTATCTCACAATATCACTCTATTAATAATCGGTAAAGTCTTAAAAATTGAGTGCACAAGCTGAAGGACTTACCAAATTGAGGTTGTAATTCTTGACCATCAGTAAAGTCTGACCCATATTGCAGAGCCAATAACGTCTTCAGCCAATCATTACAGACCTCTTCTTTTTCAAAAATTATACTGAGACAATCACTTTTCGTGTAAAGTGAGAGTACATTTTTTATTTTAAGATCATTCCTTTTGTTAATATTGAAACAATATTTTAACCTAATAATTCTGAAAGAGGAAAACAAAATACAAAATGTTACTTGCAGGTAAAAAAGTTGAATTCAAGCATGACTATTTAAGCTTGAAAATCAGGTGTCACCATACATGCAGAAAGTTCTCAGCATTCCCATTTCGAGAACCTTTTTCAGCTTATCAACTAGTGATGAGAACCAAAATCAACTTATCGACCAGTGATAATCTCTTTGCCCCCTATCCTTGAATCTGTAGAAACAATTAAACTAAAACAATACTAAAATCGGCCTAGAAAGTGGTTTTATAAAGCCAAATCCCCCTCACTTCATTTGAGGATTTCTGGACTCAAGTTTCCGAGGAAGTTCATGAGAGTTTCATTAGAAAAGTCACATCTGCAACATACCAGAAATTCAGCCCTGTCAACAGAGCCCATCCCTCCCAAAAGCTTTAGTTATTACAAAAAAATTACAAAATCAGCTCAAAATACAATACGTAGGTGGCGAAAACTTTCTTCAATCAGAGTTTATGACATCAGATTCTAGGATACTGTTTATCAAGAGACCAGACTAGTGAGAATCGAATATTTAACCATACTGACCAGGCCGAAACATATCCTATCCTTTATTTCTATCTGAAATGGGTCAGTTGCACTGGTCTTAGAATCGTGTTTTGATGCTTGATTCTTGTTTTTTCTTTGATCTTCTTGAATTTTCTTTGATTAGCTAAAAATAATAAAATCCGTCCAAACCGCAACCTTCCTTGTTCAATATTAACCGAGATATCGCCCTTTGAAAAATTTGTTTAATGACGCTATCCACCAAGGTATTGCTACCCTTGGTTTTTTCCACTTCACTCTCATCCAAGTTTCACGTTGAGAAACCAGTAGGTCACTGACTGATGAAAGCAAGGTGAAAGAAACCAAGGGTGTTACTACTGCGGTGGATGACGTAAAAAACCCAACTTTTCAAAGGGTAATATCTTGGTTATATTGAGTGTAGAAAGTTGCGGTTTGGACGAATCTTATTATTTTTAGCTAATCCATAAAAATCAAGCATTAAAACACAATTCTGAGACCAGCGCAACTGACCCATTGACCAATAATCTTCAACTGCCGTGACGGGAAGGCAGCAATAAATAGGAAGAGCTATGAATATATCTTATAATCCACAGTAAAACAAATAAATTTGGTGAATTTTCATGAGTACCTCGACCTCTCCCCGCGCACACTTATCCACCCTAAACGAAAAGTGAATAATTGATATGAATTGATACGTAATAAATGGGTTTGGTGGAATTCTGGATACAGGTGGTAATTTTTAAAGCTCTGTCGGTTGCTTGTACCTGATATCTCTTTTAAGCACATATCTTATCCATTGAATCGCTCACTGACTTTCATAACAATCTCTAAATTATTTTGGGCTGCTGTCCCCAACAATTAATGTTATATGAGGTTTCCCAAGAAGGTTATATTGATTCAGTAAAAAAAAGATTGCTGTAAGCATCTTCAACAGTGATACACTTACTTCTTTGGAGGTTGGTGTAGTTTGTACTTCCGTTCTGACTCATAATATTCCAAACAGCCACAGGAGGTTTCAGTCTCTCCTCGGATGACAAAAAACCTTTTTTTCATTGTCTGAAAAGAAAAGAAGAAAAACAAGATGACCACATGAAACAGAAAGAATGTTACCAATTGTTATCACCATGTAGTTGTCTTTAGCGATTAATTTTTGGAACTCGATTTTTTCCGCCTTTCTTTTCTTGCAGTTGATAATGGTGCAGTGAGAAGACAGGACATCCTGAATACTTCATTTTGTAATTATAGCTCTATTTTGCCACAGAGATTTGCTAATTAAGTTCAACCTATGTAAATTTTCGCAAGAAACGAGGAGAAGCCACCAGTTTTTTTTGGAATTATCTCCTAAGCTCAAAAAAAGCTCTCTAAGTTGAAGCCGAAACGTAAGAGATCCCAGAGCTAAAGGATGACGAAAAAGGACCCATGAGCAGCCCATGACATGAAAGTAAAATAGGTATGATAAAGACACAGCTAGAATGCAGGAAACAAGGCTAAAGACAAAAAGGTAAAAACCCAAAACATCTTGGTCGATTACTCGGACTATTGTCAATCAGAAATACATAAAAATTATAAAATTTTAATGAAAATTCAGGATGGGATCAAGGTACACTCTACTACAGGTATGGATAAACGGGGTGCCGAAGTGGCAGCGCTGAGAAAATCGGCGATCGAGTGACGTATGAAGTCGTACCGTCCATTTGCCGCGTATGTCTTCGCAGTCGTACTCTCGATGCTGTCAAATCTATGCGTTTTGACGACTTTCTAAAATTCCATTTGTCCATACCTGTAGTAGAGTGTACCTTGGGATGGGATTAATTTAAATTTTGTTGTATTTGGTAGATCAAGCTGTGCTATGTTAGGTTTAAGTATATAATAAAGCTAAAATGATCAAACAGAAAGGATGAGGATCAAGAAGAGAAACAAGGGAATAATATCAAATTCTAGATAAGGACAATCTAGATAAAAAAAAAAAAAAAAAAAAAAAAAAAAAAACCGATTGATTTTAGTTTATTAATAGGTAGTTAAAAGTAACGCATTTATAAGAAAAGTTAATTTGGAAAATGCACTTTTTGAAGGGAAAAAATGAAATGGGAAAAACCAATTAAATGTCACTAAATAAAAGCAACACCAAAAGTTTTGCTCGATCCTAACTCTACTTGATGAAGATTGGTGGCCAAAATTTTCTTTGTGTTTATCTTAATCATACAAACCGAATTTGTAGAGGTCGGAGAGAAAAAGAGGTAACGAGCAGTAGTCTCAGAATATACTGACCGACCGACCGACCCTTGCGGTACCTCATATTGGCCTGGTCAGCCGCCTTCCTGTTTCAACGATAACACATCATCCCTCCACTAATACTTTTGTACTTGCTAAATCACAATTTACCAACTTTTCAGATGAGTGGACAGATTTTATACGGATCAGCCTAATTCCTACCATGATTTACTTTTTCAGGATTGTTTCATTATTTTAAAATTATTATTATTGATTTTGTCACTTATTTATGACGCATAAAATATTAATATGTATTACTAGATTCAGGTGATTATTAATTTCATTATTTAATTTTCTTTTGTCAACAGAGGTGGTTACAAAATTCAGCGTGGAAGAGCACATTTTTTATTATTGGAAACTGAATTCGTTGGGGAGTTACTTCTTTGAGTATGTGTACTCTGTTGGACACATACCTGCAGACTTGAGGGAAAAAATTGAAATGATTTCACATCTAGAAGTCTAGCGAGAGAAGTGGATAGAGGCGCTCGAAAAAATTCATAGTTTAATGTGTTGGTTTTGGTCCACTTCACCTAAGGAAAAGGAAAAATATTTAGTGAGGCATCTAATCGAATAAAGAGGATAAAACCAGGCTAGAAAAAAAATTGACTAACAGGAATATGAGATGACCACACAGCTGAGACAGTCAGCCCTTGTCCGTTCCTGCTCCATTTCACCTGAGAAAAACGAAAAACATTTGATGAATGGCCAAAATAATAATGGGCTGTCAAATCTCTCTAAGTTAAATTCTGGCAATGAAAAACAAACAAATTGAAATAAAAAAACAGCATGACAATCATACATATCTTTATTATAAAAAAGAAAAATATATTCCACACTAAGCACAAAATTATTGGAAGGAAAGTATGGAGATTATTTTAATGGAAAATTGCTCAAAATTTATTTTTTATATGCGAATTTTTTTCAAACTAGGCCTTGAAAAAAACAAACAAAAGCTTGCTCTTGGAGGAGGTCGATGAAGATTAATTTGAAATTTGATTTGACATAAAAATCAAAACCTGGACACTGTCCACAATCAAAGCACTGATTTTTCTGCCTTTTTCTTCCAGTTAATAGAAGGAGCTAAAGTAAAAATCAAGTTTATACTACCACATGGCCCTTCACCACCTTTTTTTTTTTAAAGAACAGAGAAGACGTTAGCTACATTCTCATCAACAATGTTATGAGGACAGTTCATCTTCCAATGGCATAAAGTTCAGAAAAAATATCTTATTTGGAAAAAAATAAGAGGCTGAAATCCAAAAAAGATGCTTCTCTTTTGTAGATCATTGGTAGGAATAATTTTTTATGGCTTGTGCTAGGACTAGAGATTGAAGGTTAACACAGTTAGGTATTCCAAATAATTTATTTATAAAAGAACACATTCAAGGTCAGTTTGCCCTTTTCCTTTAATCAATGGAACTTCAGCCCTCGATCTTTGAGGGCATGAAGCAATCTCTAAAAATGCTGCAATTCAGCTGACATTTTGCAAGGATAATTTTTTCTTGTGAACTGGAAGTGGTTCCATTGGCGTCTCTAAGATTCTTCAAATGGACCTATTTTTCCTCATACAATCCAGATCAATACTTAAATTCACTTTTTAATTTTTTTCGGGAGTTTTCAGTGGTCCTATCTAAATGGATTACTAAATAAAAAGGATTCTGACTTTCACATCAATGGATGAAATTTCTTTTCAAAATTACCAAAGAACTTTCAAACCATATCAAATCACTAACCTTAAGTTTCTTGTGAGTTCCCATCCTTAAAACTTCACCCTGCAAGCAGGTATTATTGTTAGACTGCGTAGAAGACATTCTGTTACATTGGATTCTGTGAAGAAAAAGAAAAAATGATTACTGTCTTGAAACGTTATATTATAGAGCCTGGTGTCAATGCTTTCACATTTTCCTCCAAATGATCCTAGTCGTCAGAGGGAGTGTCGCTACAAACTCTGCTGACTACCAAGCTTTACTTACCCTCAGCAGATAATTCCTGTGCCTCTAGCACAATAATTGTTCTAGATAATCTAAAGACAGTACAAATAAGTTGGTAAGATATCCAGGAGCTCAACGACAGTCTAAGCAAATAGATTAGACACTGCCTTTAAAAAGTCCTTTCAGTGTTCGAAACTCACAGGCGCCAACGCGCCAAATGCGCCTAAAAATTGAAGGCTCTGCGCCAACGTGGCCCCTAAAAATCTGAATTTTCATATTAGGTGATTATTCGACATTTTCAGTACTACAAGTGAAAGCTTTTTCTATTCTTCCACGATTTCATCTTTAGTGCTTTTGTCTTCCCCAAGTTACAGCTACTTACTAGTTCTGTTACGAAAACATCTTGCGTCTAACTTTTCACTAAATGCGCCGTAATATATAGGCAGAAAGTTAATTTGGCCCCTAAAAAATCTTCAGTGGCGCCTAAAAATCGGGCTTGATGCACCACATGGCTCCTAAAACTTAAATGTGAGTTTTGAACACTGAGTCCTTCACTTGTAGATTGCGAAGATGGCAACTTTTGAAACCGACAAGGCTCCACTGGATCTAAGTCATGCACATCAGAACATTTTTATTGTTGTTTGGCCGCCTGTTCCAACCCATGCCAATCTGTCTCCCTCACAACTTGCTATGGAAAAGTTGCTCAATCCTGCACAAATACTGCAAGCAAATACTCTTAATAAGAAAATTACTGTCAAGGTGAATTGCTGTAGTATTTTCCTTACGACCATTGAAACCAAATTTTTTGACCGTTGCAATATGGTGACTATCTAAGTACCATTCTGAAAGGCTAAGATGGTTGATTTTGGTCAAATTTCTACTCATAGCTAAAGATCATAAATCCAAAGTAGAAATCAGGGGCTTGCTTTACTTGCAATTTTATAAAAACTATCTTCAAAGGGTACCAATCGTGAGGTGCTCGTATAATGCAATGTTACATAATTTCTTTCTGATGTTTCTGGCCACATATCTATTGTACGATTCATTATTCTAGCTTCTCTAGATGTTATATAAAAACACCCCCGATGAGTGCCACTTTCCTTACCTGTCCGTTACATATAAACCTCAAAAAAAACTTGTCTTTAGAAGATAAAATTTTGCAACATGCAAAACGGCAGCGGCAACATGAATACAATCAATACACATCTATCGATTTGACAACCAAGAGACACTTTCTGCTCCTTACTTGCTCTCATTCTTGTTAGACAGCTCAAAATCAGCTTGTATAAATTACAACTTTGTCAGTTAAATCCTACGGTATTCTAGTTTCGGGGCTACAATTAAACTTTTGCTCAGATTTTTTGCAGCCGTAATTATGAAATTTAGCCGTATAACTTATGAGTTTAGCCATTTACCGGGCCAAGTAACTCATATCAGGGATGACTTATATACCATGTATATCGCCCGATATACATAAAATCTCAACTGTAAATGGTCAAATACATCACCAACTTAAAATCATAGAAACCATAACAGAAAAATTATCATCATTGAGTGACAAGTAAGAGACTCACCAGTCTGCTTGAAATAGAGCTCACACATCGAATGTTGAGACAAACGTCAAAGTATTTTTTAAGTTTCCATTCATCAGTGGTGCCATCTGACTGCATAAATTGACTTGTTCAGTGGTACTGATTCAGAGCTAGTCAGAGATTGACGTTCGTCTTAACATACGATACGCGAGCTCTAACCTTGTTTTCACTGTTTCGTTCCTACATTTAATGTTCAAAACTTGCTTCCGTCCCTTATGAGTTATTACAGACACAGTTTTATTATCTGCACACTATTTACACTCTTCAAGTTTGGTATTGACAGCAAAACATGGGAATGCGAAGGGAGTGCCATTCTTTGCCCAAAAAACGAACCCTTGTTCAGAAGTATACATGTCGCCAACTTCAGAAGCAGTTGATTCCAAGCGCATAACAGGCTAGAGCAATTCAAATTGTGACTTGATTAAGGGGCTCAGGATTCTTGAAAGTGTAACGAAGCAATTGACTCCACAAAACCAAAAATGGATGATTCAGCTGCAATCCTTACGTAAACGAAACATCATGGCTTTCACTGAAAGTCCCAAAGTCCCCTTGGCGTTGTCTTCATTACGGATAGAATGCTTAAAAATGAAGTGAAATTGATGGAGAAATTGCTACAATATCCAAAGAAATTAGTCTAATGTTAAAAGCAAGTAGAGTAAGTGTCCGACTTGCTCACATCATGCAGACACAATTGGACAGGAAATAGATAAGAGCTGGGGGGCCAAGAAAATTGAAAAAAACAATTCCTTAAGGCATAAAAATCGGATAATCGCAAAATACTTACGCGGATTCTGATAAAACGAATCTTTTGTTTACGATTTCTCCGAAATGTTAGTTCCGAGAGCATGGTTGAAAACGAAACAAAAGATCGCTAACATCGGAGACCATTGTTGTGATTTTGACGAATCTGACAGAGATAACATAAACATCTCACACGTAATCGGAAAAAAATGCCAGAATTAGGAGGAATTAGACTGACCAACGACCGGAAATTAACTACGTTTGTTACTTTCGTAGACAATTGCCAAGGGCAAACTATAACTTATGCGCAATTCCGATATCCAAAACACGTAAATATATATCCAGGTCAACAAATGAGGTTCCTGCATTAAGTTGCGGAATTAAAAATTTAAAGTCACTGAGTAAAAACTAGGAACACAAATTCAACTTTAACGAAATTATCAGACGAAAATTAACACAACACTGTCTTGAAGTACACGATGAATTTGATGGCAATTGAAGAATTCATAGAAGATAATACGCTCACATCGTCCAGACAGTTGAAATGTGCTCCATCACCAATGTACACGAAAATGATGCGCAGTTAAAACTTGACACAAACTGGTCGCACAAAACAGTTGATCCTTCGGGTAACAATAAACTCGGCGTAAAAGCTCCATTAGAAGAAAACGAATTGTTAATATTATGACACCGACTTAGTTTCACCGTGGGATATGAACTTATCGCGTAGCATACCGAGTAAACCATCTTGGAAAGATCGTGTGCAGTATGCACTCAGAAAAACAACACGCACACAGTCTCAAAGCGAGACTACGAGAAAAGAGTCTCCCTCCCTTTACTCGCACACTTGCATCAACGTCGCGTCAGTTGCACTCACACATACATGACTCGGCTCGAATCGAAAAGAACGCTGTGTTGATGCTTTACGAAATTGTCCCACTTGTTCTATTTTCATAAAAGAAAACACATTTAAAATTGATAAAATTGAATTTAGTCGCTAACTGTGAGCATAATGCTAATATTACGAAAACAAACCAAATCTACGAGCTTCCCAGGTTAAAAATTTCCTTTTTAATCCGTTTTCAGGCTCAGTCAGCTCAGGCAAGGCTGCAGGATAAGGGCTTTGACCGAGGTCGCGGCGAGGAAGCGAAGGGGTTGAAGATGTGGTCATGAATCTATTTTGATCTATATGATGTGATTCTGATTATTTCAGGATGATTATTATTTGTCAACAATCTAAGGCAGCATAATATGCTTAACTAAAAATTGGCATGTTTTAAGCGACCGGAAATTAGCCGAAAAGAAACCCTGCAGGGGAGGGGGGGGGACAAAACTTAATACTATTAGAAGCACTTTTTTTCTTTTTTTTAAAAAAAAGTAAATTGTGGTAAATTACAATCTATAGACGCTTTTTGCATTACTTCGTGTACACCCGAAGAATAATGGGACTATAGACCGAGTTATTTAGGATTTAAAGCTTTGCCATCAAGTGCGCAATTTAAGGGATGCGCAAGAAACTATACTTGGGCATTGGAAATAACAGTTCCTTAAATGTTGTTGACACAGGTTAACTGTTCTGTTACAAGACTATTTTTATTCATTTCTCCTTTCGATAAAAAAAGAAAAAATTAGTGTAAGTAAGTCACGCCTCAATAGACATGCCGCGCGACTTTTTGACCTCACCCATTCCCCCCTCATCCTTATCCGTAGGAACCTACCCGGTTCTTCATTTGTGGTTTTTGCGGTCAGCTAAGTAAGTAATAAATGTTTCTTCAACTGATGTTTTCGTCCTATTTTCAAAAACCTTCCCAAGTTGAAGATTGAAATTTCTTGAATCTAGATTGTAGTTATTATAAATGTAAATAAATTTAAAAATAGGACAGAAAAAACCCAAGTTAAAATGGACCGCGTTAAACAAAAAGGAGCCAAGCCACATCAGCTATTGCCAAATTTAACAGGGGAATTAGATTTTTTTTAGAGAGAACGTTTGTGCGTATTCCTTTGAAAATTTTAAGGAATTTGCTTTGTATTAAGGTATGGAGAAAATTCATAGTTTGCACAAAAATCCGCACAACCGTGTTATTGTAAAAAATTAAATTGCCCGATTAAATTTGGCAATAGCTGATGTGGCTTGGCTCCTTTCAGAGCAGGATTTACCTGATTTACCTACTTGCCGCCCATGGGCCGTCTGTATTTTGCCGCCCCCTTCTCATTCGTTTTGAAACATCAATAAAAACCATCAAGTGAACGTGCCAGCGGGGGAAGGATGCAGAAGACGCGTTTACTTGTGTTGGATACATTTTTTGGGATAGCCGTGTCAACACTTCTAGCAAAAGTTCACGGAACTTTGCGCGAAAGTTAAGTTCCTTAAACCTATCTCTGTGTGGACAAAAGCCTTCCATTCATAAGAAGTGAGCGAAAAAATTATGAAAGAACAAACATAAATGTAGTTTAATGATTTTAACTTCCGCCGCCGCGCCGTGCAGACTGCACTGTGTTTGGCGCAATGCGTGAAGTATTCCGACAGTCTTGTAGGCGCTAAGCGTTTCACGCTGACCGCACTGTCTTTGGCGCAATGCGTGAAGTATTCATGCATTCTTGTAGGCGCCAATACGTGTTCCACCACCCTGCCGCATTGAATTTGACAATAGTGTAAAATGGACCGCGCTAGGCAGAAAGCCGCGTCAGCTGTTGCCAAATTTAATTGGACAAAATTTAATTTTTAAAAGAAAATAATTGTAGTATGGATTTTTGTGCACATTTCAGTGAATTTTTTTGCATAGTACGAAGCAAATTCCTTAAAATTTTTAAAAGAATCCGTACAAGCATTCTCTTGCAAAATTAAATTGATCAGGTAAATTTGGCAATAACTGATGTGGCTTGGGTCCTTTCTGTAAAACGCAATCCAAATGCGAACGTCAAATTCTAATTTCTTTAGTCAAAAATGTCCATATCAAAATATCTCAACGTCGTAGCAGCATGCAAACATAGGATTGTAGAAAATCGTGACAAAACTGGGTCATCCTGACGTGTAAGAATGTCTATTCTCATTGGTTAAAAGGCCGATGTACGTGTCGTGACGTAGAAATGTATGTGGGCCTTAGCCAATGAGAAGAAGGTTTTTAACTGATGAAGTAACAACGCTCCTACCCTGCAGTTGCTACAATCTCTCCAGTCTCCACTGTATTTTCTCTATGTTTTCTGTTACTGTTTACCATGTGGCTCTTATCACAGCCAGAACTTCAGTCGGAGACATGCTTGCATTTGTGTTTTTTAAACGGATTTGTCATTTAATTAACTTGGATCTCGCTGAGTGCCATTCTTTAAAACCGTTAGTGTTGTCCCATTTATTCCCTACGTGAAAAATCCTGGTAATTGTCTTCATTTTGATAATCTTTCATCCATCAAGTAGTCGCAGTGTTATATCTTATCCCCCATGCAATGGAACCTTCCCAAGATCAATCCACTATAAAACTTGGGGAATACATTGTTCTCCAAAAGGGGAATTTCATGAAGATACATCAGCTATCTAAAAATAGCTGCGTTATGCTTGGTAGGGACAAGATTGATTTAACAAGTATTATAGGTCATAAGTTTTGGACCAATTTCAAAATGGTTCATAAGAAGGGGTCCAAACGCGAGTTTGAACTTATTGTCTGTGATAAAAGTGAAAGCTTATTAAATCTAATCGATAAAGACGTTCGTGGCACTGATAACCGTGACATTTGGGATGACGGTAGCTCACAGTTAATGTCAGCTGATGAAATTTTCAAACTACGGGACAGAGGCTGCTCAGGCCAAGATATCGTAGGACAATTACTTGAGAATAGCAAAACTTTTCACTGCAAAACTGAATATTCACAGCAGAAATACCTGAAAAAGAAAGAGAAAAAATACTTCGAGTATGTGGTTGTGCTACGACCAAATATTAGAGTAATAGCTCAAATTTTGTTTAGCAAAGATCCTCAGAAAGTATTGAACTTGAGGTCAGATACATTGTCTCAAATTGTAACTGCTGTGAATTTACAACCTACGGGAAAGTATCTTTTGTATGAGAATGGTTGTCAAGGACTTGTCACTGCTGTGGTTCTCAATCATCTTGGAGGTAATGGCCGTTTGATTCATCTATATCCAAATTTACATTATCAGAAACATGCAGTTCTTGCAATGAACTTTCAGCAAAAAGATCTAGATTCCTTTATCAGTGTAAGACTGTCCTCATTTCTTAAGAAAATGTTCCCCGATTCAAGCTGTAAAGTCAGTGGTCCCTCTGTTGGAAACTGCAAGCTCATCGCTTGTGAAAATTCAAATGATCCTCAGCTGGAATCTTCTGGTGGTCTCTCTTCTTCTGAAGTTATCAATGGTGACGACACTCATGAATGTTGTGAACGTGATAAAGATATCAGCCCAAGAAGAGGATGTCTTAACACTGATGATACGGAGGTCTCTACTGAAGAAATTGACCCTGCACATGAACCTCAAACAAGACAGTTCATTGAGACAAGTCAATCGAGTCAAGAACAGAAATTAGAAGACTCTGCTCTTATTTCTGATGGCTGCAAACGGAAATCTTCCACTGATGACAATGATGCACCCTCTAAGAAGTCAAAGTGGGAGCTAGAGGTTGGTTGTTAAAACATTGTATTCATATTCCTTCAACAAATTTTACTCAAGAAAATAGATTGTAGGTACTATAAAATAAAATATTTTAACATTTAGCATACATATCATAAGACCAGAGCACAGTTTTTCAAATATCATTGAGTAGCTTATAATAAAGAGAATGAATAGAATTCTAAAATGAGTGTATGGAGTCAGCTGCCCACCTCCTCAAGGCAAAAGCAGCATTAGGCAAACCACCCGCTATACCGCGCTACAGACATATTTGTAATGTTACTTTTTATGCGGAAGGGGGAGGGGTGTCCTATAGAGCTTGAGAGACCATTCCACATTTAAAGGTTTGTGAAGCACAGAGAGTGACTTTTGAGGACTGAAGCCATTATAATAACCGCCCAAATTTTATTTCTGCCAACCTCATCTGGAATGCTTCAAGTCGATGCGCTACTTAAGTTCAAGGTATTAGTCAATGTCCAACCCTATAATAACCAAAAAAAAACCTTGGAACAGTGTCTGGAATACCCTGTACATGCGTAGTGCTTAACAGGGTCCAATTTCATCAAGGTCCACCCAAAAAGTGCCTTTCAGTTGATTCTCTTATTTTTCATGATAATATACCATTCTTTATATGATTTTTAGTTTCAGTAGCAAGTCTTCGTTTTTAAATGCATCAAGGTGTAGTTACTGAAGGATGTGTCTTTTTTCAGGTAGATAAAGCAGTAGACATACTGTCAACTGTAAAAGCAGATGGACTCATAATCATTTGCAAAGAGTACCCAATTCATCTCATCAACAGGCTAATTAAGCTGGTAGCATTTTCCAGGAACATGGTTGTCTACTCCATGTACCAAGAGCCCATTGTCAAGCTGTTCTGCGAGTTGAAGTTACGAAAAGACGTGATTGGAGTAAAATTGACGGAATCGTTTCTGCGGAATTATCAAGTCCTGCCTGATCGAACTCATCCCGAGATTAATATGAGTAGTTCTGGGGGTTTTCTGCTGACCGCAACAGTTGTCAGTCCAGAGGACTGCCCATCATGATTCAGGGTGTTTTATCTGTTACTATGTAAATTTTCAAGAAGATGTTTTTTTTATCATAAATTTTACAATTCCATTCAAAAATATTGCTTTAGACACACAATTTCGTTTCAACTTCATTCGTTTTCAAAATTTCAGTAAACTAAAAAATAATGCATATCATTTGAATTGTCGTGAAGAGTTCATCTACTATGTTCCTCTTATCTTCGACATGCAGCTAATAAGTTACAAAAGAATTTCTCCCGAAGTTTAAAAAATTAAGTCCAGTCAGCATTTTCATTTTGAGGACTGTTTTTCTAAATAAACGTGACAATTATCTCTTGACTGATTAGTCTTATCCAAAAAATTATTTGAGTAAGTAAGTTGTATTTCATATCAATATTTCAAACGGAGTCATTGGTTTTGTACTGAACTTCATCAACTTTGATTCTTAAAGGAAGGAGAAAAAAGTCCATTAAGAATTTCCAAATTTCTTTTGCAACTGCAAATGTCACGCTTCTGATTTTTAGGTCAAACCTGAACTGAGTATTGAGAAGCACTTAGAATCAACTTTATATGGTTTCTTGTAACGCTAACATATTCAGCATGAAAGAAGAATTTACTTTTTAGAAATTTGGGAAGGTTCTGAGCTAAGTCGTTCTCACAGAACAATGTAAGAGTACCACAAAATGGTTTTGATTAATGCAAAGAATTGAATTGGAAATATGTATTGTTCAATCAACTTTAGATATTCTGTACATAAAATGACTGAAAAGCAAGTTGCGAGTTTGTCCAGTTATTATCCTTAGGGAGGAAAGGGGATACAGGAAAAAAGTAACAAATTTTACTCCAAACTAAGTATGAAAAGAAAAAATGTAATAAGAAAAATCCATGAATTACAAATTGAAAAACCTACACTTACGATTAGAAACACTATCACAACTGATGTGTGTATTCATTGAATACCTCAATATTTATGTCTGCATAGTTTACAACCGAAAGTTCACCCCTACTGGGGGGATGTAAAATTCTGTACGTATCTCCTGATGATTTTTTACCTACTTCACCTTAAAATACAGAACTCTGAGATTAATTTTGCAATTAGATCAATGAAGCCTCTATTCAGATATATCAGAAATTTTGCTGCGGCGTCCACGGACACCAAGGCAAACCATGAAAGTAAATTATTAAACAACAATTCCACTTAAGATATTGACTGTTCAGGCTTTTGTTGGTCCTTGGTATGGTTTGGCCAAAACCATTAACTACCAAGTTGTATCCTTTTCACATGAAGGGCTTGGAGGACAAGGCGCATAAGTGCAGTTTTTGAAAAATTTGAGATATTCATAAACTCAACTATAACTAGTTTGAAAGTATATTCTGCGAAAAACTCACAACTAAAATCCAACTTCAAAGCTTCAGAAAGTGAGTTTAAACTTCCTTTCTGCCATAAGGCTTCATGGAATTTGGAACTTTAAAGACTTATTTCTTGAAATACCAAAACTGCACTTACGCGCCTTGCCCTCCAAATCCCTCATATAATAAGAGAATGTATTGCGAAAGAAATGCAGTAGTAGTAGACTACGGACTTTTACTACATTGACTATCTTAGCTCCTGAAGGAACAACATTGTCTTTGAACCCAATGGAAATTAACATTCAAAACCTTCTCCACAGAGATTTCCACAGATTCATTTACATCGTTGCTACCTTCCTCAGAAAACAAAGGAACATTCCATCAAGCAGTGACCTGGCTCCACACTTGATCTTCTGTCTTGTACAGCAGAGAAAATTCCATAAACCATGTACTCTAAAAAATAAACAATGGTTACACTTCATTCCTTTTAAAAATCTCTGGTGCCCGGTTTCACTCATTTTCTTCACTCATTTTCAGCCTTGTTTTCAGACTCAAAATCAACTGGCCTTGTGAGTAAAATCCTAGAGCACTTTAATTTTCAGGTTGCAATTTCATCTTTTGCTCGTACTGTTTGCAGTCATCTTTCTAGAATTTAGCTAATTTTTTAGTTGATGGAAAACCTTAGCGTAGAAATTTAGTTTCAGCACTACCTACAATCTAAGGAAAAATGACTAAAATTCTGCAACCTGTTTGATGATCTCTGAAACCAACTTCGTCCATCTATGAAGACTATCAAACAGGTTAAAACCATTTGATTTGCACAGAATTTCAGTTCTTCCTCATTAAAATATTGTGCTGAAATTAAATTTTTAAGTACACCATAAGATTACCTATGTGCATACTTGAAATTTTTAAGAGGGCTGAAGTTAACCATTGTTCTCTCTTAAAATACATGGGGAGTAGGCTTCTCTTTACTGCACAATGCAGAGGTTGAAACAGGACGGATCGATATGCTATTGTTTATTGATTTAAATCCCGCTTTTACCGTTGTTCAACCAGTTCAGCTTGGGCAGAAAAGACTGAAGCCTCCGACTTCTTTCAGAGCATTGAAAGACTGCCCAAGGGTGTTGATTAATTTTAGCTGGTGTCATTGACCGTGTGCAATTTTTCTATCGAAATACTTAGTTGTTCTAGGGAAGACATGAGAGAATTCATATTATCAACTCCGCGTTGGAGTCCCTCATCACTCAGTGGCTCAAACAATTCTTGTTGTGCAAATAGCTCGAAGTGCAGACGGGCAACATGCTCTTGCTGTTCACGGATGCCAGTCATTTGCTCCATACTGCAATCTTTACCTAGTAAACAAAAAAAAAAAGCAGTTTTCAAAGGACTGCACACGGAATACTAAGAAATTCGAGGCTAGCTAAATATCGAGATCTTTCGATGTGATATTCCTTATTATCCTCTGGGTAACGTGAAATTTCAGAACAAATTCGAACTTCCTATAAGCCAATCTCGAGAAAGTTGGTTCGGAAAAGTGCATTTTTGCCAGTTCCTGGCGTATTATTATATCAAATGGAATAAATAGGAGAATATATACAAGGAATAATACATATACTCGTATATTAACAAAATTTCAAAGACTTAAACTAGTTCACCGCCATTTCTTTCCTTAATAATTTTCTAAGAAGACAGAAAGAAAAATCGTTCACATGATGAACACTCTGATGAAACTCTCCTTACAGAGGAAAAACTATCCATGTTCTAGAAGTGAGAGCCTATACCCTTTTTCAAATACTTTTGATTTTTTCGGTAAAATTTTTTATATAAAGTGTTTAAAATTTTTAGCAGACTGAGGATTTTGAGCAACAATTCATAATATTCTCTTCAACTGGAAAGTTTAAATTCCAGCTGCGAATAAACAAAAAAACAAGCAATGGACTTACTGAAAGCACGGAGTTTGCCAGAGTTGAAGTCTTCAAGGAGATGAAGTAGAGCCTGTTCCATTTGGCGGACATCAGTAACATCTGAGAGAAAACAGTGATGTTGACATTCTCGATCAAGAAGAGCTTATTATACACACACGTGCACACAGCAAACAACAAAAACCAATGTGGACAAACATAAAAGAAAGAAAAAAAAGAAACAAGGATAAAAAAAAAGCATAGTACTGAACAGGAATTTATGAAAATAAATAAAATAAAGATAACCGTTGAAAGGGAATTGAAAAAAGTTTGAAGTTGCTTTTTGTTTACTTAGCAGAACAAAAAAAGATAAAAATAAAATAAAATAACTGAATAAAATGAAAAATAAAGGGGAAAAACAATCAAGCAAGCAAGCTGGAAAAATTCGATCCGCATTGGAGTGAAATATTTGGCCACTGAATATTGTACAAAGTTGCTTAAAAAAGTAGCCCTTTTGTGCAATACTTCTAAACGGTTCAAGATAGAACTCCAAAATTGGTTCATTCAAAAGTAAACCCAAAAATACAAACGAATTAAGCCATTTTATCCTGAGAAATTTTTCAAATGGTGAAAAAAAGTGGTAGGAATAACCAACTCCCAGCGTTTCATCCAATAGCAAACAAAGGAAGTTGCTGGAACACATTGTTGTTAGCATTCTTCAACACAAACGGAAACGTGCGTCAACTAATTGAGCTTGTCTAAGAGTGGTGTTTATGATAGAGCAAACTAGTTATCTCTTGTGATATCATTTTGATTGGCACAATGATCCAAATTTAAATGCAGGTTCTCATATCTATGCCAATTAGTAAGCAAAAAAGTTTGATGTGACAGAGGCATTACCTAAATATAATAGGGGAGGCACTGATTATGATCATTATTTTTGAAAGACTCCTGCTAGATGTCAGTTCAGAGGTAGGGAATCTCTGCAGTTCATTTATGTTTAACGTTATATTTTGATACATAAAAAGAGGAAATTATATGTAATTCATCATTGTTCTGGAATTTTAAAATCAAAGAGTGTTCTCAGTAGAATTTTCCATGAAATAAGTGCATTCGCCTGGCTTGGAATGAACGAATCGATAGCTGAAAGTCTGAGACAGCAAGAAGTCCTCTTCTTGCACTCATTGCTGGAAGAAGTACCTAAGTTCTTACCTTTCTTCATCATCTGGGATCTGATGGCACTGGGTAAAGGGGGTCTTGGAGGTCTATAACCATGTGACTCTGAAATTATGTTCCCTGAGGAATTTCTTCCGGTCCTCTCATTGACTTGATACAGTCTTGTTGTATGGCCTGAAAAATGGAGGAAATGATTGAGGAACTGCCATTCTAACAATGACAAACTTATAAATTTTGGGAGAGCACACACATCGTCCCTTACATGGCTGAGACATTCCTGTAAAAAATATCTGAGGAGGTGAAATTATACTTCCAGGACTAAAAAGTATAGTAAGAGACATTAACATGTGAAATGGCATGAAGTTAAAAATATGAGGGTTGAGGGAGAAAAAAGTGGCGATCTCACTTTAAGAAACTCCCCTATATTTTCATACTTCATATAAATCCTGAGATACTGAATACAGATTATCAAACATACTTCAGAATTTTCTTCCGAACAGAATATTATGAAGATTATATCTTTTCGATATCTTGGTAATGTCACTACTTTTGTGAGACAAGTAATCTTTCAAATGTTTAATTTAGTGACAGAATGTTGCACAAAATTTCTTTAAAAGTTACTTTAATACGTTCATGAGCAAAGTGCACTTTCATAACGGGCTGTGAAAATCATCTGAAAAAAATTTCGAAACCTGAAGAGGGAAGTGGACGTTCAGACAAACATCTTGAGGCTGATCCAACTGTCCAGGCTGTGGACACAATCTTCCCAAATATGTATAATTTTAGAAAAGCTTCTGAGGACACTAACAGTGGAATTTGCTAAGTGTTGCAGAACAGACTAATAGCACTACTGTTAATTCTGGTGTGAAGTCGGAAACATGTGAGCGCTTTCTGCAGTGCTTCAGTCAGAAGTCTATAATATTCCCATTCTTGACAGCCAAGCTTGAACGAAGAGAAGTCCTCGAATTTTTCTTCTTCTTTTTTTGCAAGTTCTGGCATAGTAATGGTAAAATACACGTAAGCGTTGACTAAGCCATCCTTACTGTCATTTCAAAATTTTCTTTCCACTGATCAACCAAAAAACCTGACTCACTTTTTGTAAAAGCACTTTTTCCACAATTGTGGAAAGCAGGGAACTTTATGGACTCTTGGTTTCAGTATGGATAAAAAACTCTTCAGTGGCAAAAGATGGCTCCGCAAAGGCATATTATTGACATAGCGATTGCCTTGCCCAAGCAACATTAAATCCTGTTCTTGAAACAGTGGACACGGACTCTCCCTACTTTCCCTCTCTTCCACAGAGGGTTGTAATGCTGAGCATTGAGGAACAGGAGCAGACAGATCAATGGTCCTTAGCCAAGCTTTTAGAAAATTGTTCATCCCAATTAGTTACTGACTGATGATTACACATACCTATATTTGAAACTGGAGCAGTGGCAATTCGAGAAATAGGCCTGGAGGTGGAGGATTCTGCTATGCTGGGTTCCCCTTTTGTACTGCTGGCACCTTCTGATGAAGAAATTTGAGATGAACGTTCTGGTTCTTCTATGTTTTGTTTTAAGCTTTTCTGCTAAACAGAAAAAGAGCCAAAAAGATGAGACAAACATCATTTCTCTGTGACAAACTGGAGATACTGAGGGCTACGGACCAATACCTACTGCCTAATTGACAACTTTGGCGAAAATGAGTTAGCGAGTTTGCCGTATTCTACAGCATAAAATATTTCACTTTTTTCCAATTTTTCAGGGAAGCGCTGTAATAACACTGTGATGTATAGAGAAATTGCAGGTCGAGCTTCAAAATCACAAAAATGGCTAAGTTTTCTCTTTGTCCTGCAAAAATGTCAGTTTGCAGATAGGCGGTATTGTTCTTTAGTCATCGTTATGTTACTTACAGTTTAGGCTCTGACCTCTCTCTTCACCCTAACAACCAATTTAAAATTTGTCAGGTTTTTTAGTGTATTTTCCGAAGGAAATATTTCAATTTTTTTCATTGTTTTAGATTTAAAAAAAGATACTTCCTTAGCCATACAAACATTGCACTTAGGCTGTAGCATTTCTACCTCAGAGACCCTGAAAAAATGCAAAAAAATCCTCCAACTAACACAACCACTTCTCAGAGTTTGTTGTGTTCTTCATTCAGTACGGCTTTGTGAACAAGTTTATGTAAAAAAAAAGAGCAGGTAGAAATCAGATTTTACTTGGAAAATTTAAACCAAACTGCTGACTACGATTAAAAATGTTTCCTGAGAAATGTATCAAGAATCAGTAAGTCCCCACTGGTGTGAGGGTACAGGGTTCTTTTTTGGTACACTGGCTTCAAAAGGATCTGTAGAATTTTTTTTTTTTGGGGGGGGGGGGTATCCAGTGGTGCTGAATGGCTTGACATAGATAAAGAAGACTGCTGACTGATGCATAGCTTAAATATGACAAAGACAAGAAAGAAAAGAGAAAAAACTGGCAATTTTTATAAAGCATTAGGTACTATGCTGGTCATTAAGTTTCCAGCTTGCCATTTATACTGATGGCCAAAATTTGAAACCACGTACCTCCACTAGGAACGTTGCAGACTTCCTGTCATACTTTATAACTTCTTTAAAATACTAGGCACGGTATCTAATTTCTTGAAGACTCTCATTTGTTGCCTCTGTTAGCTGAGTATTTTTTATAAATTTCAAGCTACAAAATGGGCTTTTTTCTCTTTAAAAAAATAAAATAGGAGGGGAAATTTTGAAACACCGGAATGAAGATACATGATTCCGCACTTTGGCCACTGATAGAGTTTCGGTTTTTACTTACGGAATTGATTCTTTGAGACTTACACTGTCTTACGTCAGTAATAAAAGATTTTTACTACTTTCTAGGACAGCCATTCAATTTTAAAAGCTCAAGATTTTACTACTAGCAAGTATTTTGGCTTACTTTGCTGGTGCCCTGGTTAGTCAGCTGACTCAAGACTAGAAGTGAAGATCGCTTCTCGGCAGGAGTATGAGGAGGTGTTTCATCATCAAATTTGTTGTTGACACCAGGTTCTTCATCGAAGGAGACTAATTGTGTCAACTCACACTCTTCTTCTTTGCTAGACATTTTGGAGAAGCTTTAATGATAAACTCAGCAACACAACATAATTTGTTATGCTAGAGATACCCTAGGGAACAAAAAGAAACAAGATCATACACATTAATGCCATTTCATCCTAAAAATTAACTGTGCCGTAGACACAAAGAAACAAAAAAATTGGTGGGTTTAAAAAAATGAAAATGAATTCTTTTACTTTTATACAGACATGCCCTGTAGTCTACGACACGAAAAAAGGCAGTTAAGGGGCAGAGTCAGGTGAGCAGCTCACGCTACTGTGCGAAGGTTGATTGGCTTGGCTCTATATTGCCATGCTGTCTCTTTTTATTCAAGAACTCATCGAAACTTCAACTGTGGATTGTACAAAAACGGTAAGTAGCTCATAGAAAGTTGGCGCAATGATGACTTACGATCAGCATTCATAGACAAGTTTAATGCTATAAAAAATGGGAAATCGATCGTGGTTTGCAGGGTCCTTAAACCAGCACCAGATTCCTTAGTTTTCCATGTTAAGTCCTTGGAGATATTATCTCAGAATTCTTGAACAGTGCTCGCATCATTCCATTTGAGATCAAGAATGATATTTGAAATCATTTCAATGCACAGCTTCAGAACTAAATCCAGTAAGTATACACATGGCTAGCCAAAACAATTGGCCACCTTCATTCGAACTGAGTAACTGTAGAGTTATTCTCGATAACTACCCGTTCTAATTTTTTAAACATTTCTATACCTGGGTAGATGCACATACCTGATTGAGAAATGATATGATGGTTCAGGATTTCTTGTAAAATATCTGATGCTTCAAGGATTATGAATTGGACAGCAGATCCACATAGGAGACTTTTATTTATTAAACGGGGACCCACCTCAAGGTGATCTGACCTGGGATCTACTTGCGATGGACTGGTTTAGTGAGTGGCTGGATCATTCGATGTAAGTAACTGTTTCCAAGACTTGATGATAAATTGAGGTAATCAATAATACAATTGAGAAATACTGGAAATATTCTTCTCACTCAGAGAGAAGAAAAAGAGTGGAAAAATTTTACACTGACAGCGCGTTACGTCAGAATCAAAACAATAACATAACCTCACTTTCTATTATCATTGTCATATCTCATTATCAGTAATTTACTAGTCTCGTGTCTTTCTGGTATTATCACCCATCATTCTCAGTATTGATTGATTGATCAAGTGCTGTCTGTAAATATACTCTTTTTCTCCTTTTGAACGTCTCTATGGAGGAGCTCGTCCTGCAGGAGACTATCCAAATAAATCTAATTAAAATACGCTCATCCGAGTCATGGATCATCCCACGGAAACAATTGTTGATTCATTGTCGGACATGCCTCAGGAGCTGACAGCTGACATGAAAGCCGCCCTGAAAAGGCAAGAATCTCGGTTGGTATCAGAATTTCAAGCCAACAAATTAGAAGCTGAAGCCAAAAAATTTTGGGACAAATTTTATAAACGGAATGAATGCAGATTCTTCAAGGATCGAAATTGGACCGGTCGAGAATTTGGAGAGCTGATTACGGAGGACACTAAGCACAAAATATTGCTAGAAATTGGCTGCGGTGTCGGAAATTTTCTCTATCCTCTATTGAAAAGTGGATTTCAAGGTTTTGCACTTGCCTGTGACCTGTCGTCGAAGGCCATTGAACTTGTAAAAGCAAATGAGGATTATGATGCTGACCGTATCAACGCTTTTGCTTCTGATGTGACATCTGAAGATTTCTGTGACAACCTCATCTCCAATTCTATTGATTATGTTACCTTGATTTTTGTATTATCTGCAATACATCCGGATAAACATGTAAATGTTGTCAAAAATATTTATCGAGTCCTCAAACCAGGAGGCATAGTCTACCTGAGAGACTATGGTCTACATGATATGACCCAGCTCCGATTCCAACCGGGTCATAAGATATCTACCAACTTTTATATGAGACAAGACGGGACCAGGTATGTCACTAATTTATTCCTTCAGTCCTTATTCAGTACTTAGTACTTACTTATCTCTTAACCCTCAATGGCATGAACTAATTTTTGCTTTCAGATTCTGGGAGCCACTACTCGATTTTACAGTTTGCATTAGAAGCATAGAACACCATTTTTTTTTTCTTTCTAAATTTCACATTTAAGGGAATCTTTTATTTAAAAATAGAAAAAACTAGTGAAAATTTGCAAAATCACGCCAAAGAGGAGAGATCCAATTTTTAAAAACCCAAAAAATATGTCGTTACAAATTCGTAATGCTATCTCATACAGGGTTAAAACATTCTTAAGTATAATTACCAAAAGTCTAATTATGACTCACAGAATTGAAACATGAAGTAGGATTGTTGGTTATCTAATCCTTGGACATCTTGTAGTATTTTCTTTTAAAAAAACAATACTGGAAAAGACCACTTTGGGTTTAAGAAGCAATGATTGGGAGATATAGAAATAATGGAAGGTAGTAGTATGTAAAACCAGGAGAAAAAACAATCAGTGCTCTTAATTATTCACGTCTCATTCTTTTTATGACCTGAACGGTTTACCATCGACTGCCAGCAATGCTTACCATGGCTCAAGACCAATCCACACAGGTCAGTCATTGCGCAGCTTTTTTGAAATCCACTCCCCCGCCCGGTCCTAACTCGCAGCACTCATTGTGACGTACTATTGAGTGCACCCATAAGAAATACATTGTATGCACTCAATACTACGTCACTGCGCAGTAGAGTACCAAAATTCGTCCTCGGGAATGACTGACCTGTGTGGATTGGTCTTGCCATGGCTTTAGTCCACAGGTTAGCATGAAATATCGAATGCAGTTTCCGTCTTGAAAAGTACTAGCCACATGATTAACTAAAATTTCTAAACTATACATTGCTGGTTTCAAATGTTCCCAGAGAGTTGGCAACCTCATTCTTTGTAAATTTCCCAAAATTTGTATTTGTGTACAGCGTTGCATATTTTATAAACGGCTCCCAATACAAACTAAAGGTCTCCTATTGTATTTACTTTTTCACTGTCAGTTTCACCAAATTAGACGAAATTCTATGCTTAAGAATTGTCCATTACTTACCAGCCACATTGGAAAAAGAGTAGCTGCTTGATAGGTGGTAGAATTTTTGACAAGGGAATGAAGTGTTAAGTAATTCATCTTTTTCTTTTCTGTTACAGATCCTACTTTTTTTCAACTGAAGAGCTTGCAGACTTATTTTCAAAAACTGGCTTTCAAATCTTAACAAACTCATATGTAAATAGAAGAACTGTAAATTTAAAAGAAAACATTGATGTACCTCGAATTTTTGTCCAGGCCAAAGTCTGTAAACCCTGATAGTTGCACTTAAGTAATTTTAGTTAGACAGTTGTGAGCATAAGAAAACTATCCACCATTGAAATATTTAGGGAAAAGGCAGGAAAACAATCACTTTTATTTCATACGTAAAGAGTATCTTAATTTTTGATTGAAAAGGAAGGAAAAAATTCAAGGTTATCAGATCAAAGAGTTTCTAAAAAAATTCGTAAGATTTATTTTCTAATAAGTTTTTGACAGAATTCCCAGTCACTACGCCTCCTCTCTACGGAACGTTTTGCCTCAATTTGTCACAATGGAAAGAAAAATTATGAAGTTGCAACAAATATTGACTGACTTAATATTGCAATCGCAGTTATCCAGCTCCCAAGAGCAACTACTGAGAGAAAAAGTGAAAGCAAATTATGTGATATTTTGTTGTACATGGTACATGTTTGTTTAATTTGAATAATGTGTTTAATTGTTAAGCCTGTTTCATTTCATATTACCTTAATTCTATTTTAAACACTCGATTTTTACTAATTCATTTTCCTGCGCAAACTTGTCGCAGCCGCGTCCCATGAAAATAGAAATGACAAAAAATCGTTGAAGTTACTTTCGTAGGACTCGATGCTGTGACAAATCTCCCAAAAACTCCCCATGCAGACAAAGCCCTAGACTCCCTGTTAAGCAACAGAAGTACAATACTAATTGTCCTTAAGTGCCATCTATCCGCATGCTTTTTCCCTAAGCTTGATGCATGAAAAAAAGAAATTGAAGAGACTGTTTTTGAGATCCTGTCGTTTTGATAAGAAACAGCAACAAAATAGTAAACTTTCATTAATTCATAAATACTGCCATTTCAATTAGTTTTAGCTCAATTTCAATGGCATTTACGAAATCAATACAAAAATTTGTCCCGTAACTTTTATGCATATAATGGTAGATTAGTACCGAGTTTATTACGGAGAGAGGAAGAGAGAAAAATTAGGGACATGAAAATACTAAAATGAGGTCTTTGAAAAACACTAAAATAAATATCATCTGGATAGATTCACGATTGGCACACGAAATGTATCGGGAAATTTTCAGAGGAATATGTGATAGAAAAACTTCCTACCGAAACAAAGGAGTTACAAATTCCTCTTGCGTTGGATAAATCAAAGGCCTCTAGCAAAAAAAAAAAAAGAAAAAAAAAAATTTGGTGAAAAATTATGGTAGATTGCACTAAGGAACTTCAAACGGTTAAAAGGACTTCTCTGCCTTAATTCAACATATTCTGAGAGAGTTGAAAGAGCAGATTAAAAATTTGGAAACTGGAGGCTAGGCAAAAACTCATTGAGAGTAAAAATCATTATGAGAGCACAACATCTAAAATATATTAAAACAAAATCTTAATAAAAATGAAACAGAAAATTACACGGAAACAATGATAGAAAAAAAGAAAAAAATCCGACAAGTGAACAGACAAGTGAAGTCAGGGAAAGATATGGGTTAGTTTGACATGAAGAAAAGGTTCCATGGTTAAGTGACATGTTTCATGGAAGAGAATGGTTTGGTAAATTCATACAATTCACTTTTCGAGATAGAAGACCTTTTTTCTTCAATTGTCGTAAGGCACATTTTGCAGCAGTGCACTTAGCGATACGATAATTTCGTCCAATGCCTTTGAAGGCACCTTTTCCAAAGACTTCCACAGTTACTCGTACTCGTCGCCCATCAGTCAACTTTTCTGGTTTACTGAAAAACAAACATGAGAAAATAGATAATTTTGTGAAGGAAATAATTTTAACTTAAATAAATTTGGACAAGCCTAGTTTCAGACAGATAAAAGGATTTCAAAGAGCACTTTAATGTCTCAGTCCGGGACAAGAACCTTGCTGAATGATAGAGCTAGGGAAAATAAGCCTTCAGGTGGAAACTCAGAAGTACAGGAAAAAAAAAAACAGGTTTGAAGTCAAATTTTAATTTTCAGTTTATGATACTGGACACTTTCTGATCCTCTGAAGAACATTGATTAAAAGTTTCTGGCCATAATTTGCATTATTAAGGATGTTATAAGCAATTGAATAGAGTTGTTCCTCAGATTGGCGACAGCAGTTTTCTTAAAATCCCCCACTTTTCCTTTTCAAACCTTAAAATAATGCCAAAGGCTCAATTTCTGGAATTTTTGAGTGTTCTTTCCACAAAAATTACAGAATTAGCCTCCGTAGGTCGAAGTACCATTATGAAATTAATTATTTTCCCTACATGAAGGAACATTCTGCCTCACTTGGTCATACATTTTGAAAACATGTTCAGCATACAAAAAGAGATGTGATAAGTAGATGAAAAAAAGGAAAGAAAAAAGTGTTTTTAAAGATGCTCTGTTCGGATATGATGGTTAGACATAGCTTCCTAATACATAGTGTAAAGGCTTTAAACAGAGGTAATTGAAGTTCGTTTTTCCAAAAAGAACAGTTCTACTCTTCAAGATCTGTAGTGAGAAGTTCAGTTCTCCAAAAACAGCAACACTCCTAATAAATAAATAAATTGACGAATCATGAAAAACCCTGCAAAACCAGTGGTGGTCAGTGGCTTTTGACACATTTCGAAACAACCGGTAAAAGTTTGATTTTGAAAGCTTATCGTGCTCAGAGGATCATGAAGAGCATCAAATCAAAAAACAAAATTTGGCAAGCACTAAATTCCTTGGTTTTCAATAGAGGGTCCTCCATGGGATGGTTCAAATTTGGAACGTCCTACTCCACATAACATATCCCGCAAACGCTGATTGATAAAATTGCGATGATCATTAAAAAGTAATCGTAAAAACTGTGAATTGTAATTGAAATTGTATAAATTGTACATGACTTGTATGTTTTATAAACAACTTGCATAAAGCTTTGCTCTTCCAAGGTTTTACTTCTTGCTCTTTCCACTGAGATCAAAGAAACTTATGATTCCTTTATTAGAAATAGAGGAAGATTAGCTTAGAGATGAAGTCTGGTTGAGAAGTGGCAAACTTTTTAAACAATAACAAGAGTTCTGTTTAATACTAATATCGCTTTACTAATTTCACTATTAATAAAGTAGAAAAACTCGAAATTTACAAACACATACCTGAATTTGGCTGTTTCTGGTTCAAGTTCAAGTAATTCTCTAATGGGTGACTTTGGAACATTTGTGCTGAATCGTTCTGAAACACATAAGAATGTATAAAATAATTTGATGGAGCAATCAAGATAATTATTGTATGCAAACTTAGAGCTGTATGAGAAAAAAAACTAAGGATGGCCCTAACTGTATGTGACAAGGTTGTTAAATGGTGCTGAGTCCACACCACTTCGCGGGGAAACAAAGCCAAAAAGCTCAGTTTCGTACTGGTTCTCCTTAGAGCTCAACATTTTAGACTCTAATTGAAAAATGTTTGGAATTTTTTGGCTTCCCCCGTGAAATGATGAGAGCCAATGAGTACTTTATGTGGTAGCTTCTGTAAAGTACACTTCGGGGTACTGCGAAAAGGTATACATTTTTCATTCGGATTTTGCCCATTAGGCGTACACAATCATGTCAAAGACTTGCAGGCCGATTGTTGAAACTTTGTGTTTGTCACGTGGACAGAGGTGAAATAGGTTAAATGGTGTAGTGTGATTGGTCGGCTATGTCGTATCGCTGCTTTGTCATGCCTGGGTCTGGTGGAATTCACGACAAGCTAAAGGAGCCTCTTGGGTTTCCGACAGTATATCGTCCATTCTACCTGACATAGGCACGACAAATCAGGGATAAGACATAGCAGACGATTCATGCTATGCCATTTAACTTGCGTCATCTCTGTCTACCTGATAAATACAAAGTTTCAATGATTGGCTGGCAGAATACGCTGTCAAACTCATGATTGGCTGAACCCAGTGGTCAATCATATCAATAGTTGGCCATTCTTGTCAGTAGGATCAGTTCATCTTATTCAGACAAACTATAGCTTGAAAAAGGTATATTCAGAAGAATTTTAAACACCCCTACGAAGACGAAGGTCATATCTCTGCAGCAAAATTTTTTTGGAAGATTCAAATGGGATAGGTATTTTACTTGTGCGAGAAACAACAGGCTGTGACTATTTGCAGGCCAATTCCTGCCGATCTCAACAGATTCATTTTGCAATTTCAAAAACATCCATAATAAGGGTGTTTGCAGAAAGTTTTGAAGATTACTTGTGATAGTGTGGCATGACTTACCAATCTCCGATTTCATCATGCGGAAGTAGATTTCCCACACTTTATCTAAAGACATACTGCTGTCCAGATACACAGCTCCAGCAACTGATTCAAAAACATCACCCAAGGCTTTTGGTACCTCCACATCCTCAACTTCTTCACATTCTTCCTCTCCAATCAAATAATACTGAAATGATTAGTGTAAAATACATTTAAATATTTTCAACCGAAAAAGTATTAAGATCAAAATATTTACGCTCATGTTATACATTAGATTTATTACACATCGATTACAGAACACGGAACAGGTGAAATCCTGGAGCTTAGCAAACTTTCTGCGAGGGCAGTAATAGGTGGCAATGTGGTAAAATTTAGCCGGTTTGGGTGCAATTAAGCCCTGGCCAAGTATCTCAATGCAATCTACCTCCCACCACAATAGATTTTGCAAGTAACATGTGATTTTCTTTCCGTTGGAATTTGTTTTTGTACTCTACTTCTAAGAATTGAAACACAGATATTCAAAGATTGTTCTTTAGTAGGAGTAAGTGACTTCTCTTTCTTACGGTTTTTTTATTAGACTTTGAGAATTTAAAGTTAACCTTGAAAAAGTACTATAGCCTGGGAGGCTGACATGGCACAATGACATGATGACTGAATTTAACCAAAAACCGAACAACAATTAATAGCTGCATTAAAAACTCTTTAGTCACTGTCAGTAAAACGAGGTAATTGTCCTCGTGGAGTTTACTTACTTCTTCATTGATAGCATGTCCATTCTCTTCCTGGATCCGAACAAATCTTTCAACAACTTCGGCAAGACCAGGTGAAAGATGCAGGAAAAATTTGTGAAAACCGTGTCTTACAGCTAGAGAGGCAAAAATTGTATTGTTCACCAATGCTGAGCGTAAATCGGTTAGTTCTCCTGGCGAGTGCCTGTGCTTGTCTTCGTACAGATGCCTTGTGATTAGATAGTCTGCAGAAATAGACAGAAAACGAATTACATTGAGGTAAAAGGAGACCAATGACAACGGAGGAATTTTAGGACTTCAAAGCAGAAATTTCTGAACACTAAGTAGAAGAGACGGCAACACTCGCTATGCATGAATGCAAAGGTACACTTAGGTGTCAAAAGTTTCAGTGACCTACTTTAGGCATAGGATTTGGCTTAATCCGGCGTGAGAATGTTATTTTGGGCATAATTTTGTTTAACATTCAAGTGTTGGCGACAGCACAAATAATTATTTTTCCCCCCAGAATCTTCTTTTCTCCTTTCATTATTTCCTAAAGGTCGTCAATTGTCAGTGTACACACATATTTTGAGAAAAGTCTACAATAAAAACTAACCCAAGTGAAGGTTTTGTACAAATTACTTGCCATAAATTCTCTTTGTCGGGATTAGCTGCTTATCAGTCTAGACACCAAAAGCGCTGCAGCTTGAGAACAAATGAATTGGCTGAACTACTTATTGTTAAAACCACAATATTCCTCAGTAGGGAAAAACACAAACAACCCTGAAAAAATTAAATTATGACTACCCTGAAATATGCAACCATAAATACAGCACAGATATTTTTGTCATGGAACTTACATGCCTTAATTGGGAACAAGGTGGAGAAATGGTGTGGACCCAGCATCATTTTTTCACCTTGTTACTTACAGTTCAGGCCATTTATTAGTGTTTTTATTCTCGTTCCTGATTTGGAATTTATGAAGTTTTAAATTGGAGATTCATACCTAGAACAGCATCACCCAAGAATTCTAAACGCTGGTAACAGTCCGTAAATCGGTTCGGAAAATATGAGGCATGGGTCATTGCTTGTAAAAGGTAGCTACGATCAGAGAAGCGATAATGAATGTTCCTTTCAAACACATCAAAACCATCCAGTAATTTATTCATTTCTGCATTAGCATTTGGAAGATTGCGGATTAATGGTGAACTTGGTTGTTTTATGTCCGTGTATTCAACCTAAAGAACAGAAACTTTGCATAATTATCAAGTTTTTTCATTCCTAACCTGTCGAAGAAAAACTGCACCTGCAACATAGCTCTGGTGGGCAAAAGATTAAACATGCATTTGAAAGACAACAGACAGCACCTACCAGCGTTTCAGATGATGAAGGTACATTCTAAATTAATGAGCTGATTATCAAAGACTTGGGGAGCTCATAGGTTTTGTTGATTTCTCTTACATATTTCCTGCAGGAAGTAATTTTTTTCAACTACAGAAACCTTGAGTATTTTCAAGTATACTTCGTTGATGAATTAGAATTTCACCATTTTTGACTATGAAAAATGTAGGAAAACAACTTTTTTTTTTAAATAAATGCACAAACTACAACGAAACAGCTTAAAAAACTCTAAGGCTGTTGAAGAATGCAAATTCACTAACCATTTTGTTATCTTTGTTTAGCATGCACCCAACATGGTTCACTGATTGCTCAGGATTTATGCACTCGACTTCTTTCCATGGTAACACTCGGATCCCAAGCCAGGACATAAAAAGTAATGCTCCTCTTGGACCACAAGCAATTAAATATGCACCTGAATTTAGATAGCAAAAAAAGAGGAAAAAGAATTTATTAGCTTGCAGAGCATTTTTGAAAAGATATTCCGCTTAAGATCTAATGAAGCAGACAATGTAAATTAGAATTACATAACATTTTTATAAAGGAAGATGAAACTGCTTTTCCCAGGAAGGTTACTTAATTGTTATTGGCAGCTAAGTTTCTTGAGAACAACTCCAAATAACTTATAAATTTTACTTCCCCCAATTTATATTTGGTCAAAATTAATTTTGATTACTTAGTTTCAGCTTTTTATACTTCTTGCGAGACTGGCTAACAATTCTTGCTCTACTGTGTGATATGAGAGTACTTGCAGAATATGATAGACAGAAATTTTCAAAACCACCGCAGTCTCCACTGTCAAAATTGAACTTTCAGTCTGAGAGGTATTAATGCAAAACATTCTTGAGGATTCTTAACAGCGTAGATACAAGATTAGATGGTCAAGAAACTGTGAAACACAGTGGCTACTCGTTGTTTTGCTGTTTCTGACATTTAAACATGCAAAAGAGAAGTTCCCTGGGCACTGTTGGTTCCAGACCGTTCCTGAAATTTCTCACAGCACTAAAGCAAATTTCTTACCTATAAGGGCTTCAACACAATCTGCAATGCTTTTATCTGGTATACTGTGTTGTGTAATGAGATTGTAAGGTACGAAACAAGGCAACCTATCCAACGGTATAGAGTCAAGACAAGTTAATGTGTTCACCAGTTGTTCTTGAACGACTTCTCTGATTTTGTCCGGCGACATGTCCCTGAGAGCCGGGAGATCTGCTTGATTCCATGAACTAGCCGGCATTCCTACTTCTATCAAAGCTTGTTCCAGTTCTCGAGGTACATAATAGCATGGAGGAAGCCAGTTATCATGTGGCTCAAACTTAGTTGCTATCATACTCTCGCCGAATACTTTCCGTTTTCCTAATCGATACAAATTCAAATTACTAACCTGGACAGAAAAAAAGAAAAAATTATACAAATATATTAACTTTCGGCGAATCATTTTTGCAGTAAAAAAAATTTAACCTTTAAAACTTTGAAAAAAATACATTAGGGTTTCACTTACAATTAGTCCTGAACAAAAAGATTTTTTTTCATGAACATACGAACTGAGGACTATAAGTTCATAGGATAAAATTTAAGGAAGCAAAAACAGAAATCTCATCTTTAGTTGATTCGAGACGATTTTCAACACTTCTCTTGTAAGCAGAGACACTGCAGCAATATGCATACACTATATACCTATTTACAGAAATTTTCACTACAAAATACAGATATTCTCCAGAACACTGCATGGTAAAAACAAGGACACATCATTTAATAGGTAGACTTACTTGTTTTGACCTCAGATGACTCAGTTTTCCCTCATGGATGTTTTCATAAGTACAGTACAGGTAAACGGTGATTGCGTACTTCAAAAATGAATCACCAATTGTTTCCAACCGCTCAAGATTGATACCATCATTAGCATTGGACATAGTTAAAGCTTGCAATAATAAACTTGGATTTGGTCCTGGAATATTGTCTAGGTCTGGTTGCAGGTCAAAACTGAAGTCTAAAGCATCTGATGATTCAGATAGAGATCCTGAGTCGTCTCCTGCCTCATAATCCCGAGGAGATGGACAAGGATTTGGTGGACAGGATTCTTTTTGGAGCTTCTCCGCTATCTCTTGTGGCATACCATATCCTGTTTCAGGACCTAAAATAAATGGTAACTTCTTCACTGATGATGAGCTCTCTGTCTGCTTGGCAGGCAGTGAGCTGTCCACAACACATGCTGAAACTGTCAGTGGTTGAGGGGTTCTTTCATCCAGGTTTTTAATCGTGCAATAATTATTCACTGAGCTACTTTGATAACTATTTTCCAGTGTAGAGCCAGAAATGTGAGGAATGATATTCTCAGTTTTTGGTGCTTTCTGTTCATCAACAGGAAAATCATTGGCCCCGGTCAATGCTTTTTGGCTCCAGAGTTGCTTGTTTAAAGGTCGAAAAATATGAGCTGGTTCATCCAACTTCACAAACATGCCGCTGGACTCAATCTCCAATATGTTTTCTGCTGTTGCTTCCTCAAATCTGTTGATCTCTGTCAATACATCCACCTGAAACGGACAAATGAAGATGGATAAGAAAGCAGAGAACCTTCCTGCAGTGGGAAACAAAAATAGTTACCAACGAGGAGTTACTGATTATGCAGATGCACCAAGGAAAGTGTGTGTGCTTTAGAAAAATAATTAAGAACTTTATGTACTGATTTAATACAGATAATAACTGAGTTAACAACAGTGCATAGAAAGAGTATTGATCTTCATCAATGAGTTAGTTTAGCCTTGGAGGGACAGACGTGCAAGCAGTTGTTTCCATCCTTGGAATTCCCATACAAATCCTCCCTCAAGCCCGAAATTTATCACTATTGGACTATCATTATTTTCAGAGTTAAAAAAATAGCTTGGTGTCAAGCACTTCCTCTCTGATTTGACATTTAGTTCTGAATTAAACCGTTGTTTGGAGCAGTTGAAATTCTCAAACCAGTAGTAAGTAGGTGAATTTTAAAATAAAAGTTAAGAAAGAAGAATTAGACAGATGTACTACTCTGATAGTATGAGGAAGTTAGAAAGTCGATGGACCAAACGTATATGGCTGAATGAAGAATAAAAGGAGAAATCAATGTTTTTCATGTTTACGAAGTCTTTATTTCTTGAGTCTTTACATGTTGTTACTCACATCGTTGTCACCGGTGTCAAAGTCCCATTTCCACTCGGACTCATGAGTTACAGCTTTCATATCAACAAAATGGTCATCAGTTTCTAGGGCTTCAGCCAGGTAGTCATTTTTGAACTCTATCTTCAAACCTTTATTGTTCTCATCATTGTCATCATCATCAGTGGTTGCCCCCATCAGCATGTCAGGCAAGGAATCGGCCATGCTATTGCTGTCATCTCCTGAGTCCATGTCATCGGTTAGATTCATTCCCTCTTTGCTTCTTCCTTTGCAAAGCCAGCTGGTCGGGGACCCATAACGAATCTAAAAAGAAACATTTAGAAAAATCAAGACGGCGAAAAAAATTATAATAAGCAATTGATGCATAGAGCATCTTTTAATGGCCAGAAATCTATCACAGCGCATTGAGGCAAATTAAAACCTTGATAAAACTTAACTGTAACTCACTAACTTAATTGCAGTTTTCCAGTTTTACTTGGAATATTTCTTAAACGGTTCTTGGTTGCTTCCCTCACTGGTTATACACAAAGCAATGCACTATCAATGGATAAAGTAAAAAACTGTGTACCTCCAATTTTGCCCAATACCCATTTTGATGGCTAACGAACAATACTGCTCATCTGCCTTGAGATAAAGAGAAAACCTGGTCATTTTTGTGATTTGAAGGTTAGATTTGCATTTTTTCCATGCATTACAGAGTCATTGAAGCACTTCCCTACAGAATTGGAAAAAAACTAAAATCACCGGCTAGCGTATTTTATACTGTAGAATGCGGCAAAGTTGCTAACTCTTTTTTGCCACAAGTTCAGTTAGGCGGTGTTGTTCGTTAGCCATTGATTCGTTTTTCATTATTCTGAAAAAATCTATCCCTGTTCTTCTCGAAATTTTTAGAAATTTTTGGACCAGCCAATTCAAAGAAATTGTCCAGGATACATTTTGGTTAATTTTCTTTTATAAAAATACAGTATAATTGAGGATTTTGAAACATTGCAATAGAGACACGTTTTTCGACCATAGCCATTGATATTTCCAAGAAGGAGCATTATGCTCAAATGAGCTTTATCCTTTCATCATGGGAATTTAAGTTTACTAAATTTAAACACTCAATGGGAGGAAACTGAATTTCAACGGAGACAGATTGATTAAATTTTGGAAAGACACTAGTCCTACTATTATTCTTGGTTTTAAATTTTTGAGTGGAATTCAGTTAGTAAATATTTACCATGGTAATGTTATCTGGAAGACCAAATTCTCCTGCCATGTCATTGGACCAAGTTCCGATTTCAACATTCCACCCTCCACTGTCTTCATCACTCGATCCTTTTCCATTCTCCTCCTCAGCTTCTGCCTTTTCAGAGTCTTCCTTTGGCTCATCTGCACTGAATTCTTTGTTCTCTCCATTTTTGGTTGCTGCCTCCCCTTCAAGTATTTTCTGGTCATTTTCAGACCCATTACACGATTCTTTCTCCTCCAAGCCATTGTTTCTCATTTCTTGAGAGAGCAATTCGTTGCAGGGCTCATTACATTCTTTATCATTCAACGGCTTCAGATCTCGTCCTGACTTTTCCTCTAGTGACTTCTTCAGAACATCAGACAGTCGCCATCCAAAATCCAAAGCAGGCCACTCAAAATCTGGCGAAAGATCTCTAGAGCCTAGCGATATCTCTGTGGCCACTAAAGATCGGATCTCATCAGCCAAAAGGAGAGCATTAATGCGATACAAAATGCATGGTAAAGAAACTGCTTTTCTCCAAAGAGATGCAGGGAATGGATGTACCATACATAGTTCTGGAATGAGGATTTGCTTCTGTTCAAGATTCTCACGTTTTGCTCGTTTAGTTTCTTCGCTGCTAGTGGGCAATGCTACTCCTTTCCGATTAACATACCTAGGCGTCAGGAAATTAAGGCGAGCAGAGGTATGATCCACGTCTAGAAGTGGCTGTTCTTTATTTTGAATGTTTATACCATACTTTCTTCTGTAATACTCCTCAAAAGTTTTGTAGTCTGATCCAGGGAACAAAGATCTAGGATTTAATTGGAAGCATATTTCTGCGGCATAGAAATATTGAGGTTGGTCTTGATTTCTATACCAAGGGGTAACAACAGCATCTGCGTACAACTGCTCATTGAATTTGAATGAAATCCTTTCCTCCTCAGGTATCAAACGTGGTTTTTCATTTCCTCGTTGTAAAATGATATCCAAGAAGTCCCAATCGATGTGCACTGAGTCAATGCCACTACCATCTGCTTTCTTTGTTGGGACGATGAAAAATGAGTTTTCTGAGGCTCCTGGATCAAACATCATCAGATATTTCTGCAGTCTCAAAACATTTGTAAAAGTGTAATGTATGAAAGTGGTGATTTTATTTAGCTGCTCCTCATTCAAATGGATGTAACCAGGACATAGTTTCAACTTGATTTCTACCTCACCGCAACGGGTGAAAATTGGAAAGGAGCAGATCTTTGGAATGGGTTTCAAAGTCAAAATTCCAAAACCCTGGGGAGAATTTTCAGGTGGGTGCAACTTCCTTCCTCTTGTGTTTTGCTCCTCTGGGATAGGACAGGTCAGAGTCATACTGATAAAATACAGAAGTGCGTTGTCACCAACTCCTGGTCGACAGTAATTGAATACAGAAGCAATCCGTTTGTAGTAATACTGTCTCCGTTTGGTGGTTCCAGGTCTTGGCTCCAAGGAGTCCCAAGGGATACTTTGGTCAACTTCATCTGGAGGTTCCTCAAACTCAGTGTTCTCCAGAAGTCTGAAACTTTCTTTCCCAATAGGTTGAAGACAGTTGTCTAATTCCCCAGCTTGGTGAAGAACTCTGCAAGCTTCCAGGGCAGCAACTCGCCTAGCAAGAACAGGCGTTGGCATTGGATGGCCAATAATATCGTGCTTGACCGGTGAATTGATGGGTAACTGAACAATGCAATAGCTCATGAGCTTGCCAGCAAATTCTATAGTTTTAATACTCCATAGCGGTACTAGTCTTGTGAAGGTATCACTAGGTAGTTTGGCACAGTACCTGTTGATCACAGCAATGGCAGTGTTCAAGGAAACAGAGGGTAAGTCCTCTCCTGGTATCGGTTGATAACAAAGAATAGCGTCATTGTATGAGTCGGCTTCTTTTTCTTCTGCATCAGTGGGTTCAAAATTTGCACACCGATTTAGCAACATATTGTCAATTTCAGTATAATGGGCAACACTTTGGATGAAACTTTTTGAGATCTGGTGGTCTACAAGAAGAATGTAGGAAGAATCAGGTGCACGGGCTCTGCATCGGGAGAGTGCATATGATTTGTACTTGTCAGGAGGATCAAATCGAATGACCAGGTTACACTTTGGTAGGTCCATTCCTTCCTCTAGGACGGCTGTGCCTATAAGAACGTTGCAATCTCTCATGCGAAATCTTTTCAGGACTTCTTCTTGCTTCTGATGCTCTAAGTCTGCTTCTTGCGGCTCCTTCACTGGATCAGCCGATTTGCAGACTGTGTACTGAGGCGCTAACCACCAAAAGTCTTCGTCAGATTTTCGTAACTCGTTCAATAGGTGGTACAATATTTTGGCGATAAATTTATCTTTAACAAATATTAAACCACAGATACATTCAGTGATATCCAAGGATAACAACTTATAGGTTGTGAGTCTTTGTGGGGCATTCGGGTCATGCCTCCAATTTTTCCTCCTGTTCAACAATTTCGAATTTTGATTATAAGTAAGATTTGAATTATAACTACTTAAGCTAGTGGTTAAGGATTTATTATCACAGGCAGTAACAGTCGGTGGTAGGTTTTCATTAAATGTAAGAGTTGGTTCATCATTATTATCTCTACCGTTTATCACAGATAAATTTGAAAAAGACATCATACTTAAATCATTATTTACTGATGATACGACACTATCCATGCATTTATCATTCCACATTTTTGATGAGGCCTCAATCCTTTCACTATTATTTTCAAGCTGAGCGACACATTTTCTTTCATTGTCAATTAGTGATACATTCCCATGAGCTTCAGGTTTGGGTTGGTCTTGGAACTTCATTTCCCTGATCGATGCAACACTTGAGTTGGAATCTCCATCATCAGACCACTGTTTGGAAGTGTCTGAGAAGGATACACAATTTGAATCTTTGGCTACAACAATGTGGTTAGAAATTTCCTTATTTTGCTTCCATACTTCACAACCAGTGAGAGAAAACTTTTCTGGCGATGATTTTATCAACTGCAAATTATGAGTGGGAAATGTAATTTCACCAAGCTTCTCCTCATCACTCGATGATTCTTTGATATATGATGGATCGTAACTTTGGTAAAAGTTCCAGTCATTTTTATCACAATCGGAGAAACAAGTTCTATTGTCACAAAGCTTACTTTCATAAATATTTACACTTTTGTTTTGATTTTTGATAAAATCACTTATTGGTGAACATGATAAATTAGTATTTGTTTCACTATTTAAAATTTGATTAAAGATAGTTCTTTTAGGAAAAACTTCATTTTCACTGTCTAAAATATTATCATGCTTGAGATTATTCGATATGGAACTGTTATCAGACTTCATCTTAAAATACAATTCTAAAGCTTCTTCACTAAAATTAGCATCATGTTGTTTGGAAAATACGTTTACGGTTTTGGAACAATTATTTGAAGTATCCATTTCCAGGTTGGATATACCACTACTTTCTTTCACGTCTGAGCCACAACAGTCTTGGCTCGGGGTTTTTAAGTTACTACAAATATCATTCATTATTGTTTCCTGCTTTTCATTTTTCTCCTCTTCCTCACTGGTCTCTTCAATGCGCCCAGTATTTAGTTGCGAATCAGAGATACCCTCTAATTTACTAAATTCTTCCTCTAACTCAGCTTTTGACTTCATTGGTTTGTACTGACTAATTATCTCTATTAATCTAAGGATTTTATTTGATGAGTGTTTGAAAATGCGCTCCTTCTCTGAAGTGGACTCGAATGCTTCTTGCAGTAAAGCTCTGTAAAGAAAAGCACACACATGATAGCCAATTTACAAATCAAGAGCTCCACTTGTGATAAGCAAAGTTTCTATTTTTCTGTCTATAACTTTATTATAATGCCTATAAATGCTCAAGGTTTACAGCACATTGATAACCGAACTCAGAAACTGTGGATCTCCAAAATGCCTACTTTTCAGGCGAGTGAGAAAACTGTTTTCCTCTTCTTTTTGACTTAATTACGTCCCTTAAATCAGATTTCCATTGTTCTTTCAGGAAGTCTCTTCTAGACCACATGATAAAATCTATGACCGTTCCCAGATTTTGAAAAGTATCCATACTTCACCCTCATCCTATATGAGATGTTTTGTACCCTCATCATTAAGTGCTTCCAGAGATTGGTGATTATTTTTTTTTTTTTTTTTTTTTTTACTACTTCAAATACCACACAAGTAGTAATCCTTGCGCTTCCAGTTAGAGCCCCCCCCCCCTCCATCCTTACCATGTACCAGCCCAAGGCAACCGTTGTTTGAGACCATCAAACTCGGTACATCATATTGGTGATACAGAATTGGTGATTGAAATTCTAGATGACTGATACCTACAAATAAAATAATTCTAAGACTTCTACAAACTCATTTTTTATCACTATCCCCTCCTTACTTATGTGACTTTTTTTTTTTTTTTTTGGGCTGACCTTAGCTTTCTTTATCTCTACAGCTCCTTTTTACTTGATAGTCAGCACAAATATAAAATTTCTTGTGAAATCAAATCATAGGTGAAAAGTAGGTTATAAGTCATTCTAGTTAGGTGAGCATGACTGAGACATGATAAAAGCAAATTCAAGGGGTGAACTTTTGATGAAGATGGCGAAAGATATCTTCAGACCCCTGTTTATTTAGGCAGATGTATAAAAAAACATACATTCTAATTCGTCACAGGAAAAAATTCCTAATTATCACAAAAGTTCCCCGATTTCTCAGTCAATTTTTAGCACTTAATCTTCCTGGTTTTCTAGATTGCTACCAACCTTTTGTACACAAATTTTCAGTAAAAACTTTCCATGTACCTGATAGAAACTTAGCACATTCAGAACTAACAGAATTCAAATCAAGCTTACCTGACTTTCAACATGAGGGAACTGACGAGGCAGAGTAAAAGATAGTGCCGTTCATAGGGAGTTTTCACCTTCAATTTTTCTATCCTAAAATATAGTAGGAGGGCAGCTTTATCTGCACACCACAGACCTGCAATGAGGAATTGTAAAATTGATTAGTATTCAAACTTCTGCTGTTCTACTGTGACAGTCATCACTCTTTTCAGGAGAAATCTGTAGTGATAAGGCTGAATAAATGAGTTTGGTAATGTCGATGTTAACTTGTGTAACAATATGTCTTGTTAAACATCTTTAAAAATTGAACGAGAGATGGTGCTTTGTTTGACGATTTATTTTATGTCACTGATTCATTATTTTATTTTGTGAATTTTTCAGCATTCTTGCACTCATTATTTACTAGAAATGTTACGTCTGATAGGTGATCACAGGGAGCTTTTGTTTCCTCACTAGCAAAAGAAGACAAGATGGATGAGAAGAATCAAATTTCTCTGAATGAATACTAATAACAATAACAATAACTAATAACAACAGCATCCAGTGCGGCGTCTACATACAAATAGTGATAGTCCCACATATCTATGATAAAATACATGCAAGAATGCAGAAAAACCACTTTTCAGCTCCGCTTTTCTCAATATTTGACACCAAAACAGTTCAGTTTTAAAACCTGCTCATGCTGAAGAGGTTATAAAGAACGTCACATCAAATAATAACAAAATTTGGCAGGGACCCAATTTAGTGGTTTTTCATGCAGGGCATATAGACGGCTTAAGTCTGCAATCACATATCTTGTTTGCGGTGTCTGAGAATCTTCGCCTCTATGTTATTTTTTTAAAGGGGAAAAAATTGATATCATTCCTTGAAGTTTATGCAGAATTTCCTTCGCCCAGAGAAGAAAAATCATGGCAGTTTTAAAGGATTGCCGTTGAGTAGTTTTCAGTTTAAAAAATAAAGTATGACAGGAGGTCTGCGACAGCACAAACCGAAATATGTGATTGCCGACTTACACCTTCGATATTCCAGTTTTTAGAGCTGTAATTCAATAATTTCTACAAGAGCTGATGTGTCTTATTCCTTTAAATTCCAAAATACAGTACCACCCTCAGGGGGGCCACGGAGTTGCGGTTAAGGATTGAAATACCAGATTGAAATTTTTGTTCGCAATTTACTTTTAAGATCATTTGGAATTTTTTTTCTTGTAATCTGTTTTGTGATGAAAAAATGAGTTGTTTTGCTTTACCCTGTTCTGCACCTGAAGAAGGTACTCGCTGCAACTAAAAAATTTTTTGTCATAAAATTGCAGAAATTATGGGTGATTTCCGTCGATCGAGACAAATTCATGATTTGGAGCCTGTAAGATACCACATGCAGGAAGTTCCATGGAGTTACCTAAAGTGTGAAGTATTTCTAGGAAATCATTGACGATTTGAATAGGATCAGATTTTGGATCGGGAATGTCCTTTATTTCGTCAAGAAATTCTTCATCATAAATTTCGGCTGGATCATATCTGTGGTCTTCAAGGAATGCAAGAAGTTCAGCAGAGTCGTTGACTATTTTATCCACAGTTGAATCTTTTTCAGGAACAATTTTCATGGAAGCACATTCAATGATTAGTTTCCTTGGTTTGGGGCAATATCTGAAAATATGGATTCCGTTAGCATTTTTTCATTAGTATTGGCTTCATTCATATCATGGGGCCTCCTGAATATTTGCAACAAAATAGATGGAACTTCATCATCATACTACCGTCAAGGGGCAATTTCCATTCCAAAATCAGGAGGCTCAAGCTAATTTCCATCACAGTTAAAATTACGATAAAATTAGAGGGTAACTCAGTTTTAATAATGTCCTTAAAAAGAACTCTATCCCTTACCAACTCAGCTGAGCCAATGAAACTGAAAATAGAAGCGGAGACTTGAAGTCCGTTTGATCCAGTTGTTTGACTTCGTGAGCAACTAGTGACTCTTAATTTTAAATTCACCTGATCAGTTCAGCCAATTTGATATTCTTGATAGTTCATTGTGCATGACTAAGATCCTTCAAAATTTTATTTCATTATTAGCTGTCTCCGATCCTCATTGTGAGGACTAAAAATCTGAGAGTAGAGTATAATCTGAACATGATAAATAAGCTCAGCTAAAAAAAGGGGAAGAATATCAAAAAGTTGCTTCATGGAGCCTTAAAATAACCTATGAAGACACTCGAGGTATGAAGCTTGAATGATAGAGAGAAAAGAACAAATGCAGGAGCAGAGTAAGTCAGTATGCTACAGTGTCACTGGCAAAACTCTCACTTAGATTACAAAATTACTTACCTAAGAGCTGAGACAATCTCTGAGGCAGTTTCTGCTTTGGCATGGATTATTTTTTCCAAACGCTTCACCTGGGCTTCCACTTTTCCAGGATGAACAGCTCCAGAAAGGAATAACGGTGATGTCAACCCGAGGATGCGATCTAGGTCTACAGGACTCTTCAGTAAGTATGGCATAGTCTGACAAAAAAAATTTAATGCATTATTGTGAGGAAACAGACATGGATACTTCCATTTCCAGTTGCATGTATTGCTTTCATTTTTGTTCTTTATTGATATCAGTGTCCCTGGTTGGTTCTTGAGAGATTCTGGATTATTTTCTTTTGTCCATTTCAAAACCAGTCAAGCATTTCAACTTCCATTCAGTATTTTGTCTTCTCCTAAAAATGTCTTTCAATGACCCTTTTCTAAAGTTAAACTACTGGATTTTTTTCTAGGTTTCCAAAAAATTGCCCCTTTAATGATGGTATGTTAAGAATCTTTCGGAATCTTCCTCTATCATAATGTAGACCATGTAGGGCCTCTTACGGAGAGAAACTGTTTAAGGAAGAACTACTAATATGACCCAGAGGGCGATTTAATTTTCATGCATTACATAAAACACTCTTTTTAATACATAATTAATCTTTTTGATTTAATAGGTTGGGAAAGAAAATTTATTCCAGAAAAAAAACCAGACTTTCAGGAAGGATTAATAACTGATTTCCAATAATTCCATAAAAACCAAATTCAAGATTTTACCCGACTGAGAAAGTGCTTCGGCTCGATGGCTAAATGGCATTCGTCCAAAATCAACAAATGTATATCCTTCGCTGAGACAACAGAGTGTGTGCAAACCAACTTGAATAACGTTTCATAAGTCATAATCAAGACCTGAAAATATTGAAGTTTTTGTGATGAAAGGTCGTAGTCCGCTCAATTTCATAAATGTAACAAATTCAAAACATGATTTAAGGCTTCAATTAGATTAGAATGGGTTCTTGTATAACGTAAGGCTTGCATCATCCACCAAAATCTGTATTCTAATAGACTAACAGGACCTAGCATGTTTCCCAAAATTTTAGCCCCTGATAAATTTTGGGAGGGGTGTCAAAGCTGAAAAATTCAAAAACTTCACCAAAATGGTTGAAAACTTAAACACCTTGATTAACTCCCAAAAGTGTTTACGTTCAATAAAATACTAAAAGCCATAATGATAAATACTTATGAAAACCAAGACGTGGGCATTAATTTCCAAAAAATTGCAAGAAAAAGAGTATTATTTTAAAAAAATGGACAATTTGGCAATTACCAGAAACTCTCATTTTCATAGAAATCAGATATGTTTTTCTGTAATCCTTTACCATACAAATTGACAAGGTGGTGTGATGAGGAAATTTTTTGACAACAGTTACAGTGCAGCGTCCAGTTTTAACTTGTGATCAGGGGTGCAGAATGTGCTCAGTCACAAGATCATGATTGCGCAGTCGCTCTTGTGAGAATTGGGGAAGACTTTCTTCTCCTTGTTTTTGGGGAAAAACAGGGAAGTGCATCGTTATTTGTGCTAGATGCCTTTCAAGCGTGCTGCTTTTGGGAAAGGAAACTATCAAGCAAGTTGCTTTTGGGGAAGGACACTTTTAAGGACGCTGTTTTATATGCTAGAAGTCTTTCAAGCGCTCTTTTTGTGGGGAGGAAAGCATTGTTATATGTAGAGGTGCAATTTTAGCAAAACAGCAATTTTTGGGGAAGACAAATTATAAATTGGGGAAGGTTCTTAACCTTCTGCACCCTTGCTTGTGATTCAATTTTGCTCTTTTCAATCTCATGGGTCCATCTATTTCAAATTTCTGGGTATAACTTAGTTTAACCGATGATTCAGGCTGAAACTTCTTGATTACCTTTCTTGTGCAATCCTCCTGGAAACCGGGAGTTTTAGATGAAAGGACAGAAAAAAAGGCTAATCTCCTCAAGAAGACATCTTCACTTAAGAGAATTCCCTTGAATTGCATGATTAATTAGGTAAGGTGCAGAAGGGGTTACTTACGTTAGCATGATTCTTTGCGGACAATAAGTCATCCCGGGCAGACTCAGGATTTAAAAATTCTACACAATTCAGATCAGTCAAATGTATCAAGCGGGAGTAATGAATCAAGATATCTTCTTTCTTTTCCAATACATAGAATATGTATTTCCTCTCCCTTTGACTGCATCTACAAATGAATTTTATGCAAGTTTATCTTATGGCATACATTGGAAAAATCCATACAGTTTCAATGTCAAGGTGTCATTTCACTTAATTGGAGGTTCATATATTATCAATGTAGGTAAAGTGGTTTGAGACATCCATTACAAGATCCTTCACTGTTTCTTCCGGCTTTGCTACTTTCAAAAGTAAATATTTTTTGAGGGCTAACTTTCCAATTCTTTATGATTGAAACTAATTACTGTAAAAAGGAAATAGGATTGGATAATCTTCATATTATGCACTTTTCGCTATAAAAATTTTAGTCATAGCAATACTTTGCTCATTGCGGTTTGCATATACCTTCATCAGTTGCATATAGCTAGGTTATTTTGTTGTAATGTTGATCAATACTTCAGTAACACTCCCTCAGAGCCTCTCAATATCTACATTATTCTACATGCTTCCTAGAAAGGCCCTTTTATATTATTAAGGAAGGATTTATGATATGATCAGTTGTTCTATTGCGGAAGTATCATTTGAATGCAGTTGAGATTACGAACAAAGTTAGTTAAATTATGTGTTAGGCCAAGATTTGCATAGTTTAGTACTTTTTTCCGGATGAAATGGCAATTGAATTCATTAAAAGAGAAGACCGTACCGGCGAACATTGATAGCGGATTCCTGAATAAGCTTGAGTGCGACAAAAGATTTGCTGGATTGCTGTCCCAGACAGGCAATGATGTTCCTCTTTTTTGCGGCATTGAGCAATTCAACCTGAAATGAAATTAAAATAAGACTCTTTTTTGATCAAATGGATCAATTTCGGAGTAAGACTGAAAAAAATCGCAAAAGTATAATAGGGCCACCCTAATGGACGTACATGGCATTATGGGATGTGAGGCTCTTTTATTGGGTGGTAGTCTTTCATGCGCGCTCCTTCACTGCTAAGCGCATTGTTTTATGTAGAGGCACAATTATTTTATTTACAGTATCGATGGGTCATGAAGATCCATTAGCAAGAGAATGTGACAAAAAAACCAAGACAAAAACAAGACAGTATATTATAGTAAAACATCAAATTTTGGGGAAAGCAAATTGTAAATTGAGGAAGGCTGAGAACTTCCTGCACCCCTGTGTCGGTAAATATTTTAAAAATCATTGTTCCAAAAGGTAAATATTCTTCAATATCTCTGCCAGCAAAAAAAAAAGAAAGAAAGAAAAAGTTGCACTGACAGCAAGGGATGTTAAAAACATCTTGAGCATCCATCAACTTTTTCCAAACTGACAATGCTGACAAGACTACAAATCCTCGGTGCAAATTCTTACAGCAAAACCAAGAAATAAAATAAAATAAAACGAAAGAACCAGTTTAAATTACCTGAAACTCCTGTGGTGTGAATGATTTGGTATGAATACTATCATACAGATACTGCGCCATGAACTACAGTTTAGCACAGCTCAGACACCTGAGGAAGAAGGAAAGTGAGGCTTCTGTATCAAAAATATTACAATAAAAAATGGCGAAAAGGCAGTGATTTAAAGTTCCATTATTTTCAATTGAGGACATGGAAGACTTCAGAATCAGGGGTTCAATTTTATCGGAAAACCCATGATCCTAGCTAAAATTTACTCGTCTACTTCAAGCTTGGAGTTGGTGACATAGGATGAGCCGAAGACTCTCTTGTCATATAAGCCTCATAATTTTGAATGAGATGAAAATTCTTCAAATGTTTTGGGTGCGGAAAATTTTAAAGACAGCATTACTTCCCATGTACATATCCATTTTCAATGGTTTCGCTCGTTTTGCTTCGAGTTGCTTTTAACCACCTGTGACACAACTGTTCCTATCATCGTGAAATCATCTATATACGTCTGGGTGTTCAGATACATCTGAGTGCACACCACAATCAAAACTTATAGACTTTAGTAAAATAAATAGATGCATGATTTACAACAGATGAATTCGTAAAAAGCTAACATAATTCTCAACTCAGAAATTGAATTAAGGTTATGTTTCATTGTTTACCTTGGAACCATCCGTATAATATGTCAAAGATCGCAAGAACTGCTCATCAACTGATACAGTCTATCAACATCAGAGAAAGGCTTCATTTTTAGAGAGTCTGCCAAAAATTATCATGGATAATTTCTAAAGACACGGTACTTACAACTGAAGGCATGCCTCTTGAGTCCTGTTATGGTTGACGGCAAACCGATCAAATTGTAATATTATGTGTGTTGCAGAAGGTTTAGGAGCTTCAGCGGTGAAACAAATTCGACTACCGCGGGTAGAGGCTAAGAGAAAAAATGATTTAATGGCAAAAAGTCATTTTACACCGAGCTTATCTACAGCCAAACCAGCTTAACTCACCGCATGCCCACTGAGGAATACTAATACATTGATAAAAGCAGGGTTGCCATGGTTGCAGCTCCAGCCTCCAGCCTTGGGGTTTCGTTCGGTCCACAACGCTCCTACACAAAGTGGCAACTCGGCAACTCTGTTCATACAAGGTTTTGGACGTTCTGGATGAAGATAAATATCCTCCGCCCTGCTAACTTTTTACCAGATTGTTATAGAGTAAATTTTGGATGGAGATTAGTATTTGAAGCGGACGTTCTTATATTAAAGAGGAAAGAGAGCTATTTTTTGATCCCCTTAAGTTTCCAGGGACCCGAGNGGGGGGGGGGGGGGGGGGGGGGAGTGGAACGCAATGTTTTTCTAATGGGAAGATCCCTCTTGTGATATTCACGTTACTCGGAAGAAAAAAATATTCGTGCGAACTCAAAATATAATTATCGCAAAGCGTTTCAAAATTGCGGCTGATCCTAAAATTAGCACCTCTGGTTTTCGCCAATGGCTTTTCCTCGTACTTAGGTACCTACATAGGTACTCTACTTTAATGAAAGTATATAGTGCTATTTTTAAAGATTGAATAATATTTGTTGTTATTAATGTAAAGATGTAAATCATCATTATGTTAATTGGTATACAGTTACCATCATCTCTGAGCACATGTTTGCATGAAAGCCCTGTCAACACTACTAGCAAAAGTTCACGGAACTTGGCGCGAAAGTCAAGTTCCGCAAACCTATCTCTGTGTGGACAAGGCCTTCCATTTATATGAAATGAACGAAAAAATTATGAAAGAACAAACATAAATGTGGTTTAATAATTTTAACTTCCGCCGCCGCCGCGCCGCGTTGACCGCACTGCATGTGTTCGGCGCAATGCGTGAAGTATTCATGCAGTCTTGTAGGCGCTATGCGTTTCACGCCGAGCGACCGCTGCTGAACGCAGTGAACGCACTGTGTTTGACGCAATGCGTGAAGTATTCATGCAGTCTTGTAGGCGTTAATATGTGTGACATCATGCCGACCGCCGCGCCACGCCGAGGGAGGGCTTCTCCTTTTCATCTCAAGTCCTCGTCATCATTGCTCTCTGCGCCGCGCCGCGCCGTTCCAGGCCAAATTGCGTCAACTAAGTAATTAAAGGTGCTGTCTCTTGTATTGCCGTAAGACGACAGAATTAGAAATTACTATACTCCTAGGAAATGAAAGATTTTGTCGCCTTTTCTCGTTTGTAATTTTTTTATACCTGCGAGTACTTACATTTAAAAAAAAATTGTAAAATTTGCCGCCATGGGCCGCGGTCCATGTGGCCACCCCCTAATTCCGGCCTTGCGATTAGCTGGTAGGCACCACCGTTTGATCCCCGAACCACTGACGCGTTCGGAATTGACAATTTGTCACCTTCCGGCCAAAGTATCACAAGCGCCAAGCTACGTTTAAAATTTTCCGCCGCCATTTTAATTAATGACGGAGAAATTGTTCAACGAAGCTGTTCGAATTTCCGAAAGTTTCACTGAATTTTCTGTGTGCCGCCAATGATAAGATTTAGTGAAATTTTCACACAGATTCAGCGTACAATTTCTCCGCAAAAAAAAAGTTTCAAAATTTTCGAACTTTTCAAACGTCACATGGCGCTTGTAATACTTTGGTTTACAATTTTTTAAAAATTTTCCGACCTACTTACATGCTATACTTACAAAAAAAAAAAAAAAAAAAATGAAAAAATAACGAGGATATATGTATTTGTGTAGGCATTGCGTGCCCGGAAATTTGCCGGACACCTAATTTGAAGGGGAAACAAAGAGAAAAAATCCAGGTCTTGATGTACGTCTAGGCGTATTAATTCGACTCGTCCCGCGCGGTACCTAGTGATTTATAGGATGAATTGAACCAGGCTTGGTACAAAAGCGGTTTTGTCCCCAAAAATTACCACGCTCGTTTGTAACTCCAAAAACGAAAGAGCAAAAGTATGAATGACACTTTCAAACAATAGCGAGATATCCTCTCGCGATAACAATGCTTAAAGTAGTCACCGAGATCAGAGCTGCCATTCTTAGCCAAGAAATCAATTTCTGCGGATAAATTAACGTGTCGATTGGTTTGAGTCAGCTCTGCAACAGAGAGGATTTGATTTCATTGACCGATCGAAGCAGTCAGTTACCGGGATCAAGAGGCGCAGTCGATTCCTTCCCGAGTTCACGATCGCGCGGTCTCGGAAATTTAACAAACATAGCGAATGCAATAATTACGATTTCGTTGTATGTTAGCAGAAGTGTCCCTTGATCTTTGATTTTCGAAGTGGTCTTTGCGAATAGTCGAAAGGAAATGACGGCCTCGCCAAAAATATGCTATTTCGCGGGGGTTCTCACATTCTTCGGACAATTTCTCGTCGGATACACTGTTGACGTGTTGTCTTTGGAAGGAGTCGAATGGATAAATTCCTTGCAATCTACATGGCAGGTGACTTGAAATTTATCTACACCTAATTTACAGTTGAGGGGCGTGGAGGACAAGGTGCATACCTGCAGTAGGTATTTGGTAATCTCGAGAAATAAGTGTTTGAAGTTTCGGGATTACATGAATCCTGGCGGAGAGAAAGTTCAAACTGACTCTTTGATGCAATTAATTGGAATTTAGGGAGCAGCAATTTTATATTTTTTTATGAAAATCAAAGCAGAGCTTGCAACTGTAAGGGTGCACGGTGTGCTTCCATTAATTCTGATTCGTCGACGCGACGCCGCGCGCCGCTAATTCGAACTATCGCGGGAAATAAAAGGCGCGCAGCATATAGCGCCTTCAACATCACATAAATACTTCAAACACTACACCGTTACACATGGGTGCGTTCATAGCTAAGGTGTGAAACCACGTTTCACACCTCCATTTGCGACGTTGCAACTTACTGTCATACTTTATTTTTACATTGGGACAATGTAGGAAACCTCCTTGATATGCCTTCTCTGTTGGCGGAATATTCGGCATTCAAGCAAAGTAAGTTGGCTTGCTTCTCTTCGTAAAAAAACAGAGAAGGAGCGAACAATTTTGAAACAGCTCAATGGAGATACGTGGTTTCATATTTTGGCCATTGCTATATTGCGCTTGCAGAAGTATACTGGAGTGAATCTCTCATTTCTCATAACAGGGGCTGGGGCTTCAGTCGCCCCCTCCGAGGCAGACCTAGCGCCCGAAAATTTTATTGGGGGTAGAAATTTAGGGAATAATAACATCTTACAGAAAGCTATATAACTTGTGAAACAATTGAAAAATTCAAGGAAGGGGAAGAGAGGGAATAATCTAAGATATTTTTTTTTACCCCCCCCCCACCACATTCATTTCACCGATGACATACTGTCCTAAAAGCATGCATTTCGAAGAATTATACCTCAGCAAATGCAAAGTTACGATTTTGATTCCTTGCGCTTCCTTCCCCTCAGAGGATCAAAGGATGAAAATTAAGCTCATTGGGTTCAGCTCTTCTATGAGTAGGTACCTAAGGATAAAATATGCATGCCTGAGGTTCATTACCTACTTCAAATGGTTGAGAATGGAAGTGGATAGTTAGAGGAGAAGTTACACGTTTTCTCCGGCAAGTTACATCAAATGAAGAGTGAAATTTAAAATACCAATCCAAAGTGCCATCAGATATTGCTAAAATTGTACATCTTTCCCTCGTTCATACGCCTCCCCCCCCCCCCCCCCCNACGAGTTTTGGTACTCTACTGCGCAGTGACGTACTATTGAGTGCTTGCAATGTATTTCTTATGGGAGCACCCATTGTGACGTACTATTGAGTGCAGCTGAGTTAGGGCCGGGCGGGGAAGTGGCTTTCAAAAAGATGCGCAATGACTGACCTGTGTGGATTGGTCTTGCATCCAACCGTCATGGCACCTCCGAAGCTTTCGGTTCTTGGAAGTTTGGGATATAACGTCTTGGTCTTTTTAATCTCTTCCATTGTACTAAGTAACAGCAATGAAAATTTTATATATTATCTGGAGAATTTTATCTGTTGGAGCGGAATAGGCAGAGTTCAAATACCCACGCACAGCACCAGCACTTGTTCAAAATTCAATGATTCCGGAGAGTGACGATACCCAAGGAGAAATTGCTGAACTTGAGTTCCCGATCAACGGTCGCAAAGAGGAAGACCCCGGATGGATTTCGACGGTGCCGAATAGATTTGATGCTCGCAACTACAAGCCGTGGAAGAGGTGCCGCAGAATAATATCCTACGTGCCAGATCAAGGACCCTCTGAATTTGTTGGATATGTGAGTGATGCAGAAACAAAAGTTGACCGATTGATTTAATGCAATTAGTTCCAAAACAGATAAAATGAACAATTTAATGAATATTATATGTTAGGCATGAAGAGGAGCACTTAGAAAAACTGGTTTCTTTTATAACATGTGAACGTCTACTTATCTAAAAAACTTTACTTACCTTGCTAGAACAGTTTAAAGTAATTCCCATTTTCTCCACCTTGAGTGGCTGAGGATCCAAGTAGCAAAATGCAATGAAAATATCAAATTACGATTGCAATACAGGGTGATTCAGAGTTAAACAGCCAGACTGCGGGAGCTGAAAAAACCCTCAAACCCCCTCTTTAAAGTAAGTTTTCGATTTTTCCTTTTTTTAAGATCATTTATGAATTCAGGGCATAAAAGTAAAGGGGAGTGCGAATTCTCATGAGATTTGGTTCACAACTGTTGCCAAAATTCAGGAAAAACTATTTACTTTCCGAATTTTTTTTTTTTGGAGGGGGGGGGAGGGGCGATAGGGCTAAAGCTTCGACTGGGGGCACTTTGGGAAACAACTTTATACAACATGCTCATAAAACACGCTCCTGCAGTCTGGCCGTTTAACCCTTGATCACCCTGTATACTGCAATAATATTGGGATATTTCTAGCCATCAGTATGGTCAGTAAATTGCAATAATAGGTAAACTAGATGAGAGGTTTCCCTTCAATCTGTAGGTAGGCAACAAGCACAATAGATCAATGCAGTAGAAATAATTTTACGACAAAAACATTACTTTTCTTTAAACTTCATTCGAGACTGTTGAAAGAAGAGCATGTCTCAGGCTCCTGATTTCTACTTATTTAAGTACTTACAGAGAGGAATTTTTTTTTTTTTTTTTTTTTTTTTTTAAACTGTTGAAGCCGTGGGATTATTAAAGTATATCTTCCTGAAATTCAGTATTCCTACACACATTTCAAAACAAATTCAACTGTTAATATTGATTTATGTATTCGAAAATGTCATGTTCTTAACTACAAAATGAAGGGTAAAATTACTGGGGGTCATCAGACAAACCGACAAACAAATTCTACGCAATCACTTAATGTTTGGACTATTTTTTGATAAATTTTAGGCATCTGCTGTTGCAGCAGCTGCTTCAGACAGGCTGTGTATCCATACAAGAGGACGGGTTCGACTTCCTCTCTCCGCCCAAAACATCCTTGCTTGCTGCCACAACTGTGGAGCATACGACAATGTTTATGGAGGATCACAATACAACTCGTGGGCGTTTCTCACTGTTGGCATCCCTTCTGGTGGCGGATTTTCACCAAGAATAGTGAGTTGGTTAAAATGTAACTGCAATAAGAGACCAGACAATTTAAACCGATTATTGTGCTTAAAAGAAACCAAAATTAGTTAATTATTTTACAATACGGATGTTTCAGGGATTACTAGAGAAGGAAACAGTTTTGTACAGTTCATTTTATTGCATGTTTCCAGTTTTCTAAAAAAAAAGTTGCACAATCTTATTAAAATTCATTACAGTGTGTTTCGATCTTTTCTCCTTAACTCAGCTCATTTAATAGATTCATTTATTTTTTTCTAGGGATGTCAGCCTTATGAGATGCAGCCCTGTCAACATTTTGATATTTCTGGTGATCGAGAAAAATGTTCTGTAGCTCGAATCGATAAAGCAAAATGTCAAAATCGGTGTACAAACTCAAAATACACGAAATCATATTCAGAGGATCTGCGAAAGGGTGAGCCTAAAAAAATTTGAAATTAGCATTGATTCCATTCTGAAATGAGATTTCATATGAGTATGATGGGTCACTGACTTGTCTACCTGACTTTTTACAAGCACCTATTCTCTGTTAAATCTTTTAATTTATTTCTTTGATTTTAAATTTCAGTTCAAAGTTTTGAATGGTTATCCACGAATGAGACTAATATTTTCCAAGAAATCATGACTTATGGGCCTGTGACTGCCGGTTTTGATTTTTATGAAGATTTTATCAGCTACAAAAAAGGTATTGACAACACATAACAATCATAGATAACTAAGTCCTTGTTGCACCGTATCAGTGGCTAGAACAGAGGATGTCCATACTGAGAAACCTTGCAAATGAGCAACACCAGCTTTATTGCATTGTATTTTCAAAAATAAGAGAAAAAATTATTTTTATCAGACGGTTGCAAAAAAGGACCAAAGTCCTTGGTGTCAAGATTTTTAGTACAAAAATTTTTATCAGGTCTGGGTCAGGTTCAGAGTTGAGTTTTCGGCAGAGATTTCTGTATAATGTCCTATAGAATAAGTTGCAAGTAGTTTAGTTCATTTCTCTGCTAGTAACAGGTAAAACGTTGCATTAAAAATTTTCTGCCCTAGACACTGCAATTTAAAATTTCAAGTAGCTTTCTCTCAAAATTTCGATTGAACTAGAAACATTGATGTCGTGACTCTGGTTTGATTAGAAATTTTGGAACATTTTTTGTCCCAAAACTTTCATCGTACACTCCTTTCGGCTCTGCTATCAACGACTCAATTTCGAGTTTTTGTGACTTGAGCTCTTTTTTCCATAAATGATCCCGAATAAATTTCATTGTTCTTATTTACAGGTGTTTACAAACATATAGGCGGGCGCTACATTACGCACCATAAAGTTAAAGTCATTGGCTGGGGCATTGAAAAAGGCGAACCTTACTGGCTCTGCATAAATTCTTGGAATAAAGACTGGGGTCTTCATGGACTCTTTAAAATAAGTAGAAATAATGCAAAAGTTAATTTTGAATACTCCTTCTCTGCAGGCTGGTTTTAGTGTAATATTGGCTATGGGAAATTTAGGGGGAGATTGCAACATATCTTTCACATAAGATTTACCGCAAACATCAGAAATCGAAAACTTATGAAAATTCATGGTGGGAATGATTTTTGAGCTATTGTAAAGAAGCTACCTCTAAGTCAGGAATGAGTCTAGATCTACAAGAGAGAACGATTAGCTAAAGACTTGATGACATGACAAAGTTTCTCTAGCTTCATAAACAAAATATAAAAGTAACCAGCAACATTTCCGAAACAAAGTAAAATAGCTGAATCATATTTTGAGTAAACTTGTTTAAAAATGAAGTAAATTCGAAGACAAAGAAACGCAGGAGAAACTTTAGAACGGTTTTTTAATTAAAAAACAAACTTGACAATTGAGCAACGAACAACAAAGAATGAATAATCAAACGAAACTTAAAACTTGTGTACCTTGGCACTTGGAAACATAAAAAGTATTTTTTAAAAAAGTTATGCATGAGAGAAGATGAGGACAAAGATAGAATAATACTATTTAACAAAAACTAATATGGACTTGATGAGTTTTTTGTGTGTAGCTTTGTAAGTTTACTTACGCAATGAGGTGTTGAATTAGAAGGAGGTGAAATGGTCAGAAAATTGGCCATCATCTATTGGAAGAAAAAGCTAAATCAGATAAGAGAGACACTTCACATATTTTCTGACTAAAGTTACTATTTTGTTCATTCTAGCTTAGCTGAACTGATAAAATTAGTGTAAGGCGATGAAGACGAAGAGGAAATGCGATTAATTTCCCAATCTTATTTATGACATACATAACTTTCTATCACTTTGAGAGAAGTAAGCAGTTTTATCCTCATCAATCACCATTTCGGTGCCTATTCACAAATTATCCCATCCGTAACAAAGTTTACAAATTCTACTTGTCCATCAGAAGCGAAGTTTACAAATTCCACTTATCCATCAGTAGCAAAGTTTACAAATTCCACTTATCCATCAGTAGCAAAGTTTACAAATTCCACTAACTCAAATTTTCTTATTAAATATGATATCCTAGAACTACGATTGGGCAAGCAAACAAAAAAAGTTTGATGTACACAAGTTTGCGGAAGGAAGGATTTGTCTAACTTGGAAAAAGGGTCCAGTTGCATTTTTTATTAAAATTCAGTGCTCATATTTGACAGTTGCAAGGAACATTTTACCGATAACGTAAAAAGTCGCTTCAGAGGAGGCATGAATCAGGTACTGCAACTCTTGTATAAGTTTGACATTAAGCCTTTTACGGAGCATTTGCAAACATTTGAAGCCTGATACAAGGCGAATGAAATGCATGAATATACAGCCATGCGCAGAATGAAGAACTGCTCTCACAACAATATTTGATTGGAGCAGCGTCCGCAGGCACTGATCACATGACAGTTTATTGAAAAGTCATTTTCGAAGCGTTGCATTAGCAATATGCTAGATGGAACTAAAGACAACATATTACTGAGGATGAGCTTTGTCTATTGCTAAAGTGAAAATGAATGGTTTTTATCTTTTAAAAATAAGGAACTTAATTTTCAAAAGTTTTCATTTGAAAAATTTAATTTTCTCCCCTGATTAAAATTACGCATTTTGGCGAATTTTTTCTTTTTCTTGGGGGGGGGGGGCTTTTTAAATCAGGGAGGCAGAAAATCCGCGGGCACCTATAACACTGAGAAAATATTCAATTCCTTCCAAAGGATTTTAGGAGACACCATTTTATGATTCTTGTGCTTCCTGAATAGGAGCATCCACTTCCTGTGGTTGGAAAAGTATCATCGTACGTAGTACAGTTTCGTGGGTATCTTTTCCTCTCCTTCAAATGAGCTTTCACAGTCGACGGTTGAAAAATAAATTTAAAAACTCCACCTCACCAACCCTGTCCATGTCTAAATTAGTGCTTTGAAACTACAGTTGGCACTAACTCGATGCAGCAAGGAGATAAAGGTTCACTATCAATCATCTTTGTCACCACTGTGTAAAAGATCTTCCTGAAAACAAGATTGAAAACATTGATAGACTTAAAAAAGGATGAAAAATAACACAATAGAGCTACAGGAACAATTTTGGATCCGATTTTAGGACTTGAAATAGATAGGCATTTTTTAAACATGGAAGCACCAAATTACAACACCATTTTATTGCAAATATGGCAGTTTATAAGCATGGCAGTAATGTCAAATTCGCGCAATTATTTAACATTGATGGTGTCTTTAAAGAGTTCACGTGCCTTTTTTTCTACAAATATTGTGATGCAAAACAAGAGAAGAAAAGTTGGAGAGTCGTCACAAAAACATCAGGGAGTGTTACTGCATCTTTATGAGTATTAAGAGGGCTAAACCCACCATTATTATTGTGCATTTATTGGATTGAAGTATTACCAGTCAAAATTTATTTTCAGATTAAGAGAATTTTATTTCATAATCTTTTACCATCTCCCGTCTATGGCTGTTTTGTTGTTATACTTGTAGTTTTGTAATATTTCTCTGTAGTGTTATTCTTGGTATTCTTTCAGTAGTGTTTTAAGGATTTTAACTAATTTTCCTCTATTTGTTTTGAATTCTAATTCTTCATTAGAACATGGATACATAGGTTTTTTTTTGCTGCTTGCTCTTGTATATGTTCTATGTTTTTGTAATTGGGATTCTTCCCATCGAAATTTGAGTTAAAAAAAAAAAAAAATAAATAAATTGAATGAAAAGCTTTAAACACAGTTTTTGCCAGATAAGTTACGTTAGCAACTAAGTAACAGGTATCAATAAAGATATGGCACTTAAGGTGCATAAGTCAGTGACCGAAGAGGTATGACAATTCACTGAAGGAATCTGACCAAGTTTCTTTAACTGATTATCGCAATGAGATTGATTGCTGACTTGCACACCTTGTATCTTACCTGGAAAAAAAAAAACAGTTGGTTGATGTTTACAGACAATGTTAGCTGCCTTGCTAATTCTTCACTTTTAAGTACCGACAGGATGTGTGATCAAATGTTGCATGAAAGTAATTTTGAAAAGAAGCACACCTGTAACACATGGCGTCTTAGAGGACACTCCACATATTTGAGCACACCAAATGCAATATCTTCCTGATACAGTTTGCCAGACTGCATCTAGTAGACTAAAAATCCAATCCTATAACTCTTGAAGTTAGGGATGAAGTTCCTGCATCAATGAACAGCAATCTGGAATTAGAAAAATAAATAAGATAAGAATGTTTCCAGGTTAATGGACAAATGTCTGAAAATAAATAAGGGACAAGAAATAAACTTATGGTTACATATGATTTCATACAACAACCGGGCTGAGTTCAGCAGACAGGAATTAGGTATCTTCTGATTGGAGCCGACAAAACGGGGTGTAATGTAACATTACCTACTCCATATCCAATTTAACCCATATTTTCACATTCAAAATACTTTTTCATGACTTGAAATTTTTGACAGGAGAAAATGTTAAACTGTTTGAAATTGTGACTAATATTGGCTTATTTTTCCCTGCATGTTACTTTATTCCTTTCTGCTTGATTGTTTCAAATAGGAAAACTTGATTTAAAATCTGAAGTGTATAGGAATAGAACCCAGTATAATAACGAGAATGAAATCTTCATTTACACATTACACACATATATAATAGTTTCCGTCTGGAGAGAATTTCATCAGCGTTGAAAGGTCGGCTATGCTGGTAACATGAAGGATTGATTTGCAATGGGTAGAAATGTAATTTAAGCTCAAATTTTGGCACGGAGGCGTGAACCATAATAATGAATTTAACGAAAGTTTCAGAGAAAAATGGCGCTAATGAAACTGAATTCTGAGAGGATTCTGTGAGCACAGTGGCAGATGTAATGGATGCTTTTTAGTGCTTGGTAAATTAGAATTTACTCAGTTGTTGAGCATCACCAAAGTGATGACAAAAGCCATCAAAATGCATCTCATCAGCGCCTAACTTGGCACTTGAGCTACACTATTTCCTCGACTTTAACCGTGTTTTAAAGCATTTAATGATTTTCGCTTGAAAAAAAAATCACTAAGTACGGTCATGAGTTAAAAAATCTGAGGAATCAGAAACCATTCTTGGCTCGGTTTTACTAGAAATGCGCTTGTCATACTTATCTCAGAAGCAGACGATATCAAGCAGAAGCCTGTTAATAGTGGCATGTTGCAGAATTGATGATATAAAAGTGTCTCTGAGCTCCATTTAGTTTCCGTACTTAATTGCTCAAAAGATTTTGCAAGGATGTGACGTACAGGAATTCACCATGTACCGGGAGGAAACTTTTCTTCCCTGTGCCCACCATCATAAATACCGAGTCACTTTTTTGAACATGTATTTAAAGCCCAAAAAATGAAATATTGAAATGTCTAAGAGAACAGCTGGGTTTGATGTTACGTGCTGTTCCAGTTCCTTCATTATTCATGACTCGTCAACTCAGATAGTTTCGTTATGTTAAAGTCAACCAGTGCTTCCAGTGCTGAGAATAAGAGGTGGGACTTCATTCTACTAATCCAAATGCATTCCAAAATGAATATCAGATATGAATTTTACTAGAGGACTAATTTTGTTCCTATCTTCTAACGATGAGCTGATCTAAGACGAAACACTTCAAACGTTAGATAAGTTTCCCAAACGAACTAAACAAATGTTCTGTTTGTTCTATTAAGTGCCTAGTGAGATTTGATACTTCTTTCAAATTACTTTACGTGTAAGAGAGCCTTAAAAGAGAATTTCCACCTCGCAAAGATGAAAATCAACGTTTAAAGGACTCTTGTCTCTCATATACATAGTAGTTTCTAAAAGGCAAAATTGTAGCTGTTAGCTTGGTTCAATTTAGCGCAGGCGCTTCCGATACAATTTCATGTTTCTGGTCGGTAAAATATTTTCATGAATTTTTTGAGAACCTGGTAAAGCATTTTATTTCACTTTGGCTAGGAGTTCTTCTTTCTAGCTAGATGCCAAAACTTTTTCATACCACACGACTTAAACACAGGCTCATCATGAATGGGCCTAAAGTGTTTAGCTAATTGCCTAACGCAGCCGAAGTAATATTGAGGAGAAACTATCTCAATACAAGGTTGACACTTTGAATGTTTGACTAAAGTGTCACGTAAAGAAACGATGGTGTGAGGAACTTTCAGTTAATGTAACGTTAGCGGAACCTAGTTCCATAAACAAGGACATGTTTGATCGAGAGTTACAGTCTCATGTCTTTCAACAATGTACATGAATCTCAGAGTGCAAAAAGCAATCTTAAAATCAGTTTTATAGAAGCGGTTGTTTCTTATTGGCTTCAAAGCTGATTCTTTTTTTTCTTTCTTTCTTTCTTTCCATTTTTCTTTTGGAGGAGATACATATAAATCGAGGTTATCATTACTTTCCAAAATTGGAAGAGAAAGTTTTGAGCTCAGGAACCATTTTTAATGGAGCGACAATTGTTTTATTTTCTATGTTCCCTTTTCTTAATCAGCAATGAAGTAACGCTAATGAAAAATTTTGAAAAGAAAAGCTCAAATGAGGGGTAACCATCTGTAGGAGCAGGCACTTTTTTAAAAAAAAATCTCAAAACGAAGGAAAAATTCCAATATTTAAAGCCTTCATTCACGTAGAAAAAGTAAGCAAAAACAGATAAGATATTCTCAAAGAAATGAAAAATTTCGGAGAGTTTTAAGTCTTTTTTTGTTGTCTTCTCAAGGTAACCATGTAAAAGCCGCGTGATATTAAAAACGTATTTTTTTCCAAGGTTTGAGAGATTCATGTAATGGAATCCACACATATACTTGCAGAGAAGGCGAAAATTCAAAAATCATGAGAAATTTGAATTCATAAAATTCGTTCAGCTAGGAAACTGGGTTCCAAGCAAGAAGTGTTCCTTCATCAATTGTAGAAAATTGTATAAAAAATAAAATGAAAATTTAGTTACCTCAAAGCTAAGAGGTCAACCAAAATCTTACCTTCTAAAATCCTTAAGAGACAAGGTTATGTTAGATGCATACTTTAGGTGACAGAAACATTGCTGTGACAGTTGCACTATCAAAATTGGCCGGTGAAGTAAGATGGTGCAGATTGAGTTCAAAACTAGTTTCCTGATGAATCTTTCCGATGACCCTTAACTGTTGAGAACTATTGAGAAAAATGGGTATTTCACCTGTTCGAAAATTTTGCCCGAAGAGATGAATTCTGAGGACAACTGCTTGAAGAATTGCTTGAAACAAGCTTTAAAATTATTCAATGTCTACTGGACTTGAAACGGGTGATGATACATGCTTCCTGTATATAACCATTTCAAGGACACTAATTGGTTTTTCCATGTAGAGAAATAAGTCTTTCGAGACCACATAGGGTGGTTACGCTGAGAAAACTCCCATGCTTTTTTGCCATATTCAAGATTTTACTTATTTTCGCCACAAGTAAAAGCAGAGAAAAACTGCAAGGAGGCATTGAGAGTGAAAGTGGCCAAGTCTCAAATAATCAAACCTCATTGTGCTTAATGACTTTAAAAAACCTTAATGATTGGAGGAGATTTCATATTCTTTTCTGTAGGGGGTCTGAAAGTTCAACGAATCAAGAAGTTTAATTTCCTCAATGCAAATTTTCCTCGCCCGTTTTTTATTTCAAAGTCGCCCTGTTTGTTTTTATTTGAGAATCATCAGCTCTCTACCTAATATTCATAAGGTGACGAAAAATATCATGTGGGCGCTGAACTTTTCTCTGCTCTATCCACACTGAGCGGGTGGGTATTTACGAGCAGTAAAACCAGTTCCTGCCAACGCCAACTTCACGGCTTGAGACTTGACAAAGCGGCTTCCTCCATCAGAACCTAAGGAATTTTGCTACATCAGTTCTTGATGGCTCAGCGTTTCAAGGACTATGGATAACTGATAGCCTAAATTTTTCTTGGTATTCTTTTACCTTGGAGCAGTAAAGGCCCAGCTGAATCTGTTCAAAAACAGTGGCAAGTATTTTTTCAAATTAAAAAATTTTAATACTTTTTCTTTTAGTAAAAAGTATGCTGGTAGGCTGTAAAAAAGGTCGCACTACAGTGCTCGAAGAGAAATATGATGGAACTACCCATGATTAGGGTTGAAAAAGTAGGTAAGGGAACTGAAATAATGATCAAAGGAAAGAAAAGTACTATGTGATGGGAGGTCCATGACATCATTGCAAGTGAGGCAAGACGTAGGTTTCAACTGGGCTGTAAAAATGTTGATATATCTTCCTGAAAACTCAATATTTTTTGCTGATTAAGACTTGAGGGAGGATTTTTTCAAAAAATTTCTATTTTGGGCAGACAAATGATGCCATTTGAGACTGCACAAGTTCATGCTACTTTACACCACTTGAGTAAATGATGAGCCCAAGTTTCTTGCGGAAAACGTGATCACTCGCCGTTAGGCTCTTCATCATTACCATTAGCTCAGTTGTAAGTGGGTGAGATGTCTTTCAAGGGATCAGCCACAAGAGCTGAAACTTGAGCTTAAACTTCAGAATCTTAGTACTTTGAACTTCCTATAATTTTTAATTCTTGTGGTCTCACTCCATTGTTAACTTAAAGTTCATCTTGTCTTGCAATCAATGACAAGGTCCCGATTTGGTCTTATATATGGTTTAAATCTCTCATTCCTTGGTTGAAATCCAATTTAGTTAGTTAATAGGTTAGTCTCCTCAGTGTGCTAAAAGTCCAGTTCCTGGTTTTATATATGATCACAACATTCTAATAAGTTATGCACCAGTTTAGGTGACTGACTCTCATTTTTTACTTGTCCAGTACTAAAACTAAAAGCAAACATTGCATGCATAACACTAGAACAAGAGGACAAAAGAAGAAGAAGGAAACTGTCTGGTCTATGAGAGACAGATCAAACTCGCTCTACTTTCATTTTGTCTTAGGTGATTCTCATTTATCAGCTCAGTAGTAATTGAAAAACAATGGTTCTTCAGCCGAGATGCCAGCTGAGAGGGAAAAAAGTATTCGCTTAGGCACGAAAAACTTATTCCAATGGTATGCTTTCTTACCAATTTCATGTGATTTCTGTAGTCGACTTTAGATATTTGTACTTCGTGCTTAATCCATTTTTCCATCTTTGTGATGAAACACAGTTGACTCAATCAAAATTTAAAAATTGACATTGGGTCCAAAGAGGAGAAAGAAGCGCCAAAATTTTAGTGGCATGAAGTAGTTTTCAAC